GACAGACAGACTTGCAAACCAACTTTTGCGCCCGTCATTTAAAGGACGTTTAAGTATGTTTTAGTTTCACATTGAATTGTGTTTCAGTTAAACACGTTTGTTTAAGTATTAGAGTTTACACGAATAAAACACATTCAAATAAAATACTTTTAAGGGGTTTAAAAGTGAAATATATTTGTCATTTTAAAAGTTATTTTAGTGAAATATTTAAATTAAATTAAATATAATTCCTAATAGTAAACTAACATTTAACTAAAAAAACACTTTTAACGGTTTAAAACACGAGATATATTAGTTAACCTAATAATAAAACAATTTTACTCATATAACAAATGAAAACGTGAAATATATTAGACATTTTTAGTTACTTTAATACATTCTTTAAAATACATTTTATTAAAACATTAATTTAACATATATATATTGCCTAGTCTAAATGTCTTGAAACATGATCAGTGAAAAGGATACAGTAATATGTCTATGCCCCACGAAGGAGAAACGCGAATTTGCTTTTTAGAGGTCTACATTGAATTATTATGATAACATAAGAAAATGACATCACTCTGAATATCATTTAAATAATATTGCTACCTTAGTGCTCAGACACTTTAGGAAAACCCAGAGCATTTATTTTAAATTCGTAAAAATATCCAAATATACGACGAAACTAATGTCTGTGATGGGTTTTATTGTAGGTATAATTTTTAAGGCGAACTAGAAGATAACCCTGTTGAACCAACTTTTAAATAAAACACTTTTGACGGCTTTAAACGTGAAATTTCCAAAAATAAATTAATTAACTAAAATAAGGTGACATATATTTCGTGGTTAACCGTTAAGTGTTTTATTCAAAGTAAAGAGTAGATAGTAATATATATAGTAAATAGTAAACTGCAGACAACTTAGTAAGCTAACATTTCAATCCGACCAAAGATTCAACTCGGGGCCTTGCGCTCTGCAGTCGAGTGTACTTACTAGCAACGATGCGAAAGTGTTTTTGTAGTTTTTTCACTAAGACTTCATCAGAAATATTTCGCATTTTAAACTGTTAATTGTATTGTTATTTTAAATGTGTACTGCTTACATAAATTATAAAACAAACAAAACATACTTGGTTTAACGGTTTAAAACGCGAAATATATGCACTAGTTATTCAATCGCAGCCGTATTGCCGCCACTGACCAATTTAGCTAATATATTTTTTCCTTTGAAGTGTTAAAAAATAATACGTAGATTTAAAACACCTTAATATCGTTAGGATCGATAATATAAATAAATCTTTTAGCAAGCCACACTCTAATTGAGTTGTTAATTGCCCATGGTGTTGCTGCGGTCATTGTACCTAACAATTAACTTTGGCTGAGACTAAACCTTGGAGCTTAATCAGCCGAGACCGCTGTCTGCAGCAAATATCAAACCGGCATGTTCCAGACACGTGGGATGATCGACAAATGTTATAAACGACTGGCTTCGTTCGCGTATATTTATTCTAGGCATCCGAATTTGTTTTTGTAGACTGCCCTGTCGTTCTTGCAAGTTAACTTTGAAGATAGATGTTGTGCCTCGGACATTCTTTTAGACCCTTTAAAGAATCATTTTTTGGGTATCTTGAACTGTTTTCGCAGCGTACGCATCGGAAACCCACAGAGTTGAATAATTTTTAATAAACAACCGTTATTATATACATTGCTAGGATTAAACCAATACGACGCAAATGAGAGTTCTAGTACAAGTACCAATTCCATTCAAAGAGTTAATGTAATTATTTTGTATAAAGACTAGCTGACCTGGCAAACGTTGTTTTGCGGAGAGGAAAAATGATTAAATTACTAAAATGGCTATTAAAAAATAAGGGTTGATCGTAGAAGGGTGAAAATTGATCATTGTATGTTTTTTTTTATGTTGTATCATATCATAGAAATAAAAATTTCGTCTAAAAAATAAATAAAAAAAATTTAGGGGTGGACTACCCCTAACATTTAAGGGGATGAAAAATAGATATTGGCCGATTCTCATAGATACCGGATAAGCACAAAAGATTTTATCAAAATCGGCCAAGCCGTTTCGGAGGTGTTCAAGTTCGAACACCGTGACACGAGAATTTTGTAAAAATATATTATCTCGTACAATGTGCTCGATAACTCAAAATGGCGATTGGAAAAAAAACGTTGACCCCAAATCAAAATTCAGAATAACCGTTTTTAAAGAATTCCTTTATCTTCGCTGAGGCCATTGTCATCGAAGCGCCATAGAACTATAAAAATATCAATAAATTAGCATAACTGCTTTCCCAAACGATATTATTTTATTTGTATGTAACGCTTAGCGTTATGGTCGCATGTCATATAGCGTTATTTAAATTTTATACTCTTAACGTCTTGGAAATCACTGGATTATTCAGATCGTATGATTAAAATAGCTATTATTGCAATGAATTGCAGACAAATATTTTTATATATAAAATAACTATTTTTCACTTGTCACGGCCAAATATATAAGTCTGAATATGTATGATGTAAATGTATTTAAGTTGTTTAAAACTTTGTTTTCTTGAGTTGCAAAAAAAAGTAGAGTATAGTATAGATACTTTAATTATAAAGGGCTCTATTTAATTAAAAGCCGTCAAAACCAGTATTAACACAAATAAACACGAAATATCTCTCAAAATATACCTGCAGTATAAAAGTGGAGAGAAACCAATTTATTGCATCCGATATGAATTTTACAATACCCCACTTCGATCTTCCAACGATTGCAGATTTTGCGGCAGATAAAGTCTCTTTGACTCGTATCCACCAAGCCGAAACGAGTTCCATCACCAAAAAAGACGTAACGATGTCCGATTAATTCTACATGGAAACCAACTTAAGCAATATATACCTTTATATATACTGTGGTACCTAAGTTGTTTTATATTTGTATGTATAAAGTTGTATACAAACTTTTTAGTGTCCACTACCTTCCCATACAAGCACACGGCTAAACGGAAAGGCTCATACGGGTTGCCTCTTGTGTCGTTTGTGATCGCCCTCATTGTGTTGACTAATATTTGTTCTCATGTGAAAACAGTACGCGGGTCTAAATTGATGGCTGAGATTTTAATTATGAAACTTCCGAATATGCAAAGCTTGTTTATCCACCTTCCATCATGTCATCATCATCCAAAAAAACGATTAATTACTACTTTAATGCGTTCTGCTACCTCCAGGAAAATATAATCTTATATAGTAATATTAAGTCAAATCTGCTAAGCCAGCGCCATCTCTTACGTCGCAATTGATATTTCCAGCGCCAGCTAATTTCTTCGAATGTCAATCACAAATTATTGTTTATTCTATCAGCACATATAAATTAGTTTGAAAAAAAAACGTGTTCCTTATATTTATTTCATATTAACGATTTTCTTTATGAATATCTCAGGAATGGTTTCTAAGAATAAAAACTTATGAACAAGCTTCTGAATAAAAGGCGGCCTTATAGCACAACAACCATCTTTTCCAGCCATCGGATGTGAAGAGAAAACAAATAATTAAAGACTATAGGTAGGTGGTGCTAGAGGCGATCGTGAAAAAGAAAGGCAATTGAGAGTTGGAAAGATAAATTTTGAAAACTGAGTTTATACCATACAAATAAAAACGAAATTATAATATTTCACGATCCGAACTTACTAATATGACTATTATGTAAAATTATCAAAATTCAACATTGTGTAAGTTTTCAAAATAAGTAACTTACACCCTTCGGTGATCGCTCACAACTTTGCGTGGACTTATGCTTTAGTTTTAGCCCCTTGCGTATCGATTTTCATAGAACTTTTGAGACTCTACAACAACTAAAGAGTATTATTCAAGAAGTCCAGTATTATATTTAGTACACATAAGTACTCTTAACACAATCTTAAAGAAATTCAACCACGTATCCATTCAGAAATACAACCTTTTTCTTTCCTCACAACATTATAAAGTGTTTTTTTTTTAATTTTTATTCTTTAATTTAATTATAATAAACGCCTGTTGAAAATTTTTTTCAACGACGAGTATTAGCTTAAATTCATAAAAGCTTTGTATCGATAACATACATATTGTCAACTGTGGGATGTTTTAAAAACAAGTAAAAATAAAAAGGAAATAAGCGATATTTATGTTATTACAGATCTTTAATCAAGCTTAAACGCCGATGTGACTGAAATGGTTTCTTCGCGTCAGTGGCATTCTAGGGTAACTACATAATATTTAATGTAATATAAGAAAAATCTATTAAAATAATGCTGAAATGAATAACGATCCGTCGTCGGCACACTACTTTATCTAAATTGAATCTCTAGGCTCGACCACGAGGATTTGTTTTCTTGAAACACTGTCATCCTTCTCCGTTCTTTGCAATTCGTCATCGTGAAAAATTAACTTTGCTTGAATCTTTCTTCATAAAACGTGTAAACAGTTTTACGTTTTTTTTATTTAACCGGACTAAAGGTGCCCGAGAAAACCTGGACAAACGCGTTAATACTGTGTTTAGTTTACGCGAGTAGTGCACATTTAAATAGAACACTTTAACGATTTAAAATTCGATATATTAGTCAGTATTGAGTCTCGCCGTGACCACAGCTGCTGCAAAGCATTCGAAACGCCGGGCCAAAGTTAAAAATCATTTTCAAATAAGTTTAACTAATATATCGCGTTTTAAACCGTTAAAGTGTTTCAAACGCGTTATAGTTAAAATGAAGTTAGAATAGTTTCCTTTACAAAAAAGAAAAACAAGGTATGTTAATTGGTTAATATTTTAATCAAAAGTTAAAACATATCCTTCTGGTTATATTAAATATTAAAATAACAGAAACAATTACTCAAGTAACATTTATTGCCATAATAAAATAAATTAATGCTATCTCATAATTATATCACGATAAAATATATACTACAATACAATATTGTACATTCAATTTTTGTAACTTAACGTCTCTGAAAAGAAAATAATCTAGCAAAGCTACACAGTACTTCAGATCAATCTACATAAATGTCAGTGACGAGGCCGGCTGCTATAGTGACTCCAGAAACACGCAGCATAACTCTACCTAACTCTTTCACATCTTTGTAACGCTCGATACATATTGGGCGACAGACTTTAATATCAACTACAGCTACTGAATTATTACCTAAACACCTAGGCTTCTTCTTCAATAACTCTCCAGTGCTTTTATTTAATAAGGCTTTTAATTTACTGATGTGTGCTGACTCTACGAGTGATTGGTGATGAAGTAAAACTGGATATCCCTTAGTTATAGGCACCTTTACATTGAATACTACAAGCCTCGCTTCAAAATGTGATGTTACAGGTACTATATTTACAGGATCACTCAATACATAGCCGACTGAGACATTCTGCATTTCGACCCCAGATAGTGTAACGGAAACTTGATCACCTGCAAATGCTATGTTAGTTGACAGCTCATTTATGGCTAAGTTTCTCACTTCAGCTGTCTCTTTTGAAGGGCAAACTAATATTTTGTCACCCTTATTGAGTATTCCATTTTCAATACGACCAGCCACACAAAAGCCTGAACCAGTACCTTTAAAAACATCATTAATAGACATTCTTAAAGGCTTCGAAACAGGCCTTTCTGGAACATTGAATTTGTCTATTACTTCAAGTAAATTAGGCCCCTTGTACCACTCTAGTAATTCAGGTTCCGATGGTGGTTTTACTAAGTTTTCACCAGTCAGTCCCGAACAAGGAACAAATGTGACGTCTGAATCTTTAAATCCAGCTTGCTTTAAAAAAACTTTCAACTTCTTGACAATCTCATTGAATCTTTCCTGTGACCAATTAGTAGTATCTAATTTATTTACAGCAACAGCTAGCTGGTTAACTCCTAATGATCTAACAAGCAAAGCATGTTCACGAGTTTGTCCGCCTAGATCAAATCCTGACTCAAATTCCCCCCTTGTTGCATCAACAACTAACAGTGCAACATCAGCTTGGCCTGCCCCAGTTATCATATTTGGAATGAAATCAGCATGACCTGGTGCATCTAGTATAATTACTTTTTTCGTTTTAGTTTCAAACTGAGCTCTTCCAATATCCATTGTTATTCCCCTAACTCTCTCCTCACCAGTTTCATCTAAAACCCAGGCATACATAAAGCTCTGTTTTCCTATCTTTTTACTTTCTTGCTCATACTTGTGCAATGTCCGTTTACTGACCTCTCCTAGCTCACATAGCAAATGTCCCATAAGAGTAGACTTTCCAGCATCAACATGGCCAATAACCACAATGTATAAATACTCCTTATCTGATCCTCTTTCATTGGAAAATTTTGTATGTGGGTCTACTTTATTTTCCTTTACTTTAGAAGTAAATCTCAATTCATCAAAGTTATCATTACGTGAAGAAATTCTTTCTACAGCTGGTGACTGATCTCGTGGGGTTTGTGGTCTACTGTTTGGGCTTGTATCATCATTTATTTTAAAACCTTTGACAGCTTCAGGTTTTGATGCTATTAATATTGGTTTATCAACTGAAATGGTCGAAATTATAGGAGCTTTTTCCAAAATAGGTATTGGTGCTGAATCAATCACCACTTTTGGTTTCTCTGGTTTAAAATTTGCATTTTCCTGTTTATTATTATTTAGTATACCATCAAGGGCTTTACTATAATCAAATTTGTGTTTAAGAACTTCGTGTACGAGAATGCTATCTGATAATGTATCACCTAAGACATTTCTTAATTCGTCTAGACACGACATGAGTTTCGTCTCATCATCCTCGCTCAAGTTGAGCCCTCGCAGGTCCATGGACTCACGACGCTCGAAGTTAGGCCGAGTGTTATCCACGTCGTCATCATGCTCAGATTCTTCTAATATATCATCAGATTTTAAAAATTGAGATATGGCGTGTTGATTTCTTGACCGATCGTACAAAAACTGAGCAGCCTCACTTGGAGATAAACAAACATCATCCTCAACAGAATGTCCGTAGACATCCTCGTAATCATAGTCATCCGAATAACTTCTGTTTCTGATATTTCGATGGCGTGCCATTTCATACACAATTGACAATAAATAATAAAAACATTTCTATATTTATGGAAATATCCACGCGTGCCCTGAAACTTCTACGCATGTGACAATAACAAAAAGTATGTCAATTGTCATCATGCAGATATTGTTCCTGTTTTGATTTTATTTATTTATAATATATTGATATACGAAGAATAAGATCATCAAAAGAATATTCCTATTGCTCATGAATTAAGTTATTTCAAACATTCGTATTAGAAAAACAATCTACATAACGTCTCTATTGAGTATATGAAAGCCAACTAGCAAGCGAGAAAACTTTTCTTTATATATCTGTGGTATAACTGGTTTTAGTTTTAATACATCTGTGTTCTATAGGTAGTTAATATTTGGTACTGTGTTGATGTAATAATTTCACAAAGAAAACTTCGTCATTAAATATTTAGTTAAATTGTTTTGTTATTGGTACTTAACAGTGACACCGAGCAAAGAATGATACGCCAAGAAATGATCACCAAATTTACTTAATTTATCTAGAAAAGTTGAAATTACAGTAATTTTGTCGTATGCTTTTAAGGCAGTAATAGCAGAATTTCTATCACTAAATTGTTTGAGGATTTGAGCGAAAATACCTTAAAAAATGAAGAAAAAGGTAAAAAACAGAGAAAATATTCCTTCTGCTCATAAATTTTTATTCTTAATTATATTAACTCAAAGTTATTATCATCAGGTATTGCTGATGGGTAAAAGTGGCTCTGGGAAGACAAGTATGAGGTCCATCATATTTGCAAACTACATAGCAAGAGATACCAGAAGATTAGGTGCAACAAGTAAGTTATTAATGTAGAAATTATTCTTAGCAAATAGTAGAAGGGCTAAGTAAAACCATTCTAATTATTGCATTATGTATGTTTCAGTTGACGTAGAACATTCCCATGTACGATTCCTTGGGAATCTTGTTCTCAATCTCTGGGACTGTGGGGGGCAGGAGGCATTCATGGAAAATTATTTTGCGTCACAAAGGGATAATATATTTCGAAATGTCGAGGTGTTAATATATGTCTTCGATGTTGAGAGCCGTGAAATGGAAAAGGATATGCACTATTATCAATCTTGCTTAGAGGCTATCTTGCAGGTAAAATATTTTGTTCAATAATAAATTTACCAACTAGGCACAACCGTTTACTCTAACAATTAGCTACAATGTAGTTTGTATTATTGCAGCATATTAATGATATATTCATATGTATTTATATTGAAGTCATATTTTCCATTTTTTAGAATTCACCAGAAGCAAGAATATTCTGCCTAGTCCACAAAATGGATCTTGTTGCTGAAGAAACTAGGGAAGAAATATTCAAAAGTCGTGAGGAGGATTTAAAGAGACTGTCTAAACCGCTAGAATGTACTTGCTTCAGAACAAGCATATGGGATGAAACATTATATAAGTATGCATTACCTTACAAGTTATCTTTCAAGATCTGTTTAAAATCCTTAATTATGAGACATCATTACTTTATATAAGGGGGTCCCCAAGCGCCAAGTAACTAATTGGTGTCTTGAAATTTGAATGGTGCTATGGTGCTGCGAAATTGTTTCTTAGTGTAACGGCATGAAGCTCATAACCTCAAGTAGTTTTGAAAAATTGCTACAAAACTTGGTACAAGTTTCTAGTAGACACAGATGTTAAATTTTGTCCCTATTTTCTTTAAACAAAGAGATTTTTAATATTAGCCAATTTATATACAATTTTAAAATATCCTACTGTTTTCAGAGCATGGTCCAGCATAGTTTATAAATTGATTCCAAATGTTAAAGCACTAGAGTCTTCATTAAAACAATTTGCTGCAATTGTGGATGCCGATGAGGTAAGGTTTTTTGTTAAATAGTGTAGTCCAAAAATTATGTATCTTTCAGTTTATGATCATTACAATGTTTGATGAACACCTTCAACACTTAAATATCTTGTCTAGAATGAGATTGGCCCTAGGTCCTAAAGTTAAGACAAACAGACACAAAAATGTGTTTACCCCAGAGCTATAAGATGTTTGTTAAGCCAAAAAATTTCAACAACAAAACAGTTACGATGTAAAAGTAGTTTTTTGGTGTGACTGTGTATAAAAAACGATCTTCCCTCTAAATAAAGTATTATATAAAGTATTTTAATTATTTATTTTTTACTATTAATTTATATATTAAATATATTATTTACCAATGTACGCTGTATTTGTAGGTGTTGCTTTTTGAGCGTGCAACATTTCTTGTTGTATCTCATTGCCAGCGGCGGCCTCACCGGGATGCACACCGCTTCGAGAAGGTCTCAAATATAGTGAAGCAGTTCAAGCTGTCGTGCTCAAAACTCGCAGCTCAGTTTCAGAGCATGGAGGTAAATTTTATAGCATACTATGGTGAAGTATTTATTTAAGTCGCACGTTTGTTTATCTACCTTTGCTAAGGATGCAAAGGCGCTAATGCTAATGGCGTCGTAAAATAATGACAGTTGTTAAAGCCCACCAACCCGCAGTGGTAGGTCTATTTTTAAAAGTTTCTCCTATGTGAGGCTTGTACCTATTTAAGGAACACTAACAGGTTGAAATGGTTAGGTAGGGCTTTAGCCCGGCTTCAGATGCGTTTCCTGGATGTTTGGGTGAACTTAGAACAGTATCTAGGGATAATATGCAAATATTAATGTCTATATGTAAGTATTTATCTCCCTAGACTTCTTTTTATATACACAAAAAGGAGAAATATATAACTTGACTTATTTTGAATACATTTTAACTGCTGGCTAACCGTGGCCACCAACCACTGTTGTTGCTAAGTACCCGAAACATCCGGCCATAGTTGAAATAAATTTAAAATAAGTTACATAATATATTTCGCATTTTAAACCGATAAAAGTGTTTTATTTAAATAAACTACAAACAATGTGTACCTAATTTAATGTTTTTTTTTTCACCAGGTCCGCAACAGTGTCTTCGCTGCGTTCATAGACGGATTCACAAGCAACACATACGTGATGGTGGAAATGTCTGATCCGAAGATTCCATCTGAAGCCACGCTCATCAACATCCGCAACGCGCGGAAGCACTTCGAGAAACTGGAGAAGGTGTCTTCCAGCGCGCCCAGCCAATATCAGTGACGCTGACTGTGATCTGTAAAATACTCCTATCCTAGCTTTTGTTAGACACAAACATATTTTTACATCTGTACGGTTTTATATCTCATATATAATAACAGCTAAGCGCAACTAATCCCGGATTTCAAGGAATAGTATTAAATTATTTTAGTCGGACAGAATGGTGAAATTTCGTCTGGAAATCTGGATATTAAATTGGTGGTAGGATTGTCGAAAATACCATCTGGATCACAAACCACCGTTCACAGATAAAAAAGCCGTTAAGTTTAATATTTATGGCTTAAGATTTGGTTTACACACACATACACATTCTTTTCATTACTAGACGCCATCTTTATCTGTACTTCTAAATCTATACTTTATTATTAAACAGAATTCGAATTATATATTTAGGTATACCAAAAATAAATTAAAAGGCAGCACGAACCCCTCCCCCCTTCGCCCCTATATTCAAACTGTTTTGGAGGCAATCCCTTAATAAATAAAACATGTGCACTACATAAATGTGATTACCATCATTATAGACAAAGTAATATATCAATTTGTTAACAGTGTTATACTAAGTATCTCTTTTGTTGTTAAAAATTCTAAATATTGTTATTATATAGTAATGTATGTATTGTTTTTACAGTTTACGGGTTTAATGCGCTCTAGAACTTTGACATTTCATTCCAATTTTAGTAATGTTTGGGGACACTTTATTGTAACAAAGTACCTTAAGTTATTTGTTTAATGCGTCTTCTTATAGTAGGAATCTTGCCTTTACCATTCGCATAGTGTAGCAGTTACATTTTTTCAATATAAGGCTGTGTTAGAGTTCAGTTTTATGCGAATAAATGATATTTTCAAACATATACACTAACTTTATAAATATACTGAAATTCAGTCTTCTCAGTGTAAATACGTTATTTAAATTATGCAATATGTAAGATAATTGTACAGTCAAGCAAATGTAACTTTCGTACCTACCAAAAATAAATGTCTGATTTTAATATTCTTTTTATTTAAATCGGCTATCCATTTTCTCTAGTGTTCATAGTAAGCATGATAAACATTTTTTCTAATCAAAGAATGTTTGAGACGTAACTTCGATACGAAGCGATAACAGCATAGATAACAATTTGCCAGACTGGTAATGAAAATTTAAGTCTAAAGCTAGGTACCAACTTCGAAGCGGAAAAATCAACGTACTGACTGAACTAACGCTTGCTGTTGTAACGCGTAACATTACACCGCGCGCATTTGGTGAGTACCCAGCTTTAATTATAACTATATAATATGTCTATAAATCAAATACCTGTGCCTACATTATTAACATGTTGGATCATCGAAATTTGAAACATGGCATTTTATTACTATTAAATTGTTGTGGAGCATGGTTTCAATGCGAAATCGATTATTAATTAACTTTCGATTTTACTTCTATACATATAAATAAAACACTAGAGAACATTTATATAGTTTATTCATTTGTTTCATTTGAATTCTGAAATTATTTCTGTATGTTTTTCGACGTTTCACACTACTGTATTTTTACCAGACTAGGTCGTTTAATGCAATTGAAGGCAACCTTGAGGCTTCATTTACTTAAAGATACGTTGACAAAAAGTGGTCTGACCTTGACACTGTTCTTGAAAATCTTATCTTAACGTTTCTTTTAGGTATTATTTAATATATGCATCACCGTCTTGTATTATAAAAATATTGTTTTACGAAAGTAGAGCGTGTTTCTGTGGAGTTAGTTAACATTACATATTATACATTTTTTTTAACTCGACAATTAAAGATATACCTCGTCTGCTTCAAAATGCCGTACTTTCTTATAATTCCCTTCAATTATCCATTCTTATATTATATGCAATTACTTAATAATCCTATAAACAGATTAACTACATAACAAAACGCGAAGCAGCTGTAAGTAAAAAATAAATACCTACGTATTTTCCTCATTGCGTACGCGCAGTAAAGGACTGAGTGGGGAAGGAATCAGTTTTCCTTATATTAAAATACAGTTCGCAATGGGACTTCCCTCATAGCAATACAATTGGTAGATATTACATATACATATAGTATGCCAGTTATACACTGTATGATGACGAAAGTCAAACCAGTTACCAGTCATTCAGTGATAACTGTACGCAGTGGACGTGCGAAATAAATTAATTTATCAAGTATTTGAGTGATTGATACTATCTATTGTTAAAGTAATATATACATTGGACTGTATTAAAGGTAGGTACGAAGTTTACATATTAAAGTTAATAGTAATAATAACATTTACGTGGAAGGATTCTGGTGGCTCGTAATCACGATGGAACTTCGAAATTCCTAACATTTAACAGATCTTCCGGACGAAGTTTAAAAAACAACGTGTTTCTGAAAAACGATGGGAAATGAACCCACGACCTTTTGGTAATAACTATATATCTTTACCATTGTACCAACGAGCCTATAAAGATTTATCTCCATTTAAGTTTCAAAAGTCATCGTTTCTTGCAAGAAGACATGTATCATAAATATTTAGAATAAGTGAATATTGCTGCTGTAATATAAATAAATCTTGCGCAATGTACTGCTTTTAATGAAAGTATCTTATCTTTCATATCAGTTCAACGCAAGAAAACGTTTGGAAGGTTAAGAATAGTTTCAACTGTGAAATGGACAGTCATGACTAGTAAAAAATACATATATAAGAATTAATCTGCAACTTTTATAATAATAGTCTTCAGTTTTTCCAACTCCATACCAAGTAATGACTTTACCCAGTTAATTCAACAAATTGATAGAATACGTTTAAAATTATAACACTGCACTGCGTATGCGCTATTCAAACGAATACGTTTATATATTTATAGGAAGCGGGATAAAAATAATACATCTGACGGTTTCAATGTTTATGTTTCTTTAAAAATTATTTTCAGAATCAACAATGGCACTTGAAAAACCTATCTTCGACTACCACGAAGAAACTCATAGCGATAGATTGGCGCGAAAGTCAAAGGAATCTCCTTTTATGGTTATAGGTAAGTTCATAAAACTGTATCTGAGACATCACGGTAGTCTGGGTCCTGGGTTTGCTACTTATAATGGCATATGGCTGGCGTGGTTCGTCTCGTCTGGTATCCTACTAAGATTTCTTTTAACGAGTATTTTAAAGCAAAGTAAAGAATTAATTAGATACAATGCGAAAAATATAGCGCCAATTACTGTTGTCAGTATTAAGTATAAGTTCAGAGATAGTAAAACAGTCACATATGTTAAAATTAATGTTTGATTTTAATCAAAAATCGCAAATACATTTTTTTTACATTTGTCACGTGACACAAAACGCCCCTGATTGATCGAGTTTATATTGACGTCACTTGCTTATAAACAGTGCTATAAACCAAGCAGTGTTAAAACTGTTATATTCAATGCATTAATAAATAAATTTCTAACTCATTTTATTACTTCAAGCACAGTTAAAATGTAAATGCATGTAGATTGAAGACCTCTTGATCGACATACACATATAGTGTACAAGTGATACACGACCGTATATAGGCCTATATACGGTCGTGACATCACTAGCACCATTGCAGCGTTATATTGCAATATTAGCGCTGAGGCGCGCATTTTAAATATTAGATTATTAATTTGATATTTTCCAGCAAACCAGTATCACAATTCAAAAAAATCCTTAACATCTACCAAATAACATAAAATATTTTAAAAATCAGTCATATAGCCCAATATTATAACACAAAAAAGGAAAAATATTACCTAACATTGTTTTGCAGGTCTCGGTGGTCTAGCAGCTGCAGTGGGTTATGGCGCATACGCGTACAAAAAGCGCGGTGCAATGAGCACCAGTATTTTCCTTATGCAATTCCGAGTAATTGCGCAGGGCACAGCTGTTGGAGCTCTCACCATTGGCATGATGTACAGCCTCTATAAGAACCATTTCGCGAAGAAACCAGAAGCAATCACTGCTGCTGTTACCAATGAGCTAAAGTAGAATATTTAGACTGTGTTATATTTGTAAATAGAGAAATTCATGTTGTATTTGTTCTACCAAAGGACAATTTTAACTCCAAAGGTTGTCCTATTTAGTGATAATAAACTAGTCAAAACCTAACTTCACATTTGACAATCAAAAGTTTAGCATAGGTTTAACTAGTTAGAAATAAGTTATTTTAATAGTTTGATAATTAATTTATATGCTTAGATGAGAAGTGTGAATAAATCATGATAGATAATTTAATATTTTAATGACTACTTTTTGTATTTGAAGGATGACACAACTGGTGAAAAAATAAAAGGCTAATTAAAAAAAACGGTATAATCACAAATCGTTATTACAGATATCAAACTTATTGCTAACTTTAAGTTCCTTGGTGTATCCAGCGACCAGCGTTTCTCCATCACTATACAATTTATAACTTTAGTGCTTACACCACAATCTTTAAATAAAACTTGTTAAACCAATTTTGTTACAAGAATAAATAATAATATCACAAATCATAATATAATCTTTAGACACAAGGAATTTATTCTTCACACCTAAGTATAAAATGACGTTTTGTTCTTGCGGCCTAAACATATATATATATATTTTATAACAGTAATACTGAACAACTTAAAACATAGTATGGGTTAATTTTGAATAGGGAATCTTCGTATTGGTAAAAGAGATCCGAAAAGTACATGTTGTATAACTGGAAACTTAGCTAAAACCTCCTTTTTATACATCTTAATCAAGCCCTGGTTTATTTTGGCCCAAGAACCTACAGCACTTATACTCCACAGTTGATTAGAATGCTCAGCAAATGGACCCTTTTTAACTTCCTTTATATACTTAATACAAGAGAGAAATATGTAATCGTCTGAATATTTGTCAATTATATCTTCTTCTAAAAATTTTGCTGGTGGATATATTCTTGGCTGATCAATGAGTTGGGAACTACCCCAAATAAATGGTACAAACTGGTAATCATCAAGACTCCAGACACCATGGCTACCTGCAGGTTCCATTCTATATGTCTGTTGTAATCTTCTAGCAATAATTAAATATTTGTTGAATAAAATAAAAACCGTTGGTACATTATCATCTGCCTGGAGAGACCCTATTTTATAAAGACAACACAAAAACATAATAAAGGACATCTCATGTCCTGTACCATAATCAATTCTTGTAGCATTACCAAAGCTCTCTTCCAGATAAACTTTAATTTCTGGTATGGCTAGATGTAGTTTTGGATCCAACGCTTCTTGAAGGTATTGTGTAGAATTTGACTTCACCTTTGCCAACCAATCTCTGAATGCTACATTACCAAATCTCTGTGGTTGTTCAATTGGCGGAAACTCATCTATGATATTATTGATTTTATCTAGCATACTAGCAAACTTATTGATATTTTCGGATATTTTGCAGTCGACAGATAATGGTTTTGCTTTAATAGCTTCATTGAGAGTAGCAATAAATCCTGTGTATTCCATATAAGCTTCAGATTTTTCCCAAATAGCCATATCTGTTATTGTTCTGACTGCTCTCTCCGGCTCAAGAAATCGATGATTTATAGGGAGAGGCTCCTTTTCTGTTTTTTTTCCATCTCCAATAACACTTGCAGCATTCATCTACAATAAACATTGCAAAAAAATTAAGATTCCTTTGAGGAACTGAGAAAATTTAAATTGTCTAATTATCTATTGTTATAAAAAGATATAAGAGATAAGCCGCAATAATAATTGTACTTCGCCTGTCCAAAGGGTAGTCATATCATTTCAATGTTTCTGCTTTCAGAGGCCGATAAGCTTAATTCATTACGAAGGTCACAAATGTCAAAGTAGCAAATATGTTCATGCTTGTGTTACGATTATAAAACGATGTTAAATATATCCCAAATTAAGACAAGTAGCGTAGGGTAATCTAATAATGGATCGGATATTACGAGGTATTATGAGATATCGTGTTTTGGATCGTGCGAGTATGGTTAAACAATTTCAACAAGTAAAAGACAACCCCGTGGTGAGTAGTCCCTAACTGCATAAAAACTAACCTTAACAATTTTTGTAGTGCCTATTTTAACCGCTGCTGATAAGCACACAGTATGTCGATAAGAATAAAACCCAGAGTAACAAATTCGTAGTATCTAATATTTAAATCAGCTGTAATAAAAAATTGTTGACAATATCAGTACCTATACATTTCACATACGCTGTTTTCCTTTTGTAGAATAATGACAGATGTTATCTGCAATGTTTTGACAGTTATGACATTGAGCTTGACAAAAGCTTGAGCTTGTCAACTTGGCCTTAAAATTCAAAACAGAAGGAGAAGAACGTTGTGTAACTCTATGACATTCATAATTCTAGAAAAAAATAGATAACTACCCAACGTTTCACATTTTTAATTGTTATTTTACTTAAAGAGTATAAGGGTGCGTAAATAGAAGTTTTTTTAAACTGTGATTATTTGTATTTCATTATGTACGGGTACGAAAGACCGGAAAGTTCCCGAAACCGTTGTGGTATGGTCCGACTCTACCAAATGAGCTGTCGTACTCTGTCGTAATCTTAATTGATATTATGAATAAATTCTTTTAGCCTAAGGCAATATTTTATACTTGCATGGACAGCAGAATGATCCCAACACGATTCACAGAGACATCTGTCGGTGATATGTTTGTTGGTAAGCTTATTTTAGTGTGTAATTTGGTTTGAGTATTTACATCTGGTTTTACATATGTTTTTCTTATATCCACGTTTAGTTCGAAATGCTGGGAATCTCATTCCACATTCTGAAACGTTTGTTGATGAAATGACGAGCTGTGAACCTGCTGGTTTGGAACTAGCCTGTATTGTAAATGATATAAGGCATGTGATAGTATGCGGACATAGCGATTGCAAAGCGATAAATCTCTTATATCAACTAAGAAACAAAGAAGAATCGAGTATTGTATGTTATTGATCGTTTCGTGATTTTGTTGCTATTATAGAGATATAGAAAAATATATTAAATATCTAATATATCTTAGGAAAAACGGCGAATATCACCCTTGAAGTCTTGGCTCTGCTCACACGCACAATCGAGTCTGGAGAAGTTTATATCAATGAATGGTGACTTTAAACAACCCATGTTGTTTTCGGCTGAGACACCACAAAGGAAATTCGTAGCTTATATTGATCCTGAGAACAAGTTCTGCATTGAAGACAAGTTATCACAAGTAAGCAAAGACTATAAATAGGAGCTCCTTTATGTTTTTGAAAGTCCTCTCTTGATATTTTTATATTTCGTACCTACTTTAGAAACTATATTTTGTTTTTAAGTTTACGAATTGGAAAACCGGAGCACGTAAAGCGTTGCTTAATATGTGACGTGTTTTTCATTTACCTATACAATAAAATTAAAGAACATTCGAACAACCAAAGCCAAAATAGTTCGACAGAGCTTCGCGTTTGGATATATCCCCCATATATTTTCCCTTCTTGTAAAGTAGTAAAGTTTCCATTAAAGTGTCCCATGCTTATCTTTCCACTACAAAAAAATCAAGAAACCTCAAATAACAGTAACTTTATTTTTAACACTTTCCAAACGAAGTAAGAAGATTAGATTTTTATTACGTTACTCATAATTAAAATGATAGACTGAATGATGATGGAGATAAATACTATTTATAATATTTCTATATCTTCTTTATGTGCAGGTGAATACTCTTCAGCAGCTGCAAAATGTTGCATCATATGGCATGTTGAAGAAACGCTTAGAGAAACATGACTTGCATATTCATGCCCTTTGGTTTGACATCTACACTGGTGATATCTACTATTTCAGTCGCCGAGCGAAGAGGTTTATCATTATAGATGAAGCGACGTATGAATCTATTTTAAGTGAAGTCAGGAGATATTATTCGTAAGGAGATATGTCGGAAGCGTGGCGGTTGCTTAACTAAATTTTACATGGGAAAAGAACATGATGTAGTATCCAAAATAATTCTCGCACTCAAATTTTACTGAAATAGTTAAGCCTCGTTGGGTTCACCCGTTGGACCGTTCCGGTTATAATCACCAAGATGGTGGCCGAAGTTGTTAAAGACAGATTACTCTCGAAACGGCTCAACTCATGTTCATTTCTTATCTCTTTTGTTTCCTAAACCATATATGCTAAATAGAGAACTCTGTTAATATTAGTATATAGGCCATAAACATAGTTACATTAAATTTCAAGCAATTTGCCAGTTTTAAATAGCACTACGGACATATTACGATAAATAAAATTATCTTAATGTACATAACGGGTCCAAAATCTAATTAAATAGGTTCCTTACTGTAGTTTAAGCATCATAAACTAACACAACATTAAACTTCAATTAATCTGAATTTCTACAATTTTATTAATTTCATTCTTTAGAATATGAAGTTAATTATAATGTACAAATTTCAAACTACGTTTATAGTATATTTAATAATAATGGTGTTTACTTAATAGGTATAAATTATCTTTCGTGAATCGGTAGGTATGTAAAAATATAAGGCCTTATGTATTTAGAAGAATTCTGGTACTAGACCTTACATTTTATTATAGTTTTTTAATAAATGGTTATTTTATATTTTTGTAAAAGAATAAAATATACATATGTAAATTATGAATGATATCACTGCATCTTTTTATTCTCTTATTCCATTTCTTCTCTTCTAATTGCATAAATTATATTATCTGTCTTTGTTATTGCTAATTATTATATTACTGGCTCTTACTAAGTAAAAAGTAGGTACCTACCACTTACTTACAGTAAAAAATGAATCAAAGTCTTTTAATCCCTTATTCTTGTAATATGTGTATACACTTTTACTTTGTATCTTAAAATTTTACTTAATTTTTTTTATTTTATTAATTAGGTTGCACTAACTTTTCAGCTCTTTAATAACTTTTTTACTTATTCCAACCACGAGATGCAATTATTAACCATACATTCCTATGGTAGTCTTAATTCAGCGAATTCGTGTAGTATAATAAATATACTTTTGTCTTGTATGGTTAAGCTGGTTGAGCTGAACTTGTAAATACTATTCTATTATTTGCAAGTAGTTCATCAATCAAAAATGCGTCGGTGGTATCGTAATAGACTGTGGTGAGGTGTCTTCTGTGCTTCACAATACATATCATTCAGCATCCATTATTTGTTCTAAATTTAGTTTCTTTTATTGGCGAAACAAACTCGGGATATTTTAGAAGCTAGTAAACACTCCCACTGCGAGTTGTATTATTTACTTAAAGACAAAAAGTGTTATAGTACGTTATGTAAATACATTAAAAACACAATATGATCGATATAAGAACAAAAATGTAAAGTGTTATAAGTGATTTTTACACTTTTAAAACTTGTGGAAATAAGACGGCTTAAAGGTCTAAGTACTAAGCCATAAAAATTAAAAAAAAAATAGTGCCCCTAGCGGCAAAGTTGAGAAGCTATCTAAGATCGACATTTCTTGTCTGATTCTAAAAGATTGAAATTGTTTCCTAAAGTCTCAAAATTTGCTAAAAGAGTTGTTAGAATTTATAAAATGACCTTAAGGACTAAAATTTTAATCAATTGCTGGAAAAAACAGACAATTGTCGGTAGGCCGATGTGAATTATTGCAATTATTATTAGTTCTATTTGAAAAATCGTTCTTAGACAGATTTACAATTTTGACACTTAAAGACGCTAGGTAAAATTTTTTTTTAGATAATAGTAAGTCAGCTGTTTGTAGTCGGCTGTCAGTGTCGTCTATCAACTGTCACTAGATTACAAGCTCAAGGTTAGGGGGTTAGGTATTACGATTTACAAGTATTACCTAAAAGTGATGCAATGTTGTGACTTGTGGAAATTTAATAACATTATATAATACAATACTTTTCCGTTATTATAAGGTATCTACAAGCTTTTTTTTATATTTTCAATTTTGAATTAAATTTGTAGTACCTACCCAGAAGATATATAGGAAATTGTAAAATATTTGAACAATGCTTACTTGGAATTAATTGCTTATATATTACTTATTTTGTTATTTCCGATTATTACATTCTGTTACAATATGATTTACTTTATGTTACCTTTACAGGAAACTTTGAATCTCAAAATGAATCAAAAACCAATATTTGAATACAATGATGAGTCTCAAGCAGAGAGGTTAGCAAGGAAGTCTAAAGATTCTCCGTTTATGATCCTTGGTAATAAGTTAATCTAATCTTCAATTTATTCAAACATTTGTGTCACAATAATCTAATATATCTACCAACTGAACACATTCTTCTAGAGTAAAATGTATGTGAGAAATTTTCACTAAGTATCTCTAAAACAGGTTACAGTTTGTGCTCTTTTGTGAAAGGTTGTGGTTAAGATGTATGGCTAATAATCAAGAGGTTGTAGGTTTGATCCCCACTAGTTCCAACATTTTTCTATTTTTCTCATTAAATAGGTGGCAGGAATATTGAAATTCCATCCTGGTTACAAACCACCAAACACAGATGAGAAAGAGGTCAAATTTTATAACATTTTGGTTTCTATCTGTTTGTTTCAGTCAAAGTTGGTTGACATTGCAGTTTGTTTAGATATTATATTATATGTCCTGTGGTATTTTACCTAATTTAATAATTTATTGTTTTAGGCATTATGGGATTAGTTGGTGTGTGTGCAGTGGGTGCTTACAAATACAAGAAAAGAGGCAACATGAGCACCAGTATATTCCTGATGCAACTCAGAGTAGCTGCTCAAGGTACAGCTGTAGCAGCACTCACATTGGGCCTGGGGTACTCTCTTGTCGATAAATATATACTGAAGACTAAAAAAGAAGAATAATTTCTATCCTTGAAAGTTCTTCTAAATGAATGTCTAGGAAAATTTTATTTAACAATAGAACAGTATTTGTATATGACACTGTGATTATGTGGATCAAGCACACAAGACCCAGATATAGGCATGTTGGAGCCATTTTAACAAAATATATTTAAATGTTAAAACATTGTAAAACTCAACTTCTTAAATAGTTTAAGCAAAAATGTAAAGTACATACAAGATTTCTATTCTCGTTATACTATATTTGTGTAATTTCTTGATATTATGACTCTGATGTGACCATGTCTACAGCATTAAGTTAATAACTTAATTGTTTAACTTAGATATTAGTTTTGTGTTCTGTGATTTTAGCTGTTATATGCTTACATGTAAGATGTCTATTTATTTTTGTAACATCATAACCTTTGAGGTATTATGATGCGTTTGTGTAAATGTTATTAAATACTACAGCTTCTTTTGGAGTATTATTAATATGAGCGTTAAGATAAATTCTTAATTTTTACGTGTCCTATTTAACGTAGTAATTGAGATTTGGTTCTCAATGTCGTTAGTCTTTTAGTTTAGTCGTAGGACGCGCACATCTAATGATGTCATCCACAAGTGTAAACACCGAAAATAAATTATGAATTGCGACGGCCGAAAGTCGGGAAATATAGAACAAACATAGGTCGATAAATGATATCAATAAGAAAATACATAGTAATATAATATAATATTTTTTAATGACATTATGTACATACACAATAAAAAACAAAGCATTTAACAAAAACCATCACATGTATATTAAAAATTTCATTTAAAAAATTACAAAAAACTAATATTAATCACTTTTACTAGTATCGGACAGTCCTTTCCTCCGAAGACTGTAATTAGGAATGGTTAAATCATCTTTGTCAGATGTGGAATGATTACGAATGGAATTGGACGTCACTTTTACTGAAGATAGTTCATCTGCATTGCTGAATAAACCGTTAGACGTGTTAGAGCTGGACGTTGTGTGATATGTTGTTGATTTAAATATTTGAACAGGTGTTGAAGTTCTCGCTCTGTTCCCTTGAGTTGTAATAGATGACTGGTCATTTTCTTGTACTTTTTCGGGCGTATGTTTTATTTCTTCTGGCATTTTTGTTTCATACAAGGATACGAATTCATCGGCCTCTCTGTTGGATTTATTCGTAAATGTAATTTTTTTCGCTAATTCATTTGTAAGAAATTCTTTTACAGTCATAGAGTTCGTTAAAGAAGTTTGCTGTATTACATTTTTAGCACTATCGTCTATGTTTTGTTTTATATTTGGTTGTTCCGAGTCTGTAGTGAAAGTGGGCATTTCTTTATTGAAGCCTTTCAATTTTATTTGCCTGTAACTTGAACTAGACGTATTCGATGACGACGATAGAGCTAACCTTTCCTTGGTTTTCTTCAATGTTGATGAAGCCCATCCCATGCCAAGTTTTTGAAACGCATTCTCCAAATCTGGATTTGAAGATATACTTAATGTTTCAGATGTTTCAGCGACATTCTCTTTATTTGAAGCGTGTCTGCTATGGGTTTTTTTCACTGAGCACATTTTCGTTAAAGCTAATAGCGAGAGAGACGATTCTGATGAGATACTGCTGGTAACATGGGACGCCGAGTCAAACTTAAAGGGCTCACTTATGATTTTTCTTTTCAATAGTTCAGAAATAACGTCCGGTAAGCTGCCATCGGAATGCAAGGAACTTATTTCATCGCAGATGACCTCATCTTTTAACACATCTTCAGCATTAGACGCATCATCTATATGAACATCACACTGTTTGGCATAATCTTGTAAACTCACGAAGGGTTTAAGCATTATGTCGTTAAATAATTTCATATCCATCATTTCAATTTTGGTATCGGTAGGGGCTGGTCGGTTGGCTTTATACAAATTACCATTATTAACTTGAAACTTTAATTCGTTTTCTCTTTCTCGAGGCTCATTTATATTCGACATTCTCCCTATGTCGCTTTCCTTTCTAGTTTCATTAGCTTGGTAGACGTCTCTCCGCGATGGTTGGTTAGATAATTTGACACTCATTGGCGAATCAATCTCCATTACTGTAGATAGTTCATGCGGGACAACTGGATTATCTTGAACATTTCTCAGACTGATGCGTGAAAGTGCTGGAGGAGGCTTTGTTTTATATTTAATCTGGTCAATTTTACTGGAAGATGTAACAACATCAGATTTTTCACTAATAGTAGATAGAGTTAAGGAAGAAGATGTCGAGGGTCTAGGTAGGTCTTTTAGCAATGGTATATAGGTAGAATTTTCTCGCATGCGCTCTGGGTACGGAAAATCGAAGTCTTTGTTTGAGTATTGCTTTTCTTCTGGAGATTTTACGCTTTGAACTTCTTGAATATCATCAAATACTTTAACGTTTTTGGGCTCTGAATCGGACGTGCTATCAGAAGTCGAAATGTGGCTATATGCCGATGTTTTGTTGCGCCTTACCTCTTCAAGAACTTTGGCTAAATTAGACAATCGTTTCGTGCATTTCTCAGTTAGGTTAGCAATTTTTTCCATGTTTTGAAGTTTATTCTCGGCTAGCTTCATAAAATTTATTTCACTGTCAATTGCACTTGTCTGCGTGGATGTATCTAGAGGAGGAGTGCGGGAATGTGACCTGGTTTTTTTATTTCCAACTTTAGGACCCGCAAAAACAGAAGCTTTTTGATTCGTTGGTTGCATTTTATAAGAATCGAAACTTCCTTGTGTATCATTAGACGAGCATTGAGATAAAGGCTGTCGATCTAGTTTCGTCTTTACAGAGTTCGTCTCCATGTTTGTCTTGTCTCTGCAAATATTCCTTCTAGGAGTTGGTGAGCTCTTACTTCGACTTTTTCTTTTTGTCAGTATTGTTTTAGGTGTCCCCTTCATTTCCTCCTCCTTCAAAGGAATACTTGTAGAGGACGTAGATGACTGAGGTTTTATTTCAGTGTGAATGTTCATATGGACAGGTGGCTTATTGGTATTAGAATTTTTATTTTTAAATAAATTTTTAGAAATATTTAGTGATTTTACTTTGTGAACTTTTCTCCGTCTATAGATTTTAGAAGCGTGTCTGTCCTTGTTATCTAGTGATTGTAAGTGATAATTATTCAGAATGGCCCGTTTTGCGTAATCGTTTAGTATTTGTTGTTCTAACATAACTTTTAACTGTTCTAAGGAAATTTTATTTTCTAGAGCAGCACCCTTTTTAGTCATATTGCAGGAAGCATTAACTATTGAACTCCTAGGTGTATCAACTGAACTGCAATCTTGGTTAATAACTTGAATAGCCTTTAATCCTTCTTTGTTAAGGGCCAACAATTTATTAACATATTCTTGGACTACAGGATTCAAACCTTTTTTCTTTGTGAATACATTGGGAATTCGTGGGGTCTTATGGTAACTTTTCCTGGACAAAAGTGCAGGTACCGATTCTGTACCAGGAACGGCTTTGGTGGAACTTCTATGCTTGTGCGATTTCCGACAAACCTTACTTTTAGGCTTATGTCTGTGATTATTATCTAAGTTTTCAGACATATAACCTCTATCACGGTGACTTCGAGCCGTATTTGGCGGAGTGTCAGTTGTGCTACATATTATTTTACATTTGTATGATTCTTCAGAATGCGAAGGCTTTCGTGTGCAACCGTATCTTTTGTTTGATTGAAATTTCTCACGATAATTGTCGTTATTACTGAGTAAATCGTCGTCAGTGCATAAAACCTGATTTTGTCTCAAAAATCTTGGCAAGATTAATTCTGGTGGACTCATATACGCCGTAGACGTCGATGAAGACATATGCATGAAGACGGGTCTAGACACTGGTGAATTAAATGACGTTTGTGTATATGTAGACGTAGCTGGCCTTGGATTATCCGATTTTGGCATTTGATCGGGATTATTAAAATTGTCCAAGAAAGTGGTATTTACTTGTTTGTCGACAACATTTTTTGTATTACTTTCAACGTTCGCATTTTTATTTGACGTAATTGTACTTGCTGAAGTTTTCTCGTCTGGTACGATAACAGATTCGGCTTTGGAGCTCAGTTCAATTTTATCGTCGTGTTCTTGATTGATAGACGTTTGTGCGGCACATTCCCTTAAATTTTGACCCTGAAACTGTTGCACTTCAGTGTCCATTTTTGACTGGTTTCTAGCAGGAAGCGTCGCACTTTCTAGGGTATCCGCCTTTTCTAACTCTTTCTTTTTGAGTTGTATAACTACTTCATAGTTATCATCTTTTAGGAAACCAGACGCACCGACGTAAAATTTCCCAGCGTCTTTCCCAGCTTCGTCCATTTTAATGAAGCCCCCATCAACAATTATATTACCACTCTTATCATTGGTAGCCGTTTGGAATGAAGAAGTAGACGTGGCAGCTGATGCCGCAGGCTTTGGGTTGCGCCTTGAACATCTACACCCAAAACACCTGTGTTGACATCTGGAATAAAAATGTAATGATTGGTTAGACCAGCTCTTGACCGCGTATATCTACTATAACTACGCGTAAAAACCAAGTAGACACACCAACTGGACTGTACAGAGTCCCTACGCCACTGGAAACATTCTTTGTTAAATTTTGTCAATGTCAAAATTGAAAAATTTAATAAACAAATAACTTACCTGCACGATGAAGTTTTAGGTTGTTGGTTGGTATCTGAAATAAATAAAGATATAAAGCACTCAAATCGTTAAAATTATTGTTAATAAACGAAATTAAAGAGTTCAAATAGTTACTGCCTAGGTGCACCGGCAACATACAAATATAGACTTTAAATTAAAACGGTAGAGTCCAAATTACCTGTTGGACTTCCTGACTTCTTGCACTCCGTATCGTCGTGTTGAACCGTTTCAGAAAAGTACATCGATGCAACATTGTCCCTGGAATACATTTCACGAGAAATTACAAGCCAGATACAAAATTAAAGAAGGTCTTTAACCTAACTCTACTATCTATGTCTATTGGGCTATATTACAATAATTAAAATCTACCAGATGTTATAAAATATTACCACCAAGGCTTTCGTTCAGTAGATGTTTTCCACATTTCCACATTGCTCGTGTAACAACTCATAATGTTGTACACTCTGTGACCAAAAAACAAAGTTAAGATTATATTGTAAAATATTATACTAATATCATTTACTAAATTAAACCTTAATAAGAAAAGTAATATTCTAAATCTTTCTTTCAAGCCTCTTTCTACATTTGTGCCAATAATATTATATCCTTTCAATAACCAAATTACGTACACAACTATATTATACAATAAATAAATAAATATTATAACACTTAACGGGTTTTTATTGCATCAATAAAAACCTGTGAACCGTTGCGAGTTAGACTCACACATAATTGGTTCCACACTATTTTTTTATTAATCCTGTGATTAAAACTTTACTATAAACTAAAAAAACTTGGCTCTGTTGTATTTAGAAGCTCTATTACATAAACGTTTTATTCTTTTAATAATTCATCTGTATTGTGGCATCAAAAACATATATTTTTAATTTCAACAGTCCATCTCAGTTAATAAGATACAATGCTGTAGAAGTGTATGTATGTCAACTCACCCATTATCTGCAACTTTGTAGATTCCTGAAAGTTATATGAAAATCATATTAGGAACATTGCTTTTGGCAGTATTGAAAATATAAAAAGGTAGCATATTATACAAAAGCTAAAAACCATTGTTGTAGGGGGAATAGTTGCGCATCTGTACAATCGCGCACGTAATTGATTGGAAAACGTGACTGCACTCGAGAAGCAAGCGGAGCGTCGTATTGGTGCGAGAAAGACAACACGACTGGGGAACCAATCAACGCTAGCGCACATGACGTTCACTTACCCCGCGCCCGCTTCCGTCCCTTCGATATCTAATATTTTACTTTTGCGCAGGATTGGTTCAGCGCTAAAGATCCGTGCCGTTACTTATAGCAAAGATTAATTTCTTTAGTCTAACAATGTTTTAGTAAAAACAAACAGATGTGAATTAAACCATAATACATATTGCAAGAGTTTTGTGTACCTTCATTCAATTTTTCGAATGCTATATCCTGTTGAGCTTGTGATTTTGGAAGTTCACTGTTATCGTTATTATCTTCAACATTTTTCTGAATCGATTTATCCCCATTTTCACTAGTGCCCATGGCTTTGTTCTGATTCATAATTCTGGTATTTTTACAATTCCTGGACTTCTTACTTTTTTTAGAATCCAAAATCTTATATATCACAATTCTATCTCCATCAGATAGTCTAGGGTCATTCAGGAATGCTTTGTCAGTTTTAGTGCTCATTTTAAAGCTATTACAGCTTTCATCTGAAGTAACAGATGATGCGTCAGTTGTCGAACTATTTTGCTCCATTACAAGTGTCTCAACCACCTCCATGCGTCCCCCTTTTCCTTTCGGGACATCTTTAGTAGGGGGAGTGTGGCGATGTCGAGATCGATATTCATGGTAGGTATCAACATCATTAAATTTAACAGAATTGTTCTTCTGATTTCTATTGTCGTGTAACATTTGTGTGGGTAATTCAACATCATTTTCAGGAACTGGTGTCCAATCATATTGTGTGTTTCTTCCATGTTCAGGGGAACATGATTTTTTTCTGCCTTGATGTGAGGATTTTTCTGTATGCTATAATAAATACAAGGTTTAATTGTATAATGTAAGGTGTAATTGTAATTTCGCGGCAATATTTTAAAACCCCGAGTTTTAACTTGTTCAACCATTGTAATTGAGACGCATGGTGGCTAACGACAAGAACGTCTGTATTACGACGGACGGTCAGGTCCAAAACCCAGAACCACCCAAGAACCTTTAAATAAAAGCTATGTGTAGATCAAGTGACTTTATTTGACAAAATTATTTATAATTAGAGTGAGCAATAGAGTTACTGAATTTAAAAAAATGCTTTACCAGCATATAGGCTTGTTTTATTGAAAACAGATGGCACTAGCTAAAATTTATAACTGGCATTATTTACATTTTATAACATCATTATCTGGTACATAAAAATAATTATTATAATCTTTATTTGTATATTGTAATACCTTGCAAAGCCTTCTAGTACTGTCCTTTTCAATCCTTTTAAACTCTTCTTCAAGTTTTCTTTGTTGCTTCTCACTTCGAATTTGTTGTCTTACCTCATCCATATGTAGTGTGTTCTTAAATATTAAAACCAATAACTTTCAAAATTAGTTATTTGGAAAATTAGTAATAGATTAATTACTGAATGGTTACTTACATAGGGTTTTGTAGACTTTTCTTTTGATAGTGAATTCAAAAATGACAAAGTATCTTTATATTCCTTATCAACTTTCTCTCTTGTAACAGCAATTCTGTTTCTATTTTCTTCCTTTTTCTTTTCAAGAACTTTTTTCTTCTCCTCATTTACAATGGATGTTTCTAATAAAGCTTTTGTATAAGCATCGTCTGACGTCGTCTGCTCACGTACAACAAATTGGTCATTGTTATAGCTGACGTCCTTTGTATCTCGTGTGCTGTGGTTATATGTGGTGACTGAATTTTTCTTAGCCAAATTATCACTGCTAACTTTCGACTTATCATATTTGACTGAAAAGGTAGTAAAATAATATATATATTAAATAATAATAGATAGACATAGAAAATTTTAAGGTAATATGGCTATGGCTATATGTAGGCTACATTATATTTGCTAATGAATATCCAATAATCCTCTAAGAACTAAATTTGGATTCTTTCAATAAATTAGGAGTACGTATAAAATGGAAAATTAACAAACAAAAATGATGAGAAATATCTAATAACCATATTTTAAAAACAGGCTTTGTCACCTGGGGTAGTGCAAGGTTTAGTCTTTCTGTAAATAGGTCTTTTCAAAAGCGTTTGTGAGGATAAGTCAGATCTATGACAAGGACTTCTTTTATTAATGAAAACATTAGTAACAGGCTGTACAGGATTAGAGTTTAAATGTCTTTGACAATGACAGCAGAGACAAGAATCATAATCTTCTAGTTTCCAGGATGGGATAGGGATAAGCTGTTTATCAAGAACATGGCATATGGCCGAGTCATTACCGTCTGCCTTTGAACCTCTACTTCAAGTATTGTTTCCTTCAGACTCTGTAAATCATCAGATTTTTTAGTTGCTATAGGCTCGGTTTCCCTCAACCTTAGGTTTCGTGTTTGTAAATATTCTGACACTAGCGTCAGTGATGACTTTTGTTGTGGGACATTGTTAGACAACATTGTATTTCCACCTCTTAGACTTGATGGCATTTCGTCACTCAATGCAAATAAGTTGATTCTTTTAGAGTCACCCTTTTCATTTTCTTTCAACTTATTATTGTCATCTTCGGGTAACAATAATTTCGGAACAATGGTACTTGAATCCTGTGATAATTCTTCACCATGCCATTGAGTACCCATATCATTTTTATGTGAATTAGCTTGACTGTTCTCTGAAATATCCTTATTGTTGACAGTAATGGTACTGCCCTTGTCTTTATTTTCCTCTACATCAGTCAATTTGTTGTTTAAAGTTTTAGAGACAACTAAACTCTTCTCCTTACTTAGTTCATTTGCAGTTTCTCTATAAAATAAATTTTAATAAAATAAAATATAGAAATATGTTGAAAAATTGTTCACATCTACAAGTTTTGGACAATAACAACAATTCATATAATACCTCGCTTGCAATTTTCTATCCAAAAGTTTCTTTTGTTCGTCTAGTTTTTCTTGCTTTCTTTTCCGGACTTCTGCAATAGCTTCTCTACCTCTTAATTTAGATAAATCTTTTTTATGGTCATCTGAAAAGTTGGTATACATTTTAACTGCTGGTTCAAAACTTGCTGATACTGATCAAAGTTTAGTGGTCAAGGTAGCAGGGAAACACTGGATTCCAAACATCCTGGAATGACCGAACATACTCGAAATCTAAGGGGGGGGACTATGACCAGCAGTGGGCACCAAACAACTGAATCGAACTGATCCAAGTTTATTAAGACGATGTTTATTTCAATAACAACAAAAAACTAAAACATCATCTTGAAGTAGAAAAGGTAAAGTTTAATCATTACATTTACCGTGTTCCTATAGTCACAAGGATTGTTTTTTTACTTGGACAGATGTGGAAACTCATTTATATTTTAAATAAACTCATTATGTTTTTTATTAAAAATTGTAAATAAGAAAAATATCTACCCGCATTGATTACGTTAGCAGCATTTTTGTGACTACTGCCAAGATTTTGTAAGCTTTGTGCATACAAGTGTTCCAATCGGTCAACCAATTTTTCTTGTAAGGCAAAATATTGTTTTTCTTTCTGAGCGTCTAGACTTATAACATGTCGTAACTTTTCAACTTTGGCCCGCTGTCGAACTTTCTTTGCTATATCTTTGGACTGTTCCCTGACCTAAAAATTTAAATTATGCAATCATTATTATCAAACTTCTAAACACAAATTCTAACCAATTGAAAGAAATATTGCCAAACCTGTTGAAGCCTTAATTTTCGACGTCGTAACAATTCATTTGTTTTCGAAACATCAATTTCTGAAGTCATCGTGACGGGTTCTATGTCCGCGTTTGTAAGATTGTTTCAAATCCTCTGTCAAATATTCAAATTGCTACATAATTTAAATAAAAAAATAGGAAAAAGCAACTTTAAACTATTAAACAATAATAATTATGAAAAACTCGACAACTAAGCTAAGATTTTCAAACATTGAAAAATTTCAACGAATTTAAATGTCAGTCGTAAACTGACATTGACAAATACATCAAACTACAGAAATACCACAGAGTAAACGTCACAGGTAGTTAAATACATTACATAGATGAAAGTTCTTAGAAATAAAGATTAAGTTTTTAATGTCAAACATTATAAGTTATTTCATAACAATTAGCTGTAAAATTTAAACTTTACTTATTATGTTTGTCTTAAGAGAAAAGGTCGAACAAGACAACGACTAGAGGATTATGAGAGCTTCTACTTTACTCATAGCAACAAATCAAATTTGAACCCATTGGTTTTTAATATTTGCATCCGTTTACACTAGTTTGACACTAGCGGACTAAACTTTAATAAAAATAGTTGTAACTACATACTTGTTAATTTTATAGTAAACTAATTTAAAAAAAAGTGCAGACAATAGCAAAATAGCAATTGACACAGACCATGCTGATAAAAATAAGTAAAACATGCGTTTGTATTTAAAACATTTTATTAAATAATTACAGTAAATCTTTTAGTGCGCCACCGACAACTCCATTAGTAGTATCCCCAATTCCGACTCCAGCTATCGTTTGCTTACCAAGGTCAAGTTGAGCGACGTTATTCGGATTATTGGGATTTAGTAGATCTAGATTCACCAAACCATCTCTATGGCCTCTTGAAGCCTGCGAGCCTCTTCCTCCAGATGGGTATTCTGATCTATAATCGCAGTTGCACCTGTTTTGCGAGGTGGATGTAACCACCAGTGCATTGACCAACTTCATTATCAACTCTTCTGGGTTAAAAGCGTTACTTTTTGGTTTATCGTCTTCCTCCAATATGCGGGCGAGATTCAACAAGGTTTTTATCTCGTCACACGATGAAGAGCATGGTTCTGGTTGGTAATTGTGTGGCATTGGGCGATGTAGCCCAAAACATTCTACATTTGAAATCTAAAAGTTTATGTAGAATCAGTGACAAAGCTTTTTACGTGTTACAATAAAGCTTATAATAAACCAAACTAGAGTAAAAAAATACTAAATAATTAATTATTTATCGAAATATAAGAAAGTACCGTCTATCGTTTATGGGATTGGTAGTACAGATGTTTTTTTACGAAATAGGTTCCGGTGTTCGGGGTAATTGAAAAATAAGTTACTAATATATTTACGTTTGTACGTATTTCGCGCTTATAAACATATCAGATATTTATATCAAACTATACTTACGACGAAAACCGCAAAGAAAACGGCTACAATATTACGTGTTGTATTCATTTTTCTATTACATATATTAAATGTATAAACCTTAACCATCAGAAAGTCTTATATACTTTAATAGAAAACGTGTTACAACATAATTTCGAAAATAATTCCAGCAAAATTTGTAAACTAGTTATTATTAGTTTATCAAAAGATATTACACGAAAGTCACGTAATTTTCTCATTGTTTCACTACGGTGGGTCACTGGGTAACTATTTTACTTCATTGATTGAATATTTATAATCTTCACGTGTGAGAGCACATGGCCATTTTATAACCACGTTTATTAGGATGTTTTAAGCTTGCCTTGGTTAACGAAACGTGTGATTCTCTTAGACATGTTATTACCTGTGTTGATCGGAATTTTCAATCCTGGTTACAACTACTGCAATATATCAAATATAGCTTAAATTTTTATTCATCGGTCTTAAATAATTGATTTTAAAAATCGTCTTTACAACAATATTTAGGAAATGAAAGAAACAAGACGGGAACTAAAAAAACATGTCAACTAAATTTTATTCTGAATAAAGAGAACGGTTATGTATAAACATGTATTGAAATTATGTATGTAACAACACATACACATATTTCATACCGATACACCCAACAAATCCGTGTCTCCGAGCGCGACGTTCAGCAAATTACCGCCTTTACCATAGTTTCCAGAATTGCGTTCTGTAGTGGAGACTACTAAGGCATCTATAAGTTTGCTGATTATCTCTGAAGTGAAGCAACCGCACTCGAAATCCCGTATAGGATCATTCTGGGCTTGCTTCAGAGCTCTAGCGACTTCTACCAGGTCAACTCTTTCGACGATCGGTTGCGGTACCAGAACTGAAGTTTTGACAGGACTTACAGTGTAGGTCGCACTTGGTGCTGGTGCCAACACTCGTGGCAATGCACAATACCTTTGCCCGATACACACCTAAAAAGACAACAAATTTATTGATTATTTAAAACTTAAGCAAAAATTACAAAGTATGTGGGTAGAACACGATAAGATACATCCTACCCGCATAAATTGTAATTACTAGTTATACTTACATCACTTAAAGAGACCAAGATAACTAATAGGAATAGACGAAGCATTTTTCAATAAGTCAATTACAAAACTAGAAAATAATGATGCCCTTTTATAATAAACGTTGGGAAACACTCAGAAATAGAAATGCCGTTATCAAATATAATAGACGTAGGTAACTTATATTTAGGCATTAAATTAATAAATACGATATTAATAAATATTAATAATAAAATTTAATAGTATAAATTGCAAAATATGTCAGATAAATTATTTATAATTGATTTTATTACGGCACCGGTCATTGCTGTTGCAAAGCAAAACATCGGACAGAAGTTAAAATAAATTGTAAATAAGTCAAGTTATATGTTTCGCGTTGTAAACCATTAAATCTGTCTTATTTGAATCCTACTCGCATACAGACTATAGTAATATTAAAGTATTTCAAATTACTATTTACTTAATTTATTACTATTTTTGGAAACGTAATCCTGGTAGCCAACTAGATATTTCGTTTCTATGTACGCATAGCTTTGTATCAAGGTATATTTCATATCTAATTAAATATTAAATTCTATTAACATGGATACAAGTCCAAAGCAAAGAAGGAAAACAAACCCCAGACTAAAAGCTAATCTTTTCTCCATATTAACTTTTGGGTAATAACTAATAAATTGTACTTACGACGCCGAAAGCATGTGTTAATAAAATGTTATAAAAAATATTTATTTTTGTATATCTTTAGATGGACAGTAGAAACCTTTATGGTTGGATACAGCCGGGATATTAAGGAAAGTGACTTATATGAACCTTTACCAGAACACCGATCGGATATAACCGGTGAGGTTTACTTAAAAAATAAATCAATCTAGATTAGGTAGCAACTTTTGTTTAAATAAAATACTTCTGGCTTACACCTTTTCAGTATAGCTTTCGAAATGTCGGGCCTTAGTCAAAACCAGTTAAATAATATGTTCCGCTTTCAAACCGTTAAATGCACATTTAGTTAAACTTTAATTGTGTATCGCGTAAGCATTATTAATGGTTCCCGGATTTCTGACATATTTTTTTGTGTTGTGTGTGGCAAATGGACCATCAATTTGGGAAGCATTAAGAATTCGTCACAGAGTACACAGAACTACTCCATAAGTAACACAAAACTTGGTTCAATAACAATTTTTTACATATATTTAAGGTAACACAATTCAGAGATCATGGGATATAGAGGTAAAAAGATGTCAAGAATCCCAAAATGATAGAAAACCTAGTCTATTGACAGTTTTGGTCAAAGTTTTCGGAGCGGAACTTATGCTGTACGGCTTGATATTGGCCGCTATGGAATTTATTATCAGGTGTGTATTACGAAAAAAAAATATGATTTACGTTTACTACAAATTCAAAAAATGCAATATCGTTGCTTTGAGCATCGTTACAGACGTTGACGCGAGTCGTAAACATAAAATAAAACCCTCTGAATATTAAATACTATCTGTAGTAGTACACATTTGAATAACACACGTTAACGGTTTAAAACGCGATATTTATTAGTTAAACTTATTTGATAATTTTCAAATAAGTTTTTAACCTGTGACCCGAGAGTCTCCCTGTGTCCACGACTGCTGCAAATCATCTGAAACATCGGGCCGAAGTAAAAATCAAGTAAATCACAAAGTTTCGGCGCTGGATGTAGGTGTAGGGCTAAATGGACAGCATAGGGTAGTTGGATACGACGACGATTTGGCTCTTCTAGGCCAAACAAAGAACGAGGTGCAATGTCTGGCGAGAACCTTGATCTCTGAAGCAGCTGGAATTGGACTGAGAGTAAACCGAGAGATATCGGAATAAATCCACATGAAACGCTCTAAGGACAAAAGAAAGACACTTGAGGACCTACATGTGGACGGTATCTCATTTAGCGGCACCAGTAAATTCAAGTACCTCGGCTGCACAATAACGGACACGAACTCAAGGGAAGAGGAAGTAAATATCCGGATCCAAAACGCCCTCCGTTGTTACGCGGCCCTCCATAAGGTTTTAACGTCCAAATTACTTACCCGGATAACCAAAATCCAAATCTACAAGACCATCATCCGACCTATTCTACTGTACGGATGCGGGGCATGGACGTTGACGCTCAAGGAGGAGGAAGAGTTACTAGAGGTAAGGAGGATTTTGCGGAAGATTCTTGGCCCGACGCAAAGGGAGGATTGAAGCTTGGGAAAAACGAGGAGATCGAAAAACTCGTAAACGAACCCAACATGGGGGAAGCAAAATCCCAAAAACTCCGCTGGGCTGGCCATTTGGAGAGAATGAGAGATGGTGGGAGGATCAAGAAAGCGTATATCTGAATTCCTACTGGCCAAGATATCGCTGGAAGGACGCCGTGGAAAAGGACCTGCGCGAGCTCGGTGTGGCCGAATGGCGAACAGCCGCGCGAGATTGGCAAAAATGGCGCTCTTTAGTTTCGGAGGCCAAGACTTACGCTGTCGCTGCGCCGGGGGAGTAAGTACAGAAGTTATAAATATCTCGTTTTAATTGCTACAAGAATATAATCAGGTCGACAGCACATCTTGCTGAGATGTTACATGGCTGAAGTGCCATCACGTTCCATCAGTCCATCAAACTCTATGTTCGTTTGATGGACGTACATAAAAGAAAAAAACAATTTCGATACTACAATCAATTTAATAATTCCGCGTGCTAAAATTGTGCACCGCGTCACTAACGAGCGATAATTTCCACGTAACCCAGATTGTTTGATTAAATTTTCTTAATTTTACAGATTACAGCAGCCTTTATTTCTAGGATTACTGCTCAAATACTATAGTCCCGCGCAAGATTTATACAACTCTACGTAAGTTTCCCTTACTTATATAAAGTCAATACTAGCCCGAGTCCAAACCTTTGCCTACAAACATAAAAATCTGTATTTTATCTAATTTAATAATAATAAAATAATTTTTACTATTTCATTCACACTAAATAAATTAAGAATCGATTACAAAAAGTAAATACTTTGTGAACCGCCGAAGCCGAATGTCTAAGCTAGTAAGAAATTTAAGCCGATTCAGCATTGGTTTCGCAAAAAATTGACCTTCAACGGGACACCAGTATTAGGTCAGTAGGCTAGACTTATGAAGCAACATACACATGAAGAAATGACACGTTTAAATTACAGAGCAAATTCAACGTATCTGTCACGTTTGTACTCATATTACGAAACGTCGAGCGGAGTCAGCTGGGGCGAGGCAGTGTTCTTCTCATTCGGTGTCGTGTTCTGCAGCATGGTAAACGTGATGGTGCAGCATCCCTTTATGATGGGAGTGATGCACATCGGGATGAAAATGCGCGTGGGCATCTGTAGCCTTATTTACAGAAAGGTTTCTATAATAGTCTTAGGAATAAACAAATTTGTTATTTAGAATCCCGGATGTAAAAGATGAATGAGCGCTCTTTTGGTATGCTAGTTGTGTCAGCGACTTCGTCCACGTGTAATAGCTCTTTTAGGCATCGAATTAATTTTTACAACCTCCTCATATATTATAGCAGTGTTCCACGACGTCGTTACGTTAATATTAAAAGATAGACATTTACTGTCATGGACATTTTCACAACCAATGGAAGCCCTCGAAGATGGCATTTTCCTCGTTTTTACCACATTTTCCTAGCTCTCACTGGTTTGCAACCTTATATGTTATAGTCTAAAGCCTTCCTTGATAAATAATGGTCTATCTAACACAAAAAAATAATAATTCAATCCAATAACCCTGAGATTTGCGTCCAACAAACAAATAAATAAACAATCTCTTCAGCTTTTTTATTAATAATTAATCGATTCAACTTTTTACCTGCTACTGCAATAATGCTCGACATTTGACACGATAGCACAATTGGTAAGTTGTAACAGTTACCCGTGTTATATTTTGGTATCTAAGCTATATTTTTAAATTTATGCGAAAACTTTTTACGTAAAATTACATTACAATACAAATCATTCCTCTATTCAGGCCTTAAAAGTAAGCCTTCAAGCGATGTCTGAAACTCGAGGAGGTCTAGTTGTTAATCTAATGGCTAATGACGTGAATAGATTCGATACTGGCCCTTTATTTGTTCATTACCTTTGGATTGGACCGCTGGAGACCGCTGTAAGAATTAATGTATAGCATCAATGTATGTTTGTACTTATTAATGTAGTTGATATTTCAAAACTTTTTTAGCTTATGACGATATATTTGTATCGAGAAATGGGTATGTCAGCGGTGTACGGAGTCTTCGTTGTGTTTGCTGTAGTTCCCTTTCAAAGTAAGTTATGTTTTGTCTCTTTTTAACTTATTAATGCTACGGGCACAAGTCTATTTTTTATAGAAGATTTTTATAATATATATATAATAATAACAAACTAACATTCCAGTACAATCGGCTGTTATAATCACTACACAACTTAGAACTCGTTTTATAGGAAAGTAGCTTAATAGAAATATATTTAACAAAGAATAAATGTTAACCTCAAAATTTATACCCTTTTTCTCAGTATTCTTGGGCACCCAAACCGCTTATTACAGACGGAATACAGCGACAAAGTCGGACGAAAGAGTTCGTTTAATGGAGGAAATTGTGATGGGAATGGAAGTGATCAAAATGTACACTTGGGAGCAGCCATTTCGAAAAATAATAGACATCGTCCGACGGTATGACTTAGCACCGCTCTGAAAACATTATCAAATATCTGTATCATGCCTTCTCGCTATTTAAACTATGTCATAAATAGTAACGCTAGAAATTATAAGTACTAACTGTGCCCGCGACTTCGTTCGCGTGGAATAGTGACTTGGGGTAGAATTTTTAATTATTTAGGCTGTTTATTAATTTATGTAAGGGTGCATTTTGGACAGCCAATCTATGTTGTAAATGCTACTTTGCCGCAACACTCTCACCTCACATCACTCCTATTCTAACTCCCACTCTCACTCTCACTCCTACTCCTATTCCCAAAAAACCAAAGAAGAAAGTCATTGACCAGCTTCAAAAACCACGAATTTCCATACAAACATGGGGATGAAATCCCATTTTCAACCCTTATCAACCATTAAAAGTCCTTTCTCAGGCTTTAAAATATATGTGTACCAAATTTTATTTAAATCAGTTCAGTAGTTTCGGAGTTAAAGCCGGACAGACAGATTTACTTTCGCATTTATAATATTAGTATAGAAGTATATTTTATGTATTGTAATCTATCACCTGGAAGAGACTAGTCACCCACGACACAGGCTTGCCCTAGTGTGGGACTTTCGATTCTGCACCATATATAAGGAAACAATGAAGATTTTTTGATTTTGATTTGATTTTGAGATAGGCCATAGATGACACGTTCAATCGCATCGCGTTAAGCTACAGATACTAGCTTAAATTGCAAATTAAAAATTAATAGTTTTGGGTAAGCACGGCACAGTAGGTACTCTAGTCTTCAGTCGTTTGAAAATAAAATTCGATTAGTGAAACAAACATCGAAATGTATCTGCCATGCGCTTGCGCACGTGTTATATGTATGAAAATATTTGATTTCAATCGATTTATTATATGTATTTTATACTTTTAGGATATGCCCTAAGAAATTGCTTTTTATCGATAAGGCCATCCATTGCACCTGATCTAAAAGCGAAGATTTAAATATAGAGTGAATATTAGGGGTAAATTATTGTTAACGGTTTAAAATGTGAAGTATTCTAGTCAATCGGTGTTCAACTACGACCCGACATTTCTTAAAACTGAAATAACTTAACTTTGAAAACTTTATTATTTTTTTACATGTCTCGATCAATCTTTAACTTAACTTTGTTTATATTTTCAGCAGTAGACACGGAGGGCCCGTTTCCACGTAGTGTCCTATTTCATGATTCGTGTGCAGTAAAATAATAAAATCTTTGTTATATCGCGTTCCAGGCAAGAAATTTATTTTATCAAGATGACATCTTACATCCGAGGAGTGATCATGTCCTTCATAATGTTTATTTCACGGTTCAGCATATTTATCACTGTTCTACTTTACGTGACTAACGTAAACAGAATCACAGTAGAAAATGTTTTCTTTCTCACCTGCTACTATAATATCATGAAGCAGACTATGACTTTATTCTTTCCGCAAGCTGTTGGCCAAGTTAGTAGCTAACAATAATTCAAGCCAAGCTAAATTTGTAGCTTACTAGTTCCCATTTATTGAATATGTTTGAGCGAAAATGTTTTTGTAGTGTAAAATGTAAAGTTTGAGTTAGATCAGAACACCTGTTCAAGAATTCGTTAGACGGTAGGAGAATAGACAATATAAATTAACAATGTTTTGCACGAAGGCTCACTATTTAACAACTACAATATTTAAAAAATATACAATGATCACATTTAACTTCTGCCGGTACTACGTTGTTTTTTTATAGGTTGCTGAAATGATGGTGGCTATTCAAAGAATAAACGACTTTTTATTAAGTGAAGAATGCTATTTCCCACCAAAAGATAAAGTCGATACAACAAAAGCTGAAGTCAAGCCTAAAAAACGTGTCACCATTTCTAGTACGTATACACCAGAACATATATTTTTAAGTAGGTATTAAGTTATTATTTCTTATCATTAATCATCTTACAAAACGTTTATTTTAGTCGAGCCCATAAAAACATTAAGAAAACGATCTCTGAAGAAACCTCAACCCAGTACATCATCAGGAAAAGAAAAAGATAAAGCCCCGGGTTAGCTGTTCTTCCTAATAACTAATTTATTAAAGCCAGTTGTATTAAAAGCCAATATCTTTTCAGGTTCTCAAAAGGAGGATGTTATTATAAAATTTGAAGACGCTAACAGCCGTTGGATTAAATCATCAGACATGGATGATGTTACAAACATAAACTTAATGGTACCTACTTAAATGACTTGTTTATGGGTTTTGTCAAGTATAAATTAAAAATCAATTTTATATTGAGCTGCCGTGTCCCACATTAGATGACGTGTAGGACACGGTAGCTCAATCTGTAATCGACTTTTTGAAATTTATATAGTGCCATCATATATATAATAACATTTTTTTTAAGTATAAGCTATTCTAGAAGATAGCTTGAGTTTTCGAGCTCTTCGGCATTTGTAATCGAGAGATTTACCAAAATCTTTAGAAACTCTTTACTATGTATATATTAGGTATATTCTGGATCTCTCACAATAATCATTGGAGCTGTGGGTTCTGGTAAATCCACACTGTTACATATGATGCTTAATGAGCTGCCGTGCTCCAGCGGATCAGTGACCATAAACGGAACAGTTAGTTATGCTAGTCAAAACCCGTGGCTTTTTGTTGGTAAGTATACTTTTGCTTCCTTACGACAGCGATAGCAGAGTACGTTACGTTAAGACTGTACTTTCAAAGGTTCCGTCCGCCAGAACATTTTATTTGGACAGCCGTTCGTAAAAGTCCGATACATGGAGGTTTGCAAAGTGTGTGCTTTAGAACGAGACATTTCGTTGTTTCCTCATGGCGACAAAACGATTGTGGGTGAACGAGGGGTCTCCTTGAGTGGGGGTCAGAGAGCCAGAATCAACTTGGCGAGAGCTATCTATAAAGAGGTGACTATATACACAAATATAATATTTGGCACCGCATACTAAAACCAGTTTTTAAGAAGATAATGCAATATTTTTTATCAAATAAAAAAACTGTTTATAACAAAAAAATAATTATATAGAGACATTACCATAAGAATCTTTTGTGTACTTTTCCATCACAGATAAGCTATGGACGCGTTTGATATCTAACAATTCATTCGCTAGCGAACGCGGATTTAACTAAGATATGTTTTTTTATATAGAATACCTGCTATGGGCTATCGTCTCATTGTTTTTCTCCTAATAACGATACAAAGCGTAGCTCGAGATGCGCATCTACGGTGTAAAAACAACCTAAGACTGATCGTTGCTAAAAATTAACAAAGTTATATAGTTTGCATTATGTTTTATCTCAATTAATTAATCATATTGAGCAATATCGTAATTACAGGCTGATATTTACTTGTTGGACGATCCGCTTTCCGCCGTCGACACGCAAGTCGCGAGACATATATTTGAAAGTTGTATAAAGAGGTAAGAGAAATTTAAATTTATAAAATGAAAATAAGAATAGAAAAAACATATGAACTTTCCAAAATTACAGATATCTGGAAAACAAAACGGTCGTTTTGGTTACACATCAGCTCCAATTTATAAAACAAGCTAATCGGATCGTGATTATGGATAACAGGGAGGTTCTTGCTGAAGGTGAATTTGACGAACTTAATGTAAGTTCAATACTCTATATGTAGTTTACGCGAGTAATACACATTTAAATAAAGCACTGAAACGGTTTAAAACGCGATGTATATTAGTTTTTTTGACTAGCTAACTTATTTGGAAATAATTTCAACTATGACCCGATGTTTTGGATCCTTCGTAGCCGTGGTCACGGGGAGATCTGCTACATAGGCTAAAATAATTTCGAAATAAGTTTAACTAATATACATCGCGTTTAAAACTGGAAAGTGTTTTATTTTAATTTGTAACATATTTGCTCGTAAAGTGGTTGTAATTACACCAATTTCAATATCGTAATGTACGTACGAAATGGGAAATAAAATATACCAAATAAACATTTAATTCTTTAATTTGATAAATTTTGACAATAAATTACAACCTATAACAAATCACAAAAATATATAACTTACTTCATTAGTAATACTGGCTGTTTTTGGACCTTTGCCTAAAAAAAACGTTGATGCGCGCGCAACGCTTAAGTTAGAGTTTTATTAATTTCCTCGTAAATATGTTATAAAACGTCGTATGACATACGTGCGCTTTGAAAATTACAGCCTCTGCTTTCTTATAGCCAAAATTATAGTAATGTCGCCTCGGCTGTAAATTTCAAGTTACCGCACTTATATCATAATGTATATCATAGTTACTGCATCGCTTCAACCTCTTAATGTCCTATAGCTGGACACACAAAGAAGAAAGGTACTGTATTAAAGACTACCTCCACACCATTAATAATGATAACTGGAACCGATGGCTTCGCGTAGTCTCCGAGACTTTTGTCTAAGACATTTTCTATTTTAACATCATTTGACTATTGGTCAAGTTAATAATATAACATAACTTCTGCTAATAAATATAACGTTGTACTAATGAATTTTAGGATCAAGAGTTAGAACTAATCCAAATGATGCAGGAAAAAACTCGAGAAGTAAAAGAGGAAGACCTTATGTCGTCTGTACAGAGCACTGTTAGCTTTCTTAGCTCGAAGCGATCGCATTGGTCACATTGGTCACTGATGTTTGATTCTGCGGTAAAAATAAATATTTTTGATTGTTCTATCACTTATATTTTTTCCCTTTTTTACATTTCTTCGCTTCTATTGATCGTCCTATTAGGAGCTTATAGTCTTCCTCGATAAATGCTCTAACCAACACAAAAATAACTTTTTTAAATCGAATTAAAACTTCCTGATATAGGCGCGTTCAAACAAACAAGCTCTTTAGTCTTTATAATATTAGTATAGACCTTCGAAACGACATTGCAGCAAGATAAATGGCTCGGGCACACCAAAAGCAATTGCAGTGCGGTAGCAGCGCGTCTACGTTTGTAAATAATGTAGTTGTATAAGGGATGACACACCGAACAAACGTGGCCCGCTGAACCTAACGGCTGCGCAACTGCGCCGCGACTGCGCACGCACTGCTCTTTCACAAAACACTTTGGCGGGAGCAGCGCGTTCGCGGTGCGGCTGTAATTTTTTACAAATTTATCGTGGAACTAAATGAAAAATTGATGGAGTTGGTTAGAAAATATAAATGTTTATATGATAATGAAGTACAAATGATTGTTATTAAAGTATGATAAAAACATTTCTCTGACATAACAAGTAAAATTTGACGATCTTTGAATAGTACGAACCTAAGGAGTAGTAGTTGTAGTGTACTAAGTGTGGCGATCGATACGACACACGTAGCGCAGTTATAAAGCAGGGACCGCGCTTAAACTGCTTGCAAACATGTTTTCGGTGTGACGTCAACCGCGACGCAACTGACCTGCGCTGCGCCTGCCCTGCTTTTGGTGTGCCCAAGCCTTTAAGGCTTCTACTGAACTCATGCACTGTTCCAGGACCAAAAGCCAGACGTCGAATTCCAGACTACGGGACGTGTACACGGTTCAATCTATAAACAGTATTTCTTGGCTGACGTCACGTGCCTGTACTTTTTTTTCGTGGCGTGTCTTTTTCTATTGGCGCAATTCTTCGCTAGTGCAAGTGATTACTGGATAAGTAAATGGTCCGTTGTGCTATTCTGTACTCACTTATCAGGTCATAGGACATAGGACTTAAAATTTACATATTACCAACATGGATATGTTAAAACTATGTTTACTACTTTGAAACTATCTACATATTTTAAATTAATTAAATTTAGTTTCTAAGTGAAATCAGTCATTTAAACTTAACTTCCCAAGTATTCATTACTGAACATCTGTGTGTTTGCCTATCTATATGATATTTCCAGGAGTAACGCCGAAGACCACTTGACAGGCGACGCAACCATGGACAATTTATTGTGGTCTGAGTACGGCTTGAGGAGGAGAGATTTCGTTACAATTTTTGGAGTAATCACAGTATTGACAGTTGCAGTAGCTTTGATTCGAGCGTTTTTATTCTTTTCACTTTGTATGAGATCTTCAATTAGGTAAGACGCTAATGATTTAATGACCGCCTCTGTAGCTTAATGGTTAAACGTTGCCAAGCGTTGCGTAAAGCGCGAGAGGTCCAGGATTCTCATCCAGGGGAAGCAATAGATTCTTTCGAACGGGCACAGAAGTGTGATCAACTACTTGACTGTAAAAAAAGCTAATCAGTGAAACGTACACAGAAATGTGTTTGCCCCATGCCCTAAAGGGAAAAAAGAGAGCTATTTTTTTTACTATTTACACAGTATTTCTGTTGGCCACAGCTATAAAATGCTATAGGTGTATTTTCTGTAGTTTGAACCTATATTAATATGTACCTTTTTAAAATATTTTAATTACCTTTGCTTTGTCTTGTTGGCGTAACTAACTAACTATACTCGGTAATAAGTAATTGTTCTTGACTGTGACATAAACTACATGTCTTAATAAATAAGCGATTCGGTTATATTCGCCACATATAATGATTGAATGAAATACAAGCGATGTTATGATCTCTCAATCTTTTTAAGGCTGCACGATAAAATGTTCGAATGCATTTCACTGTCGCCAATGAGTTTCTTCCACGTGAATCCTTCTGGAAGAATACTGAATCGCCTCAGTAAAGATATGGGTGCTGTTGACGAGCTGTTACCACAAGCTATGCTCGATAGTTTTCAAGTAATAAAGCTTTTTTCAGACTATGCTATATTATAAAAGATATTATGAGCCTCGTTATTTCTATTATTATTGGGGGTAGGCCGGGTGACCAGTCAACATTACCAGCTAATCTATCACCCCCCCCCCCCTCGTGCACTTTGGATTCTTCCACTCTTACTGTGCCCTCTTCAATTCTTGCGGTTCCTTTCAAAGTCTTAATAATTTCCCATTGTATGTGTTTTCTTGTAATGGTTAGTGCACTCTTATGAGTTCCTGGGTTCGAATCCTAAGTCGACCCAATGTTTACTATAGTCTAACGAATTTTTCTAAGAAAGACCAGCCCAAAGATCGTCGGTACCTAAAATCCCGTGCCACGTAAAGTACTTCAAGCCTCGGTTATAACCACAAATTTAGTGGCAAGTCGTTAAGAGTATGTATAAGTGTAGAGGGTTCTTAAAATTATGGAAGGAGAGACTTGCTCCCAACTGCCAATATATGGACACCATTACATACATACATATTCTGACAACCCAACCCGACCGAATCCAAAATTTTTATATTCAATAATATTGTTTTAAAAACAGATACTTTTGAACCTGATCGGAGTCATATTCATTATAATAGTGACAGAGGTGACGCTGTTAATACCAATCGCGACTGCCCTTATAATATTCTATATCTTTCGTTTAATCTACGTTCGAACAACTGGAGCTATCAAACGACTCGAAGGGATAAGTAAGTTGAGATCACGATCAGGGACACAAGTCTGCTATTTATAATGACATAACCAGTATTCTTGGAGAATTAAAAAACAACATACTTGTTATTTTTTATATCTGTGGAGGACATGCAAACACGCGATTCACTTGATAAAGGGAAAATCTCGTAGCAATTAAAATGTGCTGTCGTCGGTTTTTTACCGGACGGAATTTCCAAATTCTTACCACCCGTTTAATGTCCAGATTTTCCAAAGATCGATAGATTCCAGAGAGAGCATAGAATCTTAAAAACGTGTTACACTCGCTGAGGATCCAACCTACGACCAATTGGACCGGCTACATATGATATCCAAGGTTTTGTCAGAAGTCAGTTTTTCGTTAGTGAATTAGCAGACTTCGGTCTCAGGTGCTTAATATCTTGACTTCACAATCAGTTTACCAAGATTAATGATAATAACAGCCCGCAGTCCAGTCTTCAGTCATGTAAACGCAACCATACGCGGTTTACCAACAATTCGGTCTTTCGGAGCAGAGTCACTGCTAGCCGAAGAATTCGACCGTCACCAGGATTTACACAGCGCAGCCTGGTACCTCTTCATCACCTGCAGTCGAGCATTTGGTTTTTTCCTAGATATTATCTGCTTGCTATTCATAATTTGCGTGACGTTTAGCTGTTTGATGAAAAGTGGTAAGGTTCAAATCATTTTATACACAGAAATATTATTATTTTTACTAGCAAATGAGCCATAAAAGTAGTTAGTCTCAACGGTATTTTAATAAAACATAAAGTGAAATTACACACTGAATATAGTTTAAGCGAGTAGTATACATTTAAATAAAACACTTTAACGGTTTAAAACGCGATATATTATTTAATCTTATATGATAATGATGTTTAAATACGGCCCGACGTTTCGGATGCTTTGCAGTAGCCGTGGTCACGGGGAGACGAAACATCGCGCCGAAGTTAAAAATAATTTTCATAAGTTTAACTAATATATCGCGCTTTAAACCGTTAAAGGGTTTTATTTAAATCCAGTGAAATTTCCAATAAATAAGTTTATATCTTATGCATAATTGAAAAATATTTGAAAGGGGTTACTTTAAAATAATTAATATTTAAATGATAACAATGCTAGCAAGAATTTGCTATAACAAGCCAATAGATATAGTACACTAATGAAACTTGGTGATAAAAGGAGTGACGGCGAGTCACTTGCCAATTCTTCTTGTTCGTTTTACGGCCTTGATTTAAGAACTGGTAGTAAATGTAAATTTTGAGTCTAGTTTTAAAGTTGTTTGACGTCCAATTCTAGTTACCTACAGAGATAAATGAAACAGTAGTCTATTAAACATGTAATGACAGCATCACTGATCGTTGTGGTTACAGTTTAGCCAGTTTTGTCGATTTTATTTAGATTTTTTAATTTCTCTGATACAGTCAATTTGAAGCTTAAACATTTATCAATTTCAGATATAGAAGGAAGTGTCGTGGGTCTTTTAATAACTCAATCGATATCCCTAACTGGAATTTTCCAATGGGGTATGCGTCAGTCAGCGGAAATGGAGAATCAAATGACGAGTGTAGAGAGAGTTGTCGAGTACACAAATTTACCGAAGGAGTCTACATTGATGGGCGTAAGAAACCAATATTATTCTTTACTAGCTCTTCTCGTGACTTCGGCCGCGTGGTTATTACTAATTATGTGGTTAGTGTGGGCATCACATATTTTATTTTTGAAAAGAACTCAGCTTTATAATAGCTTGCGATTTAATAAAATCATTCATCCATACATATGTTTTGAGTCTTCGATTGTTTTAATCACAGAGTGACATTAGATCTATCAAACGCGAAAAAAAATAGAAGTCGAAAATGATCTTTATTTTGGAAGATTTGCGCATTGAAACAAGAATTTCAGCATTATAATATTAGTTCTATAGATTCTGTTGTTTTTTGAGCTTTAATATGTCTCTCCTTATTTTCAGTCACCGAGTCTTGAACCTCCCGAAGGCTGGCCAAGGGAAGGAGCCATTGATTTTAATAACCTCAGTTTGAAGTACAATCTAGACGGTCCCTATGTTCTCCAGAATTTGCAATTCAATGTAGCGCCACGAGAAAAGGTCAGTTCAGTAATTTTAAAGTTAAAGTATGTTTTATTCAATGTCCGATAATTTCAAATTTTTGGCCTGTATGTTTAGGAATGTTTCGTGGAAACGTTATAAAAAGATTTTACGATGAAATATATTTTTGGTCTGTCTCTCTGTATTTTTGAAAGTAAGTGTAAACCTACGTATTGGGTTTATTTTATTCACATCTGATACGAGTAAAAAAGTTTGACACTTACAGATATTGTAATTTAATTATTAATGTTACTAAATACTTCTAATATAAAAAACAATATATCCAAAATATATTTAACCTAGACGAAATCACAGCATATTATTAAAGCCAAGCTATTTAAATAAATGTCGGGCCGTATTTAAATTAAAATACATATAAACCGTTAAAAGTGTTTTATTTAAATGTCTACTATTCGAATAAACTACAGACAATACTAAGCAGTCTATTTTTACAGATAGGTGTGGTAGGTAGAACGGGAGCAGGCAAATCTTCTATAATACAAGCGCTGTTCCGATTGGCGTATATAGATGGACAAATTTTGATAGACGGTGTGGATATATCAACTATTAAATTAAATTTGTTGAGGCAGAAGATCTCAATTATACCCCAGGTATACATTTTACACCCATTCCAAGTCCCGCTGTTTCTATGAAACATTTTTTCAAAACTTTAAAAGATTATAACAATTTGTCGATACGGGCGGGATCACTTCCCGGCATCTACAGATCAATTACGACACTGTAGTATTTTCACCCAATCTAGGTCCTCTTTGATGTGGTCCTGATTGATGTGATGCACCCTCGAGTGCACCAACCAGTAGAGTACAGAGACCAGATATGTAAAATACCAATTTAAAACATAAAATATTATCATAAGAAAATATTTGATTTTCATAGGAACCAATGTTATTTAGTGGAACATTACGAAAAAACCTGGATCCATTCGATGAGTTTACGGACGAAGTTCTTTTAACAGCACTCCACGATGTGGAACTGCTAGCTGATGAAGACGATCGTGGTTAGAACAAAACAATAAATAGATTTCGTGCAATATCTATAAAGCCTCCGCTGTTCAATGGTAAAAGATGTTTTTTTTTTATGATAGAGGAGGGCAGACAAGCAGGTAGGTAAAATAACACAGCTATGTAACATCTAAACTCTATCTAGTCTTTGTATTTTGTCTTTGAGTGTTCGGAAATCCAGACTGACACCGAAACGCGATTAAACTCCACGATTATTTATCTATAATGTTTCGTGACCCGTGCAATTTGGTATGGATAGATTTCTAGACGAAGTCCTACATATTTGAAAAAAAAATTGATTAGAAACATGTGACCATGGGATCTAATGATGATCGAATCCACGGCCCTCTGATTATATCAGCAATACCTTTCTACCATTAAACCAACGTCAAACTTATTTGTTCAGTGAGACAGAAAATGCTTATACTAAGAGACACAAGCCACAAGCCACTCTAACCCTTCTTTCATGAGCTTTGCTCTGCCACAGAGAATTTAAATATTTGTATTTTGTTTTATTAAATTAATTATATTAAGTATCGACATATGATAGGTTTACCTTTCTATATCCCACATTGGGGAAACGGGTTTAAACTTTTTAGGTAAGTAAAGTATCGTTTTTACCCACAGAAGCATTAAACAAGCAAGTGTCTGACTGCGGCTCCAACTTCAGCGTGGGCGAACGCCAGCTAGTGTGCCTCGCTAGAGCCATCGTGAACAATGATAAGATACTCTTACTGGACGAAGCCACTGCGAACGTGGACGCCCAAACCGACGCGTTAATACAAACAGCTATAAGGGAACACTTTGATACGTGCACGGTCCTCACTGTGGCCCATCGTTTGCACACTGTTATCGATTCGGACAAAGTAATTGAAATGAAAATCTCAAATTCAAAATTAGCTCAAAAACATTCGCTCACCAATTGAGCTATCGTGTCCCGTTCGATCTAATCGAATTAGTTCAATCCATACGTTGGAAAGATTTAATATCTTTCTCAAATCAGTGCCCATGATGGCCCTGTATGAATTAAAAATCTGTGCATATAAATAAAACGAAAAAGGCGGAACCTCAACCGGCATCCACATGTTCCGTACTGCTGCTCTAATTGGACACTGTAGTTCAATAAATCAAATCTTAATAGATTTTTAATTTACACATTGAAGTTAATTGTACTTTGCAGCGTAAGATTATAGAAGGTACATGTAGCAAAGTACTGGTATTTTGTCAACCTATGTATGTCATATTTTATAAAATGACTACTATGATCACTGATCACTATGAGGTCACTTGATGGAAGGTGGAAAATCCACCCAGTTTTAGGCCAACACTAAAAAAAATATTCTCGATGACAACCACAATCGATTCATTGTCAGTTTAAAACACAACTTTTTCAGCCGCCATTTCTATGAGTCGCTTACTTTTTGTGAAGGTTTAATACATCATTGTATTTTTCATAGATACTTGTCCTAGACGCGGGCCGTCTCGTAGAGTTCGATCACCCACATTTGTTGTTACAAAATAGAAAAGGCTACTTCAGGAAGATGGTTAGTGAGACAGGACCAGCAATGACGCAACTGCTGCACAAATTAGCTGCTGAGGTATATCATGTGCTGTTTTTTAGAGTCCAAAAAAATATATTTCCATAGTAGTCTGTAGTTTACGCGAGTAGTACACATTTAAATTACTATTATATATACTTGTGACGGATTAAAACGCGAAATATATTAGTTACGTGGTCAGAGGGGAAATGTAGGGAGTGGGTGAGGGTCAAAGTATACGAAACTTCGGGACGTAGTTAAATAAAAGTAAGTTACTAATATATTTCGCGGCTTAAACATTTCAAAATGCCTGTACGTTACATGAGCTAAAGTATCACATATATAAATTCACATTTTTTCTGATATTACATTAACTTTATAGTATCGTGGTGTTTATTCAAATTTTCCAGTAGTATGAAGATTTTACGAGAATGTATTTCTTTCGTCATCATTTATTCACTTATGGCCTCAATCGGGCATTTCTTTTAAATAATCAACTTAAAAAAGCAATATTAATATACAAATAATTACTATTAACTAAATACTAAATAATGTGTAACTCTTTACAGAACTACCAAAGCAGAACAGAAAAATGATTTGTTAAATAAATAGTTTATTTTTACGTAACAAATTAATAATAAATATGTAATAACATGGAATAAGTATTTTATTATAATAATAGTTTAAGTGAGTAGCTTCTGTTTTGAGATATTATATTGTCTCAATAGTGCAGTTAAGACAAGCCAATTGTAGTTCCATCCTCTTCTTGAAGCCTTGTATTAAGCTGTCCATTCGCCTACGAAATAAACAAAAGCCTATCATTACACTAGCTGCACTCGAGGAATAGGAATTTTGGGCGTCAAAATTTATTTTTGCATACCTCGTCCGCACCCCATCGTTCTTACTACTAAATCATAAAAGATAGACTATCGCGGATATTTTTTTAGATCATTTGAAGAAGTCATAGAGGAATCATTCTATCATGCATATTTCTTGGTTTCCTAAACCAATTTCGCACCACACGTAACGCAAATCCTCAAAGATTAAATATTTCCGTTCCTGTCTTTTCGCTCGTATTGGCCGCAGCCTGATGTTTTGTAGCATTTAGCCTTCCACGCTAAACGGTCTTATCCCACACAAAAAAATTGGACCTAGTTCCTAAGGTTAGCGCGTTCAAACAAACAAACACGTCAGCTTTATAATATGAATATAGATCCAATAGCGTAACCAAAAGGGGGTCAATTAAATTTAAAGTCATAACTTACTTTTTCTCTTCCTCATTGTCTAGAGGTGGTAAACCGGCTAGCGATTCAATAAGATGATTTCTAGGAACAAAAGGTGCCATTATAAAACAACAGAAGGAATTTATTAAATAACAATGAATTATAAAGAATCTAGCTGTTATAAGTATATAAATTGTACTAATTAAGAGGTGCTTACTCGGCTTTCCTAGTGAGGTGATCAGCGCAGGCTAGCCGCAGTAGCGCGCATTCGAGCCGAGCGCGAAACGCCGTGGCCGGCGTATGCGCGGGCGCACAAGCCGCCAGCCGCGAAACTTCCTCGCAAACCGTCTCGCATATATCCCGCACGTATCGAGACGCAGCCGCACCACAAATACTCTCCACCTATTGATTTTACATATTAAGTTCTTTGAATTCAAATGAAAATTATACCGATTGCATTTTTAAAATCTATGTTTGATGAAATTGCTGCTATCGTGTGCCTAATAAATACGTTAAAGCAGACACTGTTCGTAGTTTCCGTTAGTTATCGTGCAACGAATATTTCATATAATCAACAGATGGCGCTAGCTTAGCTTCTAAAACATAAATCAAATCAGATCGTCTATATATTTCGTCGTAAAACCGTTAAAAGTTTTTATTTTATGGTTTATAAAACAAAATTACCCTTAATGGTAAATAATTATGCGCGGGATTCGTAGGCCATATTATACCAACCTCAGCGTGGACCGCAATAAGGTTATTTATGATCTCATAAACATAAGGTCTCGCGTCGTCCACCATAGCGTTCGGAGGTAGCGTATGCCGCCCTGTGTACATACTGGGCTCAATCGTGCCCACCAGTGGGTCACCCTTCTGCTCTATGTACTTCTCCGCTATACGCGATTCCAGGTCACTGAGAGCGTCCCTTGTTGCTTGAAGGGCTAACGCAGGTTTAGGGATTCCGTAACTGAAAATATTTTTTCTGTTAAAAATATTTATTATTGTCTGTAGTTTTCGTGAGTAGTAGACATTTAAATAAAACACTTGACGGTTTAAAACGTGAAATATAGTCAAAAATCATTTATCCACATAGGTAACTGTCGCATCACTTAAAACCTAAAGACTATATTTATGTTTGAAAACTTTATTATGTTTTACATGTTACATGAAGGCAGGACTTGAACCGGCATCGTCAGCGTTCCGTGCTGTTGCTCTATATTTATATGTACTAGTTAACGGCCCGATTTTTCGCACTATAACAGCCAAGATCACGATAGTTCGCGCTTTAAACTAGTAAAAGTGTTTTATTAAAACCTATTTCAGTATTATTTATTTCGAAGACACACAGCACGCTAAAATCCTAGCCTGCATAGCTACTAACTTAAATCTTTAAAACTCAATTATTAGTATCCTAAGAAAAAAAAAACTAACTTTTTTTATGAAACTAAATACAAAACTCACGTATCGAACGAGGAAGCAATTTTGACTAGAATCATTTTCCTAGTGTACTGTGCATTAGCGGATGCGATGAGCAAGCGCTGCTGCCACGAGCGTGTCCCCCCTTCCAAAGTGTCTTCCAGTGGCTGGTCGAGGAGGACTGAGAGACTACTGTTATTGAAATCCTGAAACAATAAAAAAATCAATTATTTCATTTGTGCAATGAAAAATGTCCGAAGAACAAATACAGAAAGATCTCCGAAGAAATGGAATTTAATATCATAACTGACCGACTTTTAAATTATCGTGCAAAGAATATGAGTTAATACTTTTAATTATACGATAGATTTATGTCGCAGACTGACCTAGTTAACTGTAAATACATTGTTATATTAATTCTACTTTTACTCAATAGATGGCATGTTTTGCTTCTAAATACTTTTAAGTTACAGAAATATTTTCTTTACTGATACGAATACTAATATCTATTTTACAGATTTTTAGATTTCTGTCATAGATTTGTTTCGCTGTTGTATATGACGTTTGGCGTTATCAATCATTAAATTAAAAATGTATTCCACCTGTTCGTGCTCCAGAACCAGTTTGTCCAGAACTGTGACAAATGCTAGGAGGGTCTGTTGTGTGTGCTTTTGAAGTGCAATGAGAGGGTCACTGCCGTCTGCCAGTAGTGGGCTCTCGCGGCGACCACTGGACAACACGCATTTGTGTATCGCAGAAAGGGCTTCATTCACGTATGTTTCCAATAAACTGGGCTGAAAGAAAAAACGAACATTTGAGGTTCGTTGGTGTAATGGTAGGGTAGAATGTGTGCATTGAAATGTAAGAACAAGCGAGAGGACATGTGTTAAAGGGACGGCGAAAGGTTAAAGTTGACGAATTAAGACGTAGGGCGTAAAAAAGTAAGATATAATGTTTAAAGAGGAATTATGGTGCTCGCAAAAATCTCTACAGTAGCTATATCGTGTCGTGCATAACTTTTCTAAAAGATGTTAAATTTCATTTAAAAACATAGGTAGTAATATCAAAATTCCGTCCAGATCAAGAAACACAATCAGCTTAAAACCAATTTAAATAATAAAGTATATATGTGTTTTTTGTACACATAAAATATACATATTTTTAAACATGTTTCGGAATCAGTCTATGGATTTCCAAAGCCCAAATACGCTAACAGAGCTGAAACCTTACTTGGTAAAGCAGAATGTATGGAATTTAATCAAAGGACGTGGTTAAAATTCCGCTTTTGGGTAATCATTTCCTATAAAACGTACATATTATAAAAATCACACATACAAAGATATGTTATTATACTAACCAGCCCGGTGATGGCTCCGTAATCAGAAAACTCCTCGATTTTCCAAGTCTCCTTATCGGAAAGCGCCTTCACGCGCTTCTGAGCGCGTTGTAAGAAGACCGTCAGGCCCTGCACTCGGTAGTCAAAAATTACCTTCTCTACAATACTTAGAGGCTGAAAGAAGACAGAAAGTGTTAAGAGTATAGGAAGGACATATTTTAATTAATTTTTCTACAATCGATCTTAGGCTTAGAGTTAGAAATCTCTGCCAACATTAATTAAACAAAGTTCAAATCAGTGTTTAATGCTTTAGTGACATAAAAATTGGAAATTAAACTATGTGCCAGTAGCAGGAGTAGTTAAACAAAACACTTTTAACGGTTGAAATCACAGAAAATATTAGTTACTTTAATGACCCGACGTTTTGGATACTTTGTCGCGGCCATCACGGCTCATCAAATAGGAAGTATATTACGCGTTTATTATTAACTAATATATTACGCGTTTTAAACCGTAAAATTGTATTATTTAATGCGTTAATCTTTTAATTGCTTTCATAGCAAAAAATGGAGCAATTTATAATCTAGTACCTGTGAGGGCAAATCGAGTTTCAAGAGCGAGTCGTACGCCTCCCGCAGATGACGAAGATTGGCGACGAGACGAGAGCGCAGCGTGTCGGGCCCCAGCGTCGAGCCCCCGCCCGAGAGCAAGCACGTTCGCATGTGCTCCGAAAATAACTCCACAGCCGCTATTATCATCTCCTGTTCAATTGAGGAACGTTTATAGATAGAAAGAACGCACGAAGCGAACACATTTCCGTGACCGTTACATGGATTTTGTTTACAGACAAGTTGTCAATCACTATGCCATGCCCGACTGATCATTTCTTTGATATTCGAACCCACCTCTTCCGTGGGTTATGAAGGCAAAAACATTTCTATGTCCGTTTCAGTGATCGGTTTTATATACAGGCAAGCGATTATCAGACTTCTTTGCCCTGCCTGGCCGAAACAATCTATTGTTTCCCCGAGATTTAAACCCAGGATCTCTCTCACTAAGCGCAACACACTAATAAAGTATTTGAAAATTATTTAATTTACTTTAATGTACTCGTGTTATTTATTTGCCTCCAGTTAATGGTTCAACGCGTTACCTATCATTGCGTTAAGCACGAAAAATCCTGAGTTATAATCCCAGGGAAACAATAACATTGAGAGGCAGGGCATCTTATTGTTTTCCAATCTGATTGATTTTTATCAATTACTCCTCTTAAAAAAACAATCAGTAAAACGAGATTTCACTTTTTTAAGCGTAGGTAAGCTATATAAATTCTTTTAAAATTCATATACCAAAATATAACTTACCTTAAGTTCTGCGTGCCTCTGAGGATCTGTGGGAGTACCGGCGAGATCACCAGCAAAGTAGCGCCTGGCGAGCGGCCACAGCGCATGTAATTCAGTAGCAAGCGCCCCACTTGCGCACGCGCACCAGTTAGCACGAAGTATGCTCCAACTACCCTCGTTTTCCTCGCGCGACTTTCTTTTACCTGATAATGCAGATTTGTATAAAGATTCAATATTTTTGTAGTTTCAACGTGTCTAAAATTGTTTAAAAAGCTGCGTACGCACTTTAACAACGGATACAATTAACTTGTAAATCTTTTAGTTAAAAATCTATTCTCTATGATGTCGCAGTACAAAAAGTGTATATAGTGTAGTATATACATCAAATAAAACAGTCTTAACGGTTCAAAAGTTAAAGACGTTAATATTTGCCCATGACCTGACAATTGCTTTTCCATCCGTTCCTGTGTTAAAACCTCTTTACTGACCTTTCTCACTATTATCTTGTTCTTCTTTTAGTTTGAAATGACTCTTAACTTTATTCATTAAATTCATAAGATACTCTTTACGCGTTGTTATTGCTGTCCATGCTGCATCACCCTCCCAATTCAAGCTTATCAATAATCTGTAATGTTGATTAAAGACACCATTAGCCTTTTGATGTTTCCCATCCCATAACTGTGTCGCAGTCTAACTCCCCCACTCGGACACGACGCGACATTAACAGGCAAGTTAATCAAACTTCTGTGCCCTTATCGACCTAAATAATGTATCTACTGCAATTGAACCTAGAACCTCTCATGTTTAACTTTTAAGCAGTGAGCTACTGAGCATTCCTATATAGTTATTTCTATTATGCTACCCAAGTGCGTGTTGAGGGATGAAAAAAATTATCTATATTTAGTCTTCTCTTCTCCCTATTCTCTCTCACAGGAAAGTGAGTGGAATGTCAGAAAGGCAAGTATACCTTAACAGTTTAAAACGCGATATATATACAAAATTAACTTATTTGAAAATTATTTTAACTACGGCCCGACGTTTCAGATTTGCAGCAGCCGTGGTCAACTAATATAATATATCGCAATTTAAACCGTTAGTGTTTTATTTTAATGTGTACTACTCGAGTAAACTACAGATAGCATTCAAGTACATACATTTTATTTTAGGCACAGAGGGCACAACCGGAAATCGAACTAGGAACGGGTGCACCAACACTACTTTCAACTATTATAATATTCCTCACAATAAAAAAAAATTTTGTCCTCAGAACAATTGAATATCCAACCATACCTTACATATTTGGTTTGATCTTGTACATTACAAGGCATCGTTTTCATCCGCGTAGCCAAATTCTCTTTTAAATCTTCGATCTTTTTATCGATTTCGTCTAATATTTTTTGGAATAGCTGCAAATATAATAACCCCATTAATATTCCAAATAACTTTTTTCTTATTAGCTACGGCCTTCAAACCCTTACCTTAACATCGGTATTTCCAAATAAGTTCTTGACCCTCGTGTAGTCATTAACGACTAGATCGTACTCTTTCTTCCTAATATTCCTGTCTATGGACGCTGGCAGTTGGAAGAGAAACTTGTGACGCGTCAACAAAGACAGCGCCTCTCTTGTTTTGTCTGCATTCTCTTTGCGTGATAATATTTCCGAAAACAATGAATCAGCTAGGGTAATGGACTCTGAAAAAAGTATAGCAAGTTACTATACAGTGCTTTTTAAAAGCTTAATAGCTTGAAACATCATTTTCACGTGGTATTGTATGTAATAGCTGTATATAAGTTCTGTCACGGTAGCTTAGATGTTAAGATCTTTTTTTTCTGATATAGAGGAGGACAGAGAAGCGTGGTGTTAATTTGATGGTAGGTCCACCCAGCCATATAACATCTAAAGAAAACGCGCTGTCGGCCTATTTTGGCTTGGCATAATCGGAATCTACAGACTGAAACCGGAACGGGATTAAACGCTCTAGTGGCGGGTTTAGTGCGGCCTGTGTCATTTTATCTTATATATTCATCTTAATACATTTTTTACTCTTTATCAATATCATATCATCTATTAATGTTGTAAAATGTTGAAGAAAGGGGCAAATCCCTTTTCATGTGTTCATATGTTCTTCTTCTCTCTTAATCCCATTCAATTTTCCGCTGTATACCTTCAATAGCAGCTTGTAAGCTTGGTAATGGCTCTCTTCCGTTTTTTCTTTGATCTTCTTCATACATGTTCTTCAGGAGGACAAGACGATCCAGCTGATCCATCACAGCACCAGTATTTGCCTTCAAGAAACTGAGTTGGCCTTCTTTCTGACCTTCCACCTAGAAATTATAGAATGTGTACGGGTAGTAATTTTTAATTTGAAGAATTATTTAGTCTATTTTAGTCTTGCAAATGTACAGTAGACAGGAAAGCGAATCAAGCTCAAAGAAATACACATCACTTTAAATTCATAATAAAAACAAACTATTTTCATGTGTGACTAATTGTTCCCCGTTTCTTCCACAATTCCCATAATTTCTTCACGTTTTTCCCATTAGGCTTCCTCAATAAATGCTCTAACAGACCCATAAAGGATTATTTAATTCGAACCAGTAGTTTACCTGAGATTAATGCAATCAAACAAACTCTTTAGATTTATATATAAGTATAATTAAAAAATAAGAAATATCAACAAGTAAATAATGTCTGTAATTGTATATTTACTTTTCTTTGAAGAAACACTAGTCCAGCTTTTAAGTCTTCAAATGATGTATTGCTGTGATGCTCCAATAGGTACCAGCCTGGTTGAAAATTCTCATCTGACAATTTTCCAGACCTAAATGGAAGTATTAAGTTCAATGAATTGAGAAAAAATATATGACAGGGTAGGACTTGAATATCCACAGTGTTTTGTGCTATTGCTCTAACCAATTGAGCTACCATATCCTTCACAGTGTACTTTTTAACTCTCTTTTAGCTTTGAAAATTTCAATTAAGTTATTTCTTACCCATCTGGAAACAATTCATTCAGTTCCTCTTCTGGAAACTTACACTCATCCCCTTCAGTAGCCAAACCAAGAGGATCTGGTGGAGTATAAACTGTAGGAGACATAGGTCTTCTCCCCCATGGCAATGCAGGGGGAGCTGCTTCTTCCACCCATACAGCACTTTCTTTTACAGGGCCTATGGATTCATGATACCCTAGAAATGATGAACATTAAGAGAGAGATAATATTTTTAAACATATATATTGATTGATCCATCCTAACTATAACTCACTTAATTGAGAAACAAAATAATGTGGGATTTATTTTCACCAAGAGCTAGCAAACCAGCTCTACCATAATTAGTAGCTTAGTACCATGTCCAGTTTTCTCATGTCAAGTCTAGTCTTTCATATGTCATATGTATAGTTTACACTTAAATAATTCTTCAAACATACTTAATGTGTCATTACTTAAGTTAACAGCATGTTAACAGTAATCAATATGCCCAGGTCATGCTTTTGAAGAGGAATAGATTAAGAGATTGTAGATAGTTTACTAAAATACCTCTAAACTGCACAGTAGATGTTCCCTCACCACCTGATCTTGTAGTAACTATAATATCCCCACGGCCCTTACATGGCCCAGATCTAGCAACTATCTTATTTCTGCTCTTCCATTCAGCTGAGAGTAGACAATCACATCCGCATATTTTAAGACCTATAAAACATTACATATTTTAGTATGATTGAATTTGGGTTCTCATGTTGGTCAAGGTATTCTGTAGAAATATATACTGAAGTGATGTGGATATTTTTTAAGCGCAATGAAAATGCGAAATTTTGAAATATTCTTACCGATAAGATCCGTTGCACTGGTCCCCAAGAATTCACCTCTAATAGTTACTCTAGTTCCTGGAGGACCTTCTTTAGGTGATATACCAGTGACTACAGGAGGCGGACCCATATCAGTAGTAGTATTTCTATAAACTTTTTTAACTCTCTAGTTATTACTAGATCATTAAAGAAATACAGCGGTTATAATGTATTATTTAGTTCACTACAGTAAAACTTCGAACCATTAAAAAATATACAAATATAACAAAATATAAATGGTGGCTTTTGGCTATGTATAACATTTATTTTCAAAAATTACATGGAATTGTAATATTTATTTCAGAGGTTCATTTAGTTTTTTTATTATAATAATTTTTGTTGTAATGATATAATTATCAATTAAATAGTTAATCCGGAAATATTTATTATCTACATTGTCACTTTAACATAAAATTTTACAAGAGGTGAATTTCTTTCACTTTATAGATTATAGCATGTTATATGCTTATTATTCTCTGTCGAATACAGACTATGCTGTTAAATGTCAGTTATACATTTTACAATTTGGCCTTTGTGATTGTTTCCATTAATTTAATTTAATAAGATGATGTCTCTTTTTCACAGTTTTAGTGGAGTCATATTTAAAAACAAAAAGGTTTTATTATACTAAAGTACTAATCTTCATTTCCCATTCGTGAGTACAATGCTAAAAATATTAATACATAACACGGCTATGTGCTCGTGACTTGATAGTAATATTCAATGGAAATTTTAATATTTTTGTGAATGAAGAGGCTGTAGAACTTTCCGCAGACTTCCAACTGCTGTTGAGTAAATAATAAAAAAAATCACGATATGGCTCGGTCAACTTTCAGGTAAATGACATAATTTTTATAGTTCGAATTTATTTCTCTTCATTGGGATTTCATGCCAATTTTAATAACATTATCATTTTAGTGCTGTCGATGAGTATGGATTTGAAAGACACGAAGATTTTGACTATGCTAGCTATGAGGATTTTATGTCTGTGTATCTCAAGGTCCTCGCATCGAGAGCACAAAAGTGGGCTGCTATGCTTGGTGAGGGAAAATCGGTTAAACGTACGAACACAATTAAACGATATGTACGGAAAGGGATACCAGGTACACATACTAAGAACTTTTGTCACATAAATATTTCATTGTAATATATACAAGATACCATTATCAAGTACTTTGAAAACCAGCCTGCAACCTAACTCTTGCATTCTACAATATTTTTTTTTATATAGGTGAACATCGTCCATCTGTATGGCTGGCAATCTCGGAAGCAGATAAAATGAGAGAGCAAGCACCTGACTTATATCACAAGATTTTGGATACTCCTTTTGAAAAAGAACTAGTAGAGATCATTAAGACAGACCTACCAAGAACTTTTCCAGATAATATATACTTCACAAAGGAAGCTAACCATCAGACTCATTTGTTTAATGTACTGATTGCTTATGCTCATAATAACAGAGTTGTTGGTTATTGTCAAGGACTAAATTATATAGCTGGTATGTTATAACCTCAAGATTAGCTAAAACGAAATTAAGTTTATTAGTACATTTATACATCTGGAGTGCGTTTTTTATGGTTTTTACTTTGTTACTAGTCCATTGAGAAAATTTTAAACATAAAAGGAAGAAAACACTTTTTACAAGATATAATCGGGTTCGTAAGGAGTTGGGTAATACATACATTTGTATTACATTTCTTGTGTTTTGCTACAGATTAGGATTTTTCTAAATCCAACTACATAATATATTAGCAATCGCAATGCTAAATATTTATATACCTTATATTTTACAAAAGATAATATGCTTATCTAGATGATTATTATCAATTACTGATAAGTAGTTAATGCAAAATTATGTAGAATTAAAAAAAAATAACTATAGTATAAAGCATATTTTTTTTATTTATTTTTATACTGCAGGCCTACTATTGTTGGCAACGAAAAGTGAAGAAACCTCATTTTGGCTGTTAAAAGTATTAGTGGAAAAAATTCTTCCCGATTACTACACAAAAACTATGGATGGTCTCATAGTAGACATTGAAGTACTATCTGAACTTGTGAAATCCAAGGCACCAGACGTACACCAACATGTGATAAACCTAGGTATATTTGAACAACTAGAATTGTAATCAGAAACAAAAAAAATCTCTGTCTGTTTTCCATATCTATATTACTTACATTTTTACAGGTTTACCATGGGCAGTGATAACCACAAAATGGTTTGTTTGTCTGTTTGCTGAAGTGTTACCCATAGAGACAGTTTTGAGAATATGGGATTGTCTATTCTACGAAGGTTCTAAGATATTATTTAGAGTGTGCATTACATTGATAAAGACAAACCGAGAGGCCATCATGGCATGCAATGACTTTACATCTCTAGCGGAGTGTTTTAAGGCAATAGTTAAAAATGCTAGTGCATTGCATTGTCACGAGTTCATGCAGGTAAATAATTTGACAATAATAATGATGGTTATGAAGAATTAAGATGTGATTCTGGCATGGATCTTGGTTAAAACACACTCTTATATTTACTTCAAATAAGATTTTATTTACTAGTAGTTAATTTGCTTGTTGTCATTAAATTCAAACCCAGAATTTCTCACACATAATCAGAGGGAAAGGCAGTCGACTAATGTAAGTAGTGGAATCCACTATGGACCGGATAGCAAAAATTTCTGTGTCCCTTTCACTGATTGATTTTTCTTATATTAGAAGCCAGGAGTAGTAGTTCTACTAGAGATCAGATGTTTGTGCCCTGCCTGGCTGAAACAATTTACCATTTCCTGGAATTTGACATAGGTGTGTGATCCAATGCTAAGCCACCATTGATAGGTTGTTTGCATGGGCACATCTTGTTAAGATGATAATTATATGGCTAGGGATATTTCACCTTCTATTAAGTTGTCTCTCCTCCTCTAACATAAAAATTGTATGTGTTTTTTTTCAGTCGATTTTTAAAGTACCTGGGACACTATCAAACGCAACCATAATAAAATTGCGAGCTCGTTTCGCGAGGCAACGCCGCGAACAGCAACAGAAGGACAAGCCGCGGTGAACTTAAATTCAGTTTAAAGATATTTGATCTCAATCGGTACATATTGCTAATGATATTTATTCAAATTAAAATCAGTAATATTCAGATGTAAAGATTATTTATAAATCAAATTGCTAATACTATTTCGGTATTTGTGAAAGCATGACAATTATTGTAGAAAAAAGGTCTTCATTCCTATTAGGCTTCTTGGAGAGTTATCTTGTTATGTAAATATTTTATTATTTGCAGTAAACAAAATATAATTTATGATTTGTTATTAAACAATTGAAATTGTTTAAAGAGTTTTACGTAACTATATAATTAGTAAAAGATATTTGACTGAGGCAGGTTATTTGATGTTTTAAACATTATTTTTAAATATTTTGTAAGAGTTATGTTAAATACATGAATTTATGTTTCTGCATAATAATGACTGTATAATGTTGTAAAAGTATTTACTGTTTATAAGATTAATTGATAAATCTAATATTTATGAAAAGAACATTCTACATTGTTTACATTCTTACCTTTAATTACTACATAATAAATTTAAAGTACTAATTTTATTAATAATTATCTTGACATGTTCAAGATCACTATAATAATATTTTACCTTTTACATTATGCATAGTGAGTATAATAGAAACAATGATCCTCTATTATCACATTTTATTGACATAAATAGTTCTACTTAAAAAAAAATCTAGTTTAAAGGAATTTTCATGATTTGCCACTTTCTAAAATATCTTTTGCTTCATTAATTTTAGCAGCTATTAAAGGAGAACCTCCCTTGTCAGGATGATTAAGAAGCATAATGCGTCTGTGAGCTTCTCTTATCTGCAAGTGAAAATCAAATTCTCTAAATTATATCTTGAAGTATGTCGCGATAATCGGCTTATATAGTAATGAAATGTATTGGAAATATATATTAGTTAATTACCTTTGCTTTACTAGCAGTAGGACTTACACCCAAGATTAAAGCGGCTTCCCTCTTTGTCATCTTAGATTCAAAGCCACCCTTGTAATATTTTGAGTTTGCTAATGTTTCAGTATCAAACTTAGGAAGGTTCTTAACAGCTTCTGCGAATTTCATAGACGCATTTGGCATTTGTTTAAGTAAATACCGCCCCGCGAACCCTACTGCTGCCATTCCAAGACCTGCCAAGATTATTGAACTAGCCTGAAATAAAATTTAATTTATCAATACAGTGCAAATACAACCTAAATTATCATAAGTTATTTACGTACCATTGTACACTTTTTCTTTTGAAAGTTAACTAATATTTCATATTATTAAGTATTTTTCCCTTGAGTTAACAATGTGTGATTATTTAGGTATTGACTTAAATTTCATCATAGGCTGAAAAATCATAATACAGGAGGTTGAGGTTATGGTTTAAAAAAGTTAGCGCCAATTGCGTACAGAACGAAATAGAAATTGTAAAGGAATAGAAAATTAGAAACTGAATCAAAACTTTAGCAGCCCGTGTTTTTAAAAGACTCAAATTTCAAAATTACGTATATATATATACTCTTAAATAATTACATCGACCACAGACTCCTATCTAATAATCTAAAGATAATTATCAGTTTTAGCCCGATTATGTTTATCTGTATACTAAATACCATTCTGCGGCGCAAAAAAAGTACTAGTCGGTTTTGACATAATATGTTCCGGTTATTTTCATAACTTGTTTCTACTGATGGTATAAATCGGTACAATTGTGTATCGATTAGATTTTTTTAATTTAGTCTTAGAACAATGCCACAGGTATAAGAAAAAATTAAAATGCCCAAAATTTTTTGTTGTTGGGGAAGAACGGCTAATAGAAAACTCTTTCTAACATTATGGAAATTAGTAACGTTTTCAGTCATTTGTTCCGGTTTTATTTACAAAATACCTCTGTTAAATTATGGCCTTGACGAAGTCGCGTCTCCAGCTAATATATGCATGTAGTGTTTACTCTGTGGCTTACTACAGACTAAAAAAAACGGCTAACACCAATAAAAACCGGTTAATTATGACTGGCACGAAATATTGAAGTTACGAACGACGGGCGGGTAAAATTTATGAAAAAAAAAAAACAGTCCTTTTCGAAGAGGTTCAACATGGCAGGAGATCAGGCGCAGTTTTATAATTTATTAATTACATTATTATCGGCAGATAATGACGTCCGAACACAAGCAGAAGTGAGTAAATAAAATAATATTAGTGTTCGCATTGAATATATTTTCAAACCTATTGCACATTAGTAACTATGATTAATTGGTAGCCTCGTGTCAAAACGTGGTCATGGAGGAGCTCCGGTTATACATTTTTGCCTATTTATTTAACGTTACGATTAATGTATTGTTTTAATTATCATTATTTAGTAGAATTAAGTGGTCAATATCTTCAATTTTGAATACTTGTGGAAAAATTCATAAAAGATTAAAATGCAAATTTTAACGTTTGACATGTGCTATTTTAAGTTATATGTTTTTACGCCGAATTTTATTATTTGATTAGTAAATTTAATCTTATTTTACACCACTACCTATCCTACACCTATGATTTGGTAAAAATATCAGCCGCGTAAAAATAACCTGCACTAACTTAGGGTATTCTCTTAGGAAGCCTACAATAATATTGCAACAGAAACAAAGGTACTCCACTTAGTTGGAGCAATCCAAAATGCAGATCTCGTTGATGAAGGACGCCAAACAGCTGCGGTGCTATTACGAAGACTACTCAGTGCTGAATTCTTTGAATTTTTTCCAAAATTACCATTTGAGCAACAAGCAATGCTCAGGGAACAGTTACTTCTTACACTACAAATGGATGTCAGTCAACAATTAAGGCGCAAGGTGCGATTTGTTTTTTGAACTATTTAATAATAATACAGTGTAAACTCTATATAGCGACACTGAAGGGACTGTGCATTTTATGGCGTTATAGAGAGTTGTCGTTAAATGGAGAGAAGAAACATTGTATGAAAAACAAGCTAAACCAACCAAAGCCAATTAATTTCGACGCTTAAGAGAGTTTGTCGTTAAATAGAGTGACGTTACATGGAGTTTACACTGTAGTTCTTTTTTCTTAGTAATATTGCATACAGTTGAGTTTTCATACGCGACGTTTTGGGCAAAACTTATTAAGATTATAACTTATACAGTTTTGTTGTATACTGTTTAAATTTAGGGAGGTTTCTCCTTTTTCCGGTTGTAATAAGAAAAAGTAACTAGTATTGTTTTTATTATTACAGATATGTGATGTTGTATCAGAATTAGCTAGAAATCATATTGATGATGACGGTGTTAACCAGTGGCCTGAATTCCTTCAATTCATGTTTAATTGTGCTAATGCTCAGGATTCCAACATTAAGGAAGCAGCAATCAGAATGTTTACGTTAGTAGTTTTATAGTTATAATTCACCCTTGAAGAAAATGAAAAATCCTCCACTACTGGGCATGTACTGGGGTAGCTTTTAATTTTGTCTATGTAACATATTCCCAAGACCTCTCACCTTTAACATTATGTATTAGAATTATATAAACAGTTCATATATTATTTTTGTAAAATTAAAATAATAAAAAATAACCAATAATTTTAGATCAGTACCAGGTGTGTTTGGTAACAGACAAAATGAGAATCTTGATGTTATAAAGAGGATGCTCCTCACAGCACTGCAGCCGACAGAATCTGAAGCCTTGCAAATGCAAGCTGTTAAAGCTGTTGGTGCATTTATTTTATTACATGACAAAGAACCAGCAATTCAAAAGCACTTTAGTGATCTATTGCTGCCGTTTATGGAGGTTTGTAGTTTTTCTTTTTGTGTATTTCAACATATTTATTCTGAATTAAACCATTGCCTAACATACTGGCACACATACTCCTACGTGTATATTTCTGTATGATATATATCACTGCCAAGGTGTGCAAAATTAATTTAGAGGATTTCGCTAACACCACCCTAAAAATAGGATGGAGTTTGATAGTAGCCCTCAAAACAATATTAATTTCACAATTCTTTTAACATTTGTAAGCTTCAATGTTACCTAATGAATTTATCATGAATGTGTAATTACCAGGTTGTTGTAAAATCAATTGAGAAGGCGGAAGATGATGCTGCACTAAAGGTTCTTATTGAGCTCGCAGAATCTACACCTAAATTTCTTAGACCGCAGGTGGTGACTATCTTCCAAGTCTGCATCAAGGTAAAGTTAGCTTTAATGATGTAAGTGCAAAGTATGATAAATCACACAAATACTATGTAAAAAAATAACTAACAGTGATAAAATTTATCAGACAACAAATTATAGGTTATTTTGACATTGCTATTATGTCCTAATATATTATTTAGTATACATCAGTGTATATAAAGAAAACAAATATAGATATTGAAATGAAGTGTAATTTTGTATTGCGAAAATTATATTGAATCTATAGGTGGTTGGTGACACAAATGCTGAAGAAAATTGGCGTCAACTAGCATTGGAAACGCTAGTGACGCTGTGTGAAACTGCACCAGCCATGGTCCGTAAGATGGTGCCGAACGCAATAGGCGCACTGACTCCCCTTATACTCGAAATGATGTGTGAATTAGACGACGAGCCCGACTGGGCTGTGCAAGACGACGTTGCCGACGACGACAATGAACAGTAAGTACCATTAACAGTTCCCACTAGTGGGATTCATGTGTCCATGTTGGGTCTTGATATGGAATACTGGAAATTTATTTCCCAGCTACAACAGCAATCATCATTTGACTATCATTACTTTTGTGTTGATGTCAATGTCTCAAATATTATATATTTTTTTATTAATCAGAATCAAAATTTTAACAACTCACTAAAATGTAACAACAGCTATAATATAATAATTGTTTAACATTTTAGATTTTCTGTAAGATTCATTTGTTTCTAGTAACATTAATTAAACATGTTTCTAAAGTGAATCTTACAATAGTAATGTCAAGATAATTAGCATCCTTGCTGTTGTATACACTTGGATGTCAGTCCCTTGTCAACAGTTTCTTAGAATTATAAATAAACATGTTTTTTTTTATATACAATATTTTTTAGCTTAGGTTATTATTTTCAGAAACAATGTAGCTGCTGAATCTGCTTTGGACCGCATGTGCTGTGGTCTAGGAGGCAAGATAATGATTTCCCTAATTGTGGGGCGGGTCCCTGAGATGTTTAATTCGGAAGATTGGAAAAGACGTCACGCCGCTCTTATGGCTGTATCATCAGCTGGTGAAGGCTGTCATAAACAAATGGAACTAATGCTCGACCAAATTGTACCTGCAATCCTAAATTATTTAGCTGATTCTGTGAGTTTCATTATTTGTAGAGAAATCCCTTAATATCAAACATTCTTTATTATGTGTCCATATACATTGTGCCGATAGAGTCCCTAGGGCAAACCATCTAACTAATGTATACTTGCAATTAGTGTATGTATAAAGTAAATGGAAAGTTGTATGTATGTTCATAGACTGACTTAGAGCTTTTGTCCTTGACCTCCAGACAAGTTCAAGTACTTAATTAGAGCCACTATTGTTTTATACTTAAACATGTTAATTTTTTGTTTTACTATTACTAGCAACTTTGATCTGTTGATTGACCTAAACTATGTTTTTTGAAAAATCTTCTGTATTATTTTTCATGTTTGCTTTATTACTGTATGTAGGAAATGGGTGAAATGGCTGGTAATGATCATCTGGACTCCTATCGGTGTCCCCGATTGAAATAATATGTTTGCTTTTCTCTGTTAATAAATGTATATTCCTATTATATTGTAGCACCCGCGTGTGCGTTACGCAGCTTGTAACGCTGTTGGACAAATGTCAACCGACTTTGCACCAGTTTTTCAAAAGAAATTCCATGACAAGGTTGTACCAGGACTCCTAATGGTGCTTGATGATAATGCAAATCCTCGTGTACAGGTAATAAGGGATTAAACCATAGACTAAAACATATAAGTACAATATCTAAAATTTTATTCTGTAGCCAACTAAATTTAATGTGTTTCCAATGGTTATGTAAGTGATTTCTTTTTAGGCACATGCAGCCGCAGCTCTTGTAAACTTTAGTGAAGATTGCCCTAAACCAATTCTCACTCAATATCTTAGTCCGTTAATGGATAAACTGGAAGCTATTCTAAATGCGAAATTCAAAGAAGTAAGTATACAAATAAAAGGAACCCCTGCGAATTCATGTTGTTATCCCAATGTTCGTTAGTGGTCAGGCATTCTAAATTGTTTGATCACTTCCATAGCATTGGAAAATTAAATGGTGATCTTTGCTCCGATCCTATCTTGTATAGATATTTTTGGATCTCAGATCACAAACACTTATTTTATAGTTACATATATACTTTATATGTTATTACTGATACAGTAGCTATATATTTGTTATATTTTTTATAGTTGGTAGAGAAAGGAACAAAATTGGTACTGGAACAAATAGTGACTACTATAGCTTCTGTCGCAGACACAGTTGAAAAAGATTTTGTGCTATACTACGACCGCTTCATGCCATGTCTCAAGTACATAATTGCCAACGCCAATACTGAGGAACTGAAGCTTTTGAGAGGCAAAACTATTGAGTGTGTCAGTCTCATTGGTATGTACTACAGAATGTTATAATTTTTGCATCCTAAATTACGAAACAGTTTTTATCATTTAACTTCATTTAAAAGTTTTACACAAAGTACAATATCTTTCAACTTACAATGATTTTCATGATATCTTAGGTCTGGCTGTGGGAGAACAAAAGTTCTTGTCAGATGCGTCTGAAGTTATGGACTTGTTGCTGAAGACTCACACCGAAGGCGAAGCATTGCCTGCCGATGATCCGCAAACTTCATATCTGATCTCGGCTTGGTCTCGCATTTGCAAAATCATGGGTAAATAAAACCTCTATCACATAAATGATGAAACCGAGTTTTGAGTTTTATTTTAAGGGACTTTCTTACTTAGGCAAAAAATTCGCTCAATACTTGCCTATGGTGATGGAGCCAGTGATGCGCACTGCAGCCATGAAGCCTGAGGTAGCTCTTCTGGATAATGAGGACCTTGAAAATGTTGATGGAGATTTAGACTGGCACTTTGTTACACTTGGAGAGCAACAGAATTTTGGCATTAAAACTGCTGGTAATAATTTTATAACAACTACATACTTACATTTATAAGGTAACTCTAGGGAAAAATACTAAGTAAATTTCTTTATAGGACTTGAAGACAAAGCGTCGGCCTGCGATATGCTCGTTTGTTATGCACGAGAACTTAAAGAGGCATTCGCTGAATACGCGGAAGACGTTGTCAAGCTAATGGTTCCATTGCTTAAGTTTTACTTCCACGACAACGTGCGTATGTCTGCCGCTGAGTCGTTGCCGTTCCTACTCGAATGCGCGAGAATCCGGGGCCCACAGTACATCCAGGGCATGTGGGCTTATATCCTGCCAGAGCTGCTGAAGGCCATCGATTCTGAGCCCGAACAAGAAGTCCAGGTTGAATTGCTCAACAGTCTTGCAAAGGTATTACGATTTTCTTGTCTCAATCAAAGTCATGTTTAACGATCAAAATAATTAATGTTATTCTATTTTTGTATGGTTTAGTGTATAGAGCTCTTGGGCACCGGATGCTTGTCTGACGAGACGATGGCTGAAGTTCTCCGCATCCTAAACAAACTGCTCACTGAACATTTCGAGCGCGCAACCGAACGACGTCAAAAACGTGCCGATGAAGATTATGACGAGGTAAGTAAACAGATAGTAAACTAGAATTCTCATATTGTTGGTAACGAGTAGGGACATACGATAAACTATTTGACTTAAATCCATATCAATGACTAGAAATAAAAACATTTTATTATAGGAAAAAGCAATTATTTAATAAATGTATGATCATGATCATTAAAAAACGATTCGGTTGAAAAAAACTTGGACTAGAACCGTCAGCCACATGTCTATGCTGTTGCTCTAACCAATTGAGCTACCATGCTACTACTGCCTGTGGCGTAATTTGGTTTTTCAATCTAAAATCACTTTTGAATTTATATAGTGTCATCTATGCTTGGAGTTCTTAAATGAATTTAATATTTATTATTTTAATGTTATAAATTTAAGTAATAACATGGTTGTCAACCTCAGGTGGTCGAAGAACAGTTAGCAGATGAGGACAACGAAGATGTATACGGGCTCTCCCGCGTGGCGGACGTCCTTCACTCAATGATGTCGGCGTACCGCGAAGCGTTCTTCCCGCATCTCGACACCCTCCTACCGCATCTTATCCAGCTTCTGAGTCCCGGGCGCCCATATGCTGACAGGCAATGGGCTATTTGCATCTTTGATGATGTTATCGAGTTTGGAGGTGATTTATTGATCATTTTTTGTTGTGAGAATCTGTAAATATACATGCTCGGAATCTTGCTTATTAGTGAATGTTTATTAATGTTATCCAACGTCAGGTCCAGCATGTGTTAAATACCAAGACATCTTCCTCGAGCCCATGCTGAATGGGCTTCGCGAGCGAGAACCTGAAGTGAAACAAGCGTCGGCGTACGGATGTGGTGTGTTGGCTCAGTTCGGTGGCGCACAATTTGCGCCAGCTTGCGCTAGAGCTGTGCCACTCCTCGCCGCCCTTATTGCAGAACCTGACTCCCGCTCTGTCGAAAACGTAAACGCTACCGAGAATGCAATTTCCGCCGTCGCTAAAATAATCAAGTATAATCATTCACAAATCAATAGAGACGAAATCATAAGGCACTGGTGAGTTTTATACAAATCTAATTTCGCAAATAGGAAATCACAAACATTTATTTTATAATGTTACAAAGCATTTGGTCATTGTTTTCTTGGCATTTTTTTAATTTGCAAATTACAATAGTATAAAAATCTGGATATTTGTTTTTTTTTAATGTGGAGGAGGACATGGTTAATTTAATCGTAGATAAAATACTCCTGCCGCCATATAGGTAACATCTGAACAAGATGCAATGTCACCCTATTTTGGCTTTGGGAATTTGTTAGAAATTATCCGCGTATTTGTGTATAAAATCATTTTTGATTTAGATTGCAAATTGTAATTGTGATGTTAGCTCAATTGGCAACTTTCTTTCTTTCAAACATTTTTATTTTATGGTTATCCTAATACGTTTTAATATGCATGTAGGTTGACTTGGCTCCCAGTGGTGGAGGACATAGACGAAGCACCACACGTATACTCGCTGCTCTGCGAGCTAGCAAGTAGTGGGCACGCGGCGCTGGCGACACCTGACGCGCCGCAACGAGTTATTGCAGTTATAGCCGAAGCATTTCTGAAGGACGCCGTTCCTAATGAGAACCCTGTTTTCGCCCAGATGACCGCCTTAGTCCGCCAAATACAAGTATGTAATGTTTGACTTATACAGTACAAACATGTTTGCTTTTAATTTAAGTTATCTCACACTATCATTACAATTAGCCTGTATATTTTATCAATTTAAGAAAGAAATGTTTTTCTTACTTCTGCTTGTTTAAAAATTTAATATTAAACAATACTATTGTCTTTTTAAATCTCATCCAATACATAAATTGAATGGAAATCAAAAGCAGTAACTGCTATAGCAATATTTTAATGTGTTAGTCTCACTCATTTCTATTAATATGTATTAACTTGGACATTCTATTTCAGAGTAATGCGGAATTGTTCACCTCTTGTTTGATGCAGCTGAGTAGTGACCATAAAGAAGCTTTGCAGCTGGCCTTGTCTACATAGATAGCTCTTCATCTCTCTCTGCTTATATTTATTATCGCCTACTCATTGCTCCCACAAGCTCTATATTCGGGCCCAAATCCCAATCTAAATATTCGTCAGCAGACTGCCTCCTCATATTAACATAACATATAGCTCTAATATGAAAAATAAAATGCATAACACTTTACGTGTCCTCTCTAGTTAGAAAAAATAATAATCACAGAAGTTATTAGACATTTCTTACCTTAAAGTGGATTTTCTGAGATCTCAGACACCTTGTTGAGCTAAAACATTGCTGTGATATACATATTTATACCTTTGTTTAATAGTTGCACTTCTCCACTGATGTGAACGTTGATAAAATGTTTGTTTTTTAATATCAATATTTACAGTGTTGCATTGTGAATGGTCCAATTCTAAGTGAAATTTGTTTAATAACATATGTAATTTGTAAAAAAAAATATAATGTAGCTACATCCTTTGTTCTCATTAGTATGTGCTTAAAATAGACAACTTTTTTTCTATAAATACAATTACAATGCATATTGATTACAATTATAGTATAATATTCATAATTGGACTGTCACATTCCATTTTTTATAGTTGTCAAGAATGGCTACACTGGTGTCTTGGTAGCTTTTTCTCGCAATAAACGAGATTTCTGTTTGTAAGAAACATTTTTTTTCAATAATATATCGTATATTATGACATATACATTTCTTTGTTTAACTAAAATAAAAGTTATTGACATTATTAGTTATTTTTTATTTGCCCACCACCTAGCCTATAAAGTAACCTTCCTATTAAAAACATTCTCAAATATCACTATTATTAAGTGTGACTGCTGAATATATAAATTATTATTATACCTTATTTTGTAATAATAAAGATGGCAAAATAAAACCTGGGATCTGGATTTTTATTCATGATTATGATTTGACGTATTGAGCCCGGGGCTTCGAATACTAACTGGACATAAGGGATCTGGAATGATCTACAGAATTTATTATAGCTTCAACAGTAAGATAGTCCTAAATCTTATCTACTGAAGAATATATAATATTCTGTGGTAGCAATAGGATAGTGATATATCTCAATAAAAGTGTATAATCTATTATGTAGTGGAGGGTGCACCACAGAATGTCAGTCGCGCATTAGACATCTGTGGTTCATAGTTGCGACTCTTTGATTAAATGAAAATATTATAAATTTAAAATTTCGATTGTATTGTTTAAATTTTTGAATTTTTAAATCGGCCTCAAATTTGATTGTTTATGTTAACCTCTCTGCAATTATATTGCAATATTTAAAGTGATTTAGAGCAGAACTCGGGAATTCCTAGGGTTGAATCACTTCCTAGGTTGTAATTTAATATTGTGCACTAGTTATTATTGTAAACAATTAATACCAGAAAACGAGGATTTCCAAAATAGTTTACGTATTACGTACTTATTGTACAAAACGTTTAGTGGAAACTTATTAAAAACCGGCGTGTCATGAAATAATGTCACGCAAGAGGAACCGAATGGAAAACGAAAACGGAATGACTTCTAAATTAGAAGACGGTGATGGTCCAAATGGTAGCGATACGAGTTTTTGCAGCACCAAGAGTCAAGCAGTTCCTGACATTGGACAGGTATGATTATATTTTAAGGATGTTGCCCCTTTTTTATAGTGGAAATATGAATACATCATATATTATTCATCAAATCAATTGATGTTTGTCACCCACATCCTCATGTAATATAGCAGGCATACTCTTTCACCTATCAATTCTATAAGTAAATTGATCCAAATGTGTTCTGCTCGACCATAACTATCTGTTATCTGGGTATTCTCAACTAATCTTTCCTCCCATTAGGACATATGTTAAACTAACAAAATCAAACGCATTTATTTATTATTGAAATTGTATACAAAAAATAATAAATACAGTAATAATGGGCAGTGTTAAAATTATAGAAAAAGCAAAATAAGTTCTGTCTCAAATGCCCCATTCAAACTAATGTGTTTGTCTGGTTAAAGAACGGTATTGCCCTTCAATTTAGGTTTTTGTTTTAAAGTTATATGTTATGAATAAAATTAATTGTGGAAGTCGTTCTGGAATATTCAAGATGTAGCTTGTTGACTGTCTAAAATTTTTTTTTTGTTTCAAATAAGTAATAAATAGAATTTTTATTTTTAAACAGATACAGAACTTTAGTTGAAAACATATAAACCCTGAAAACACTTCAGCGCTTATATGTTTCAATGTAAATAACCCATTTATTATTATTGTTTACCATATTCAATGATAGTATAAAATGATGAGCTAATAAAAATTTGGGCGCGAATCCAAAAGTTGTGGCGTGATCGCGTACCACAACACCATTAGTTGTTAACATTCAAGATAAATTACGTAATCTCCAAGTTTCCTATTTAGATATACATAATTATTATTGTCATACTTTAAATATTTCGTATCATTTACCAACATATAGATAATTCCTATCCGCCTTTAACATTAGAGTTAGACCAATCTAACGTTATTCACGATTCATGGAATGTCAGTTCACAATATTTTTGTAACAAATTAAGAATGAATAAAACTATTTTTATTATAAAATTACATAAACGAATAGAGACTAGTCATTTACGTATTCCCCTGATTCATTGCATATTACGACTCTCTTAAATTTCCTTCCTTTTATATTATCACTAGCTGTGGGAACGACTTCGTCCGTGTAAATAGTTATTTTATTTTAATCATAAAAATTTGCGAACGCAACGGACACCTACAAGGATGAATAATTTACCCCCCCCCCCTTTTTTTTTCACATAACACACTGTTTCTTCGCTCCTATTAGTCGCAAACACAAAAATATTTTCAAACCATTACGGCGGTCCCTACGTATAAAAGGACATGTTGAAAATAGCCATTTTTTTTATTATAGTATGACTTCAGATTGTGCATGCGCTCATACCAATATAATTATTATTTTTTAATTGTTTTACTAGATACAAAAACCGTATAAGAGAACAAGTTTAAAATTATTATGGAGTTGATGTCGTAGATGCTTTCGCGGTCTTGTCAAACTTAACGTCATTCACGGGTGATTCCCCAGTGAATGACGTTAAGTTTAAATATTGTATTACGGGTTTCCAGGAGTTAATTAATTATATCGACGAAGTTAATGAAGGTAAGTGTTGATTTATATTATTATATTTTATATTATAGATGATATTAAAAGTTGCTTGTTTTCTTTAATTAGCAATAAAGTAGAAGCTGGCGTCAAAGATTTTCGATTCTGGTCTGATAACTGCGCAGGCCAGAATCGTTATCGAATTGTTTTTTTATGTACTTGTAAGTGAGCAACTCGATTTCTGGAAAATGGCCATACCAGAACAAGGTAGAGAGCGTTCATTCACTAATAGAACGAACGGCAAAGAACAAACTTATTTACATACCAGATGAATGGTACATTGGTTCGCTGGCGAAACAGACTGGTCCGCCTTAGGGTCTCAGCACACATATGGGATCGGAAAGGGATCGTAACCGTAACGCCTTTCTCCTCGCTGTCAACCAGGCGTCAACCTACCGTACGCACGTAACGAAACCGTATCAGCAGCGCCTGTACGTCAACTCGGCTACGGCTAGGCGACACCGCGCTTACGCCTCGTCGCCCGAAAGATATTGGGTACACAATATGAATAAAGCAAGGAGGACGCAAGCGCGGGGACGGAGAGACGTAAGCGCGGGGACGATGAGCCGTAAGCGCGGGGACGATGAGCCGTAAGCGCGGGAATTGCAAGTTCGGAGCCTGTTCCGAGGCGAGGCGATTACGTTACGATTCCGATTAGTGTGCGTTGCAGTAGGGAGTTTAATACAAACCATTCTGAACGGCTCGAGGCGTTACGGTTACGATCCCTTTCCGATCCCATATGTGTGCTGAGACCTTTACGCGGTCATAAAGGCAGACCGAGACTTTTTTTTTTATTACAAAACTTGAAGATACAGCTTCAGACAAAGTTTCGTGGAATTAAGTTAAAGAAGTAAATATTCAAGAGACATATCCAGATATTATTTAAAGAAGATTATAGGAAATTCAACTGTGGAAATAATTTGAAACAGACAAGAGGGAGAAAGAAGAAAGAATAAGAACGTATATAGAGAACCTGTACAAAGGGCCACAATCGATTGCTGAAGTGAAGTGAAAAAGACTAGATAAGTCTTTGTAATACTATAATTCCATTCGATTAATATATATTATTCGATTATTGTAAAGAATTATCATTATTTCTATACACTTGCGCATGGTAAAGAAGAACAGGGTGGTAACGAAGAAGAATAATGTTAAGTTTCGCATTTTTATTTTACATCAGTCCATTTCCTATCTAGAATACTAGTTAATAACAATAATCGGTCTAATTAATAATTGTTAATTGTAAAAAGAACTGTGATTTTTAATGTCTTCATATTTCAATAAGACTGCTAATAAAGCAATAGTAATTTGTAGAAGGAGTGTTTGTTACTTTTATTATACTTTTCCCATAAAAAAATATTATTTTGATTATCAAAATAAACCCGATTAAAACTTGTAATAAAGGACATGTCTATCTATCTCTTCCGACCTAATGAGGTAAAACCACGTATAACCAGATGTCTTTATAAATTTAATTAATGTTTTATTGCTTATAGATCTAAAGATGTTTAAGGCATTGTTATTAATTAATAATTTTATTTTAAGTTTTTAGAAAAAATTTCTTATAAAACATTGCATTATTTCTTCCTACGTCTAAAGAGCTATCTGCCATTTTTTTAAAGAAATCGTAGATTCATTAAATATGTCTAAGAACTATTAAAAACTTTCTCAATACAACTAGACATTACGCAAAAAATATATGCTTAACTGAAGATATATTTTTTTCTAGAGCGATTTACACTTTAACCTATTTTAACCTTAGTTTTAGACATGTCTTCTTATACGTAGGGACCGTCGATTAGTTCCTTAGATTGGCGCGTTCAAACACTATTCACTTTTCTATTATTATTAGTAGTAGTACAGATTCAATTCAAATCTCCTTCATTCTATATTTGCCTTTCTATATTAGGCGAAAACTTCAAGGAAAAATTCAAGGAATGCTGATTATTTTAATATCTTTAACGTCGTAATAAAAATCATAAACAATTCAGTTACGTTAGTTTATTTCCGGATTGAAAGCGTATAAGATCAACAATTGAAAACACTGAATATTATCTTTACTAGATCTTAGCTGACAATTATTTGGCACGCTGTACTAGGTCACTAAACCAGTCAAACTATTGTTCACGCCTCTGAAGATCCTAAAATAAAAGAAAGCAATATGGCGTTCAGTTTTAGTCTATTAATAGGCCCTCCATCTTTGAACTGCGTTAAACTTTTTATCATTGCCATGGAATTTTCGTCATAAATTAATTTTTATTTAGTTTTACATTTGCCCTATTTAGTATAGACTAACAATAATATAGCTAAGTACTGAGGTTACGCGAGTAATATACATTTGAATAAAACTCTTTTAACGGTTTAAAACGACAGTCAGGCCCTCGTGACCACGGCTGTTGCAAAAAATGCGAAATATCGGGCCGTAATTAAAACATATTGTAAATAAGGTGTGTATGACTGCGGACGAGTAAATATGTTAACTAATATATTGCGCGTTTTAAACCCATAAAAGTGTTTTATTTAAATAATGTTTTTCAAAATGTCTATCAACTAATTCTTTCAGCGGCAACGCATTAGTTTATGGAACATATTAGGTATCTCGGAAGTTGCACAATATTGACCTTCACCGCAATTTTGAGTCTATATCGACTCACTTGAGTTTAGTAGGAGGCTTGGAATGCAAATTCACCAATATACCTATAACGCCTCTCTCGTTCGTTAGCTACGATAATTTATTGCTTTTGCATAAACTTATCCAATGTCAAGTTTATAAGCGTTATGCAATAATTCCAATTAAAATGTGTAATAAGGAAAAAGTTAGCCATATTCGTTACTCACATTCTCTTTATTATTTTAACCCTTCTTTTAGTAATTAGTTTCGACATATGGGTCGTCTGAAACGTAAGAGTAAAGATTGTTTGATTGTTGTGCGAGTTGTAATAACTCAGTCATACACATTGCAGGCTCGCTTCATGTATTTCCGGTATTTACTATGTTGATTTATACGAAAGTCCACAAGCGGCCGTCCTCAAATTTCATTCTATGACCGTACGCTTGTTCGTGGCACGACGCGTGTCTGACGAGCCTCCACGTCGGCGTCGCGCCACCGGGTTTCCTCCCCCCTGACCTCGTACCGCACGCCCACGAGCGTTCATATTCGCGCTTTATGAACTATGTGATACTGTCCAATGTTCGCTGGCAAGTTGCGGGCGACGATAGACCGACTGTGCAGCGACCAACCGAATGGGCGAACCGCCTGCCGAGGTTAGTCGCGATTCTCTTTTCGTCGCGTGTCCCCGATTCTTACTAGACCATAGACGCTAGACCGTAGTTTTATGTAATCTCGGGAGTTATATCGAATATTTCACAAAATAAATAAAAACACTATGCAATAGGACTGTGTATTATCAAAGTGAGATTAATAATATATAATATTGACAAGATGTCGTTAACCATGACTACAACACTAACCAATGGACATCGTAATGGCAAATTGGAGCCTTACATTAACGGGTGTAAAATGAACGGAACAGTGAAATCTGACAGTGCGGAAAATAAACATGTGAGTATTTTTCATGTTATAAATTAAATATTGTTTTAATCATCACAAAAGAAAAAGAAATATCTTCGTAGTTTTGTGCTAGCTCATAAGAAATTAGTGTATAAAAGTATTAAGTAAAATAGTAATTAGGTACTAATGTCAAAAATGTAAAGTGCAGATTAAAGAATATTACATCATTACTGTACAATTTCGTAGGCTTCTGAAAATAAATCATGTATAACTTTGGTGGTAATTAGAATTTTTAAACTTAACGCACCATGCATATAATTAGCTGGAACTGCTCGTTGACGAGCCGTGCAGCTGAACGCGTGTTTAATGAAATTGTTTGGTTCAGCCGGAACCGCATTCCGAACCGGCTATGCAACGTGAATCGCTGAGCTATTGTTTCGAATTATTCTATTTTTAAATGTTATTTAAATTTGGATTACGAATACGAATCCACAGTTCTACGTTACTCTAGTCAACAAACAGTCTGAAAAATAAACACTGTTTTATGTACCTAGTACAGAAAAGGCGTAGCTACTGTTTATGTCAGATTTATTTTTATAATTCATTGTAATCTATTTAACGATTGAACCGGACTTGTAACTCGGTTCTTGACCTGCTCAGCTGATATACGGCAATCTAAATGACTAGGTTCAAATGGTGATGATAACGGCAAAGATTACGTCAGAATTTTTGTGTGTAATAAATAAAATATTTGTCAATATCCTGAACTTTATTTATACAAGGTACATATTTCATAATATAGTTACCGAGTTGTATTGCCTAGAATGTTCCGATCTTTTTCTATGTTTATACAGTTGCCACACTAAATAACTCTTATTGTAGTCAATATATTATAAAATCCTATATCTATTAGCCCTTCCGTATCGAAAGCACAGAGTACAAAATTTTAATACGAAAGATTACCTTGAAATTGTCGTCACAATTTTTTCGAATGTTTTCAACTAGTTGTACATGAACTTTAAACAACGTTTACGTGTTTATTGACGTCAACAGGTAGTTTGATGTTTACGTAGGTTGTAATAACACTTTTCCGTTTTTAACAGACTCCGAAGTTTATTGCTTTTCAGTAGTTACTTACAGATGATTGACGGCAAGTGCTTATAAACGAGAAATTCATTTTACGCCTTCAATTGTTTTTTAGTTTTCTTCTGACGAACAATTTAAGTGACTAAGCCTCGGTGCATACTTTAGAAGGAGAACTACTTTATTTTTATTTTTTAAATAATACTTGTTCATGTGGCCATGGGTCGCATTAAGATATTAATATTAAAAAATATATTTTTTTCTTCACTCACATGTCGTCATGCAGACTGCAATTTAAAACATTGTATGCACTCATATTATGAATGAGATAAGCGAGGGCTCACAATATCTGGCATGTCCGGCTCCACGTCACATCACGCCACCTCCTTATCACTGGCCACCATTAGGCGGTGACCCTGCCCCGGCGCCTTTCGAACGATTTCAAGATTAGAAAGACCACTACTCAGTACGCCCACGACGGCTGGCCTTTGTGCTTTTTAAATTCCACATTTAAGATGCATTTAAATTGTCTGTATGCACTTCCTTCTCGCTTTAGGTATTTAAAATTGTTTGTTTGAGGAAACCATGAGGTTCGCTTGATGGTAGCAGAAATACCCCAGCCTATAGCATCTAAACAAGATGTGCTGTCGACGGAATTCGGATTTCCGAAGATGCAAAGCGATATTTTGGAAATTCACGGACTGAAATCGAAACGTGACCCGGACGGAATTTCGATAACCCTTCCACCCATATAGTATCCAAATTTCGAGACGAAGTCCACCATATTCATAATTTGTCTGAAACAAGAAAAATTAAGAATCAATTTGAAAAATGTCGGACACGGTGCGAATCGAACCAACGATCGTTGATTATAAGCCATACATTGCCACTATATATATAGCCATACTAAGTAGTCCCTCGATAGGAATAGTCCTATATACTTAAACTTGCAGACTAACTTTAAGTGTTATATCTTTTGTTTTACTGATTCATTTTATGTATGCGCATTTGAGACCTTATCCTTTTAAAAACATTTCATTCAAAACTTACCGTTTCTATTTGAGTAAAACGTTCGCGTTTAAGATTCTTTGAACTAACCAAGATTATTGTAAAATTAGAGAAGCGAGGCCGCTCTGATTGACACTCGAATCTATTTTTAGAACTTAACGATTCGTCTAGATATATTTTGGTAATGTATCGCTAGCAAGATACCGTTCTACCGTTTATTTGATAGCGTAGATAGCGAGTAGCTAAATATGTACTACTAGCCGACGTGGCAAACTTTATTTTGCCATAAGAAGTATTCGACCAAAATATTACTATAAAAAATGATCTCGTTTGTTAATCTTAAAAGATGAACTGTCGCGGACATTTTTTCAGATTATTTAAATAGTAATTCTGTCATACATTGGTATCTTGAAACGTTTTCGAGACGCACGCGCACGCTGCGAAATTCCTTGAAAATGAATAACTATCCCCGTTTTTTTTCCATTTACCACCGTTTACTAGGTATTTGTCGCAGCCAGATGGTTTAAAGCCTAAAGCCTTCCTCGATAAATGGTCTAAATAAAACAAAATAATTTTTCGATTCGAGCCAGTAGTTCCTGAGATTAGCGCGTTCAAACAAACTCCTTAGCTTTGTAATATTAGTATAGATAAGAAGACTTGTGAGGCTTTCGAAATTCGGTCATTCCGTAAATGTGAGGAAAATTTAAAAATTCCAAGGTCTATGAAGGTACAATTTTGCCGCACAAAAGGCGTCGTTTTCATTGTTACCAAATACCTTAAATATTTCTACAACAAATATTATCTCAAGTGTTATATTGTATACATAGTTTATTGGCTCTGTAGCGCATACATATACTATATATTCTAGAATTTAAGGTACCATAAATCAATGTGTTACCTTTTACTGGATCTACTCGTTTCTCTAGCGCGGACTTATTTGTAGAAATTTAGAAAGCTGCAGAATACTCCGGTATACATACGTAATACACTAGTTTGTGTTCCTTGCTTGGCCCGCAGCGTAATTGATTTTTATTTAAGCATTCCGATGTCCCAAGGATTATAGGATGCACCACACGTGCAAGAGTTGTAAGCAATGATCGAGTTTAAACGCGATTTATGTCAAAAAATTTATTTTATTCCACATACAAATAAGTAACAATTACAAAACAACAATGCTTATAAATTTGATGTGGAGGGACACCACTCCGCGTTTGTTGTACCTGGAAGTAAGCTTATGCTCAGTGCCCAAGTACTACATACACATACTCACATAACCCATGTTTTCAGGACAATATAATAAGTAAAAAGACACTAAATTGTATTACATACGCCTAACATCGAAAAGCAATCATATAGCTTTTTGGTTTCGAATATTATACAACAATAAAATAAATTCTCCCTCCCTTTTTTCTCCTCCCTTTTCTGTATCCCATCGTATATGGACATAACCTCGGTGCACTGTGGACCTGGTAGCAATTTGTATGCGACGCGTCATTTCTCTTACATAGTCCGTTTTGTGTGTATTAATTTTCCTTAATTTTTTTTTCAACAGTCACTATGCACAGAGGCACCGTACAGTACGGACCCGGCAGCCGTGGCGGAGCTCGAGCGATGTCATTACGGACGAATTCCGAGGGCGGAGGCGCTCGCCGGGACTGCCTCGCGAAGAGTCCGCGTCTACGCAGATGGCATCTACGACATGTTCCACCAAGGCCACGCCTTGCAGTTACAGCAGGCGAAGGCGGTCTTCCCTAATGTATACCTTATCGTCGGAGGTAATAATTATTATTTTGAATAGTAAATCTATGTAACAGGTCATTGACGGGCTTGTTGGTCTGATCGACGAGTCGTGAAGAGACTTGTTCATAATTTTGTCAATTTATAATTTTCCGGAAACATGTTTGACTTCATCTGGAATTCAGAATATTAAATGCTTGTGTGTTCTCCTCTATATTAAAAAAAAGTTCACATCATAAAGGATGAAGTGCAACTCTTATGTTCTTTAAATCGATCAGTCGTTCAGGATGCAGCATAATTAAATACTGTCTATAGTTTACGCGAGTAGTACACATTTAAATAAAACACTTCAACGGTTTAAAACGCGATATATTAGTTAAACTTATTTGTCTCCCCGTGACCACGGCTGCTGCAAAGCATCCGAAACGTCGGGCCGAAGTTAAAAATCATACTGTCTATAGTTTACGCGAGTAGTACACATTTAAATAAAACACTTTAACGGTTTAAAACGCGATATATTAGTTAAACTTATTTGAAAATGATTTTTAACTTAAACGAATTTTTAACGAAGTTAAAAATCATTTTCAAATAAGTTTAACTAATATATCGCGTTTTAAACCGTTAAAGTGTTTTATTTAAATGTTAAAAATCATTTCAAATAAGTGTAACTAAAATATCGCGTTTTAAACTGTTAAAGTGTTTTATTTAAATGTGTACTACTCGCGTAAAATATAGACAGTATTTACATCTATAATCATTTCTCAATTACAATAGAGCTTCAAAACCTAAATAGCTTTAAAATCATCCAGCCAATTCCTTATGCTTGATAAACATATTATTTCAGCTTCAGAAAGTTTTACGTGAAACGAAACGTTATTGTACGTGTCTTAGATTCGGTTGAATGTTGAACTTGCATTTTCTATAACCGTCTAAAATTACATAATAAGAAATGTTGAATTTTAAGTAAATATTACACGTTTTGCTTATCTTAGCGATAAGTATATATCTTTTTACTACATAATACTACTATTGTGTACTGTAATCTTTTCTCTTCTTTGTAGTGACGTCAAATGATAATGTTTTGTGATGTTATTTTTAATTTGTAATGCTAAATCCCACGTTGAAACCTTAATAAGTGAACAAAATTGAATCTCGATTTGGACCAAACTGTATTTTGGTTTATATTAATGCGACAAAATCCATGACTGATAAATTGACTCGTTGGTCTCGGATTCGATTTCCAGAACGAGCAAAATATTCAGTAGAATGTCGATTTAAAAAATCCAGTACGTTCTCGATCTATGCAGTATGTTCTAAAACCTCCCTATTCAATGAAAAAGGAGACTAATAGGTTAAAAATAATACATAATTACTATTACTTAAGTTGGTAATAACATTAATACTTGCTCGTCGACATGGTCGTAATCGTCGTGCGTACATTACAATAATGATGTATTAGAATTTACCACAAAATCGATAAATTTGATGAGAATCACCTTTAATTATACTAAAATGAATCACGATTTTAAAACACACAAGAGCTAATTTCACTGTTTTTGATAAAGATATAACTAATATATCACAACGAATGATTCATGCAAATAAACCAGGCGTGGTATGTATTAGCTGATTGGTCGCGATACATCGTACGATGTTGTCTTTATCCATAATTTTGTGGAATAATTCTATGAAGGCTTATTTAATTGTCTTAATCACACTGGCTGATAAAACTCACGTGAACGTGCAATGGCGCAATATGTGTAATGTGATACTATCTTTGGGAATGCGATGAGGAAAATGGCAGATATTTTCTCGGATTCCGTACTCGAAGGGTAAAAACCCTTTTACTAAGACTTCGCTGTGACTGTCTGTTGTCGAGCTATAACTGCGATACGTAGAGTCCATATTATCAAAAATATATTATATAAAGCAAAATTGCCATTATTTGCATAGCTTGCTTATAAATATAACAGCTAATCTTTCGAAATTGATTTTAAAACAAGTGCGGAACCCTTAGTGTCCGTTTGCGACTCGTCGCGACTTATAATGTTTCAAACATTATTTTTCATGTGTTATTGTGCGTTATGGCTTTAATAGTATTAATCTATTTTAGATTTAAAAGAACCATTTTACGGACAAGTAAAAAAAATATTATTATCAATACTGTCCATAATTTTCGGCCCGACGTTTCGGATGCTTTGCAGCAGCCGTGGTCACGGGGAAACGTCGGGCCGAAGTTAAAAATCATTTTCAAATAAGTTTAACTGATATATCGCGTTTTAAACCGTTAAAGTGTTTTATTTAAATATTATTATCAATATTTGTTCTCAATGTCTGTGTTTTAAATTTCAACGTTTTTTGTAAACAATGTATTGTTTTTCTTCTACTATTAAGATTGTGGAAATAGTCTTCAATATATCCTTATCTTAATTTTTCTGTTATCGCAAACCACTTAAAATTTTCAGAATTCCTATCAAACGTATGCGTTTTCCGTTTTATAGCTCGTGGGTTTTATGGAGGAAACTTGAGTTGTTGATTAATTTATCGCAACCAAAATCAATATAACTTTTTTTAATTATAGATACAAAGGATTTACTAGATAAATATTAGCGATTACATGTATAAAAAAAAACTTCGAGTATGTTCTTATCTCTTGATTGGAATAAATGTGCCTCAAGGATTGCCTAACGCAATATACCTGTTACTAAAAAATATACGTTACATTGTTGGTCACTCAGCGGTAAAATGCGTAGTGTTATAAATTAGGGTTAGCAGGTTCGAATCCGGTAACAAGAAATTGTTTCGGTCGTGGAGGGCAGGGATGACTGATTAACTTTATTCTAGCAGTTGCCCCCCATTGCGTTAAGTACGTTCCACGGTTTGAATTCCTGTAAAATTTGACGGGATTGTGGATCCAATCGTAGCAACGTATGTCTGTGTTTGTTCCCCACTAGGTCCAACATTTGTCTCAATGATTTATAATTTTTCATGAAACATGTAGGACTTCGCCTGGAAATCTGGATATTAAATGTTACAAATAATAAGTCTCGTCGTTCTTGCATGTTAATCTTATAAGATAGACATATAGCATCGCGTACTTTTTTTAGATCTAGTGTTTCTTTGCTCTTGTTAGTTACAGCGCGCTTTGTAGAATGTAACCTTTCACGATAAATGCTCTACCCAACACATCAATAAACAAACAGGCAATCTCTTCCGCTTTATACATTATTGAATGTTATTTATGTATTAGTATAGATTTATTCTTTGAATTCCAGTATGCAGTGATGCACTCACACACAGCAGAAAAGGTCGCACAGTGATGACAGAGGATGAGAGATACGAAGCGGTGAGGCACTGCAGATACGTCGACGAGGTATGTGACGTCACCGTTTGACTCATTCCTTAACTGGGATTGTAATTAAGGTTAATTACGAGATTAGTCAGATAAGCGAAAAAATAAGTCGTTTTTCATTTAAGAGCAATTAAAAGATAATATTACTTAGATTCGTCATTAAAAAAGCTTTATGGTTTAAAACGCGAATTATATTAGTTCATTTATTTTTCCCCCAGTTACGACTGCTGCTGTACGCTCATTAAGTTGAGCCGTAGTTAAAATAAATAACTTATATTTTGTGTTTTCAACCGTTAAACGTGTTTAATTTTAACTTGTCTGCGTGTTTATCCATCCAAGTTCAAATTGTCAAATTGTAAATTTCTTTTGGCGTTAAAAAAACTAAATAAAATAAATATTTAAGAGGAACTTCATGCAACAAACTTATTTTGTATCTCAGTTTTAATAATGGTTACAATTAAATACTAATTTTAACTTATGTTAATATTATAATCAATTGACATTAAAATACAATACGATATTTGGTACGGAACCCTTCGGACGCGAGTTTGACTCATAATTTGTCGGTTTTTTTTATTAGTAATAAAAATTAAAATCTTTAATACTAAAGAATTATCTATAATTATAATTTTATCATTAATATTTTTTAGTTCTAGTCAGAATGATGACCTCTTGGGTTTTATATCTTTGTATAATTTGAAGTTATACCTTAATTAAGACAAAAAATAAATGTAAAACTTCCTCTAGCTTTATTGTGTAAATTTAAACGAAATGTTTATAGTATTTTTCTTATAAAAGAGGAGGACAAAATCTTGGTTCACTAGATGGCGGGTATATACATATGACGTATGACAATTCAACTAGATGCTCTGTCGAATAACACTAGACGTTTGTTCGTGATACGGCCAGAATTTCGATATTCCAACAGATAAACTTCAACGTGCTTAATAAAAATTATAAATTGATTTGAAACATGTCGGACCCGTTTATTATTAGCTATACATTGCTATTATTTGACCAACGACCCCGTCAATGTACGATTGTCTTTGTACAGCGTGTATGTACGTTTGTATGACTGTATGTACATACAGTACAATAAAGATCAAGCAGTTATTACGTAATACAATAACGTTTAAGGATTTGCTACGACTCTGAATAACTGATTCGTGATTAATTGAATAGTTATTGAGTACAAGTACCTTCGACTCTTGCGCAAACGCTTCCGAGACTAATAACCATTAGTATTCATTACTATAATTAAACATACAATTATTGCCCACCTATCACTGGTACACTCGATAGCGCCAGTGCCGTAGCTATCTTAGCCGCGCCGAACTCGAATCCTGGACCTTATCCGTCTAGCAACGTAGCCAGCTGCACCAGGGCACCGGAGTTTGGGGGGAACTCCCTAACCCATTTTTAAAACATATTAGTGTAAGAGAAAAGAAAGTATTTTTGAAATGAACTGTTTTCGTTCGCTCGCATATTCGCAATTCAAGTTACGAAAAAGAGGGGATGAGGGCCCAACTTCTTCTTTATGTGCCGGGGCCCTTGTCCACTACGCATCAGGTCCAGGGATCGAATCCGGGTCGGTGATCTTGATATTAAGAAATATTGGTCTTCGTTATTCCAAGGTTTAAAAAAAATAGTTTGCAAGATATATTTATACGTTAATAGGCTGTTTGAAATAGTTATGCGCTACAAAACTTTTAGGTCGGGTTAATAATTAGGTACACTTCGGAAATAGACATTACCCATTTCTGTTAACGGCACGGACAAAAACACGAATAAAGTTCAAAAGTAACATTTTAGATTTTCAAAAATAGATACGGATGAAATAAATTGCTTACCGTTGTTATTATGGTTCAAAAAATATAATATTATTTTTTAACTGTTTCGAAAGCATTTGTTCAAATTGGATGCTAATGACATCCGATGTACAACCTACCTTGTCCCACTTTTGTAATAAAATTAGCCGTGATTTTGCTCTGAAGATTAAAGCCATATGCTTTGCATTAAAAGTAAAACCTTATTAGACAAGGATATTAAGTAATAACCAATTTGTAAGACATTATTTAGCATTGTTCCAATTCAGTAAAATATTTCTAAAAAAAACATGAGTATGTACTTTCTTTCGTTTAAATAAATCAAATGTATAGTAAACTATATATTCCGCGTTTTAAACCATTAATAGCGTTTTATTTAGAAACAATGCTTATGCATTAACTGTAGTTTATGCGAGTAATACATATTTTAATAAAACACTTAACTGTTAAAGTTAACATGAAACGTAGTTAAAATTAAAAATAAGTTAACCAATAGTTTTCGTGTTTTAAACAGTTAAGAGTTTCATAAAAAATATGGTTGTATTAGCGAATCGGGTTTCGAGTCGATAACTGCGATGCTATATATTTATAAGAACAATTTGTCTTAACTATATATTTTTATCTCCCCGTGACCACGGTTGCTGCAGAGCATTCGAACCGAACCGATCCGTAGTTAATATAATTTTCAAATAAGTTTAACTAATATATATCGCGTTTGTAGTGTTTTATTTAAATATACTACTCGCGTAAACTACGGACAGTATTTATATATGAAAATATTTTTTCTACGTATATAGTACTCTTTTTAAATCTGCCCGTATATGTATTCCAAATTAACTGTTATTCTTAAAAAATACAGTTAGAATTGCCGCTATCTAATAATTAAGAATATAATGCTAATACTCTAAGCACGGGCATTTGTATACAGGGACAGTAAAAGAATAGAGTGACCTCGATTTTTTATTATGCTAATATCTCCACTGAAAGTACTAACGAAGTCGCTAGCTGTATAGCCATTGAAACAAAAACGCTATCTAAAACTTTGAGAGTAATTTTTCGAATTAAAAAATTGATTTTGGATTACAACTTTACGATACAAACTGGACTTGAAATTACCTCTACACCGTTACGTGCTGTTGCAACAGCACGTAACGTTGTGGATGAGGGTTCGAGTCCTGCCTGTGTCGTGAGATTTTTTCAATCTAAAATCGATTTTTAATTCGTATAGTGCCATCATGTGGAAAATGTGAAGGTTTTCAGTGATTTTGTACGTTTTATTTTGCAGGTGATCCGCGACGCGCCCTGGGAGTACGAGGAGGACTTTTTAGAGAAGCACAAAATAGACTTCGTCGCGCACGACGACATACCGTACACATCGGAAAATTGCGAAGACATTTACGCCATGATTAAGTCCAAGGATATGTTCGTAGCCACACAGAGGACGGAAGGTAAGCTTAGTTTTGAAAACATTATTATTTTTATTGTATAGATAAAAACCTGACAATTAATTGAAAAAAAATTCGACTCGGACAGAATTTGAACCGGCATCGTCAGCGGTCCGTGCTCTAACCAATTGTGTAGAAAGAACCTTCTGCATCACTTTCAGTAATATTTTATCCATCCAATACAAATTTTGATAGCCTTGATGAAAATAAAATCTAGATTAATATTGAGTCTAGTCACAACATCAAGTGCAGATAAATAGCTTATCACCAATAACATCAGGTCTGCGGACTGCGACCTAGACCCATTCGGCATATCGCGAAGTTACTGATTGCACTATCACGTTCTGATTGGGGAAGGTCAAATTTGGCGATTTAGTAGTTTTAGTAGTAACAGGAAGAGACAAATGTCACATACATCAAAACGAATATTTTTGCATTGGGCTTTCAGAAATTAAACGATGTAATGCAATTCAAATTCAATGATTTTTATATATGTATTTAAATTTTCTTAGTAACTATTTTCTTTATGAGCTATAATAGTTTTAAACAAAGTTAAATAGAAGTTTACTATTAGAACTAATAATTAACTACATTCGTAATTTTTGTAACGGTTTTATTATGAAATTGATAGTTAATTATAAATATTGTTATGTAAACATTATGATTATCTTTATACTATTAAAGAACACTTCGGCAAGCCACATTCTTTTGTCCTCTCATTTCACTATTTTGTTCAAGTGTTTGCCAAAGATATGTTAAACATATGAAATTAAATAAATTGTATTCAATTACTTAAAATGTCCGTCTCTCTATTTCTCTCTATCATTTTTTGTCCTTGTCACCTTGTGATGCATATATTTGCATAGGCAGACAGATTGCTCGAAAATTTCAAGTCTAGAACTTAATTTCAAAACTTTTTTATTTTCTCTCAGGTGTATCCACATCAGATATAGTAGCGCGGATCGTAAGGGACTATGACATGTACGTGAGGCGAAACCTCGCCCGAGGATACTCCGCGAAAGAGCTGAACGTTTCCTTCCTCAACGAGAAGAAGTTCCGTCTGCAGAACAAAATGGACGAATTGAAAGATAAGGGCAAAAAGGTTGGTTTCCACTCCGGAGTCTAATACATTACATAAAATTAAAAAACAAATACAGACGAGCGAGCAAAATTATATTATGTATAACAAAGACATTTTAATATTCGTTTCTTATAAAAATGAGTAGTAAGTGGTTGACCAAAAACTTTTACTTATCAACATACAGAATATGTTTTGAAGAAGAAAACATATATTGAATTGTATTTATTTTCCATTCTAATATATACGAGAGTCGGTTTATTTAAATAGAAAAAATTCTTTCGGAGTATTATGAAATTGATGACAGCTGGTTCTGTCCATGGATTTTTGGTAAAATAAGCTAGGGGGGGGGTGTTGTTATATAAAAGGTTTTGTTGAATATTTTCGATCCCTATTAATATTTAATATATGGCATTTAAAGGCATTTTTTTTTACCAATAATATCTCTTAATTCCTTACCGTCCGTCTAATATCTGGCCATGATTATTTCAGGTGATGACAAACATAGGAGAAAAACGAGTGGATATCCTAACTAAATGGGAGGAGAAGTCCCGCGAGCTGATTGATGCGTTCTTACTGCTCTTCGGTCCGGATGGAAGGCTGTCCAATATCTGGAACGAGTCAAAGGGTCGGCTAATGCAAGCGTTGAGCCAACCACCGTCGCCTCGGTCTTCACCCCCACCCAGCGAGAATGGAGATCACCACGATACGCACAGGTATATAATTCTTATATTATGGTTTCCTCTGGAAATCTAGGTCGGTAGGAATATCGCAATTTCGTCCGGATCACGAACCACCAACGACAGATGAAAAAGCCGTGAAGTTTAATCACGTTTCGGTTTCAGTCTGTGGATTTCTGAATATCAAACGCCAAAATAGGTCGACATCTTCTTTAGATAACATAGGTTGGGATATATCACCTACCATCAAGTAAATACTTGTCTGTCCTCTATTAGTAATTTTTTTTAATTCTTTTTCTTGTCAGCAGAAGTTCTGAATCCCCGCCGCCGTCCAAGGCGCGCCGCTGCGACACCGTATGGGAGCAGCATGCAGGTAACTGGGTAATGTTTTGCGCTTCAATAGCTAGCTTATCACTTTTTCATCTTCACTTCATAACAGCCGCAATCCTACCTTAAGTATCCTAAATTAAGATTTACAGAATCCATGGGCGGGATTCAAACCCACGAACTTGCTTCGATGCTGTTGCTTTTATCAACCGTAGTGCCTTGATATGTAAGTAAAAGCAACAAGAAGCGCTGCATTAGTGGGTTTGACTCCCGCCGATGTCGTATTAGTGCTAGTCTTAGTATCTATCTTACATAATAGCCCACGCTTAACACGCTGTTTGCTGTAGCACATTGTTCACGACGTTTGAAGTAGATCCTAGAAGCATGAATGATAAAATAATAATGTTATGAAAAGTGCATTTTCTATTAAGATAATATATAGAATTAATGTTTTACATATTATCACACATAATAATACTAAGCCTATTTTCTAAAGCACAAAGGTTTTATTCAGATGTAACGTTCTTGTCAAAGAAAAAATGATAACACAGGCTCCACCCGGAGCGTAGGGGGGACTTAAAGAGGAGACAACAGCCCGATTCTTTCTTCTTTAGGATTCACCTAGATCTCTAGCAAAACGATGTGCCAACTTTGACCAATGTGTCAATAGCTCATGTTGTTTCAACTATCTGTTGTTTGCTTCTACAAAGTAAAATTCATTATTAATTCCACGCCTTTCTCTCGTTCAGATGCATCGAGCTCTGACGGTCTTGGTGAATCGGAAGAGGCAGCACAGCGTCAGCTGACGGACGACGGATCGGACAGCGACGACGATTTCCAAGACCCCAGCCCTTACCTCACCTAGGAGTTTGCCACCTTGGCCTTAACTCAACCACAGCCACGGTGATAACAAAATTGTCGACTCAAATAGACGCTTAGTTTAAATATAATAGTCACAGTTTGGATGGACATTTTAATCGTACTAGTTATATTTTATTTAATACCCAAGAATATGTTTCATTCTGTATAGCCTTATATTTTTGTATGAGTAAATTCCATATTGTGTACCTACCTAGCCAAACTGACTGTCATATTTACTATGTAGAATAGAGTCAATACATGACGAAGTAATTAATTTATTTAAAGATGTCTAGAGAAATTAAATACATCGGCGAAATTGTGATGTGACATAATGGAGGGTTGGTTCAATGTCCTGCGACCATTTCTCTACTTTTAGGGTTACAAGTTTTTGTATTAGGCTTTAACATTAGGATTTCTCTAGCTTCACTTTTCAATAGGTGAAACTTTGAAGTATTTTATATACGATCATGGCAAAATTATTATTGAAATTAAAATGGCGTACGTCGCAAGCATTTCCTAATCTAAAGATTATTGTAGTTAGCTTTATGTACGATTGCAGATGCATCAAATGAGAATATGTAAGAGGCATTTTCAACGAAATGTGAATATTAATTAAATAAGGCACCGCAATCTTCGTAACAAATTCCATTTCTCTGAATTTGTTGTGGAGACATCTCAGCTGTTTATTTGAAAGTGCCTTATTGTTAGGTTTTATTTATTTATGTTATAGTTTTTATTTAAGTAAATTTTCTGTCAGAGGAATAAATTATCTTAGCACCGACAAATATTGCTTGGGTGCAGAGTTATTGTCACACTCCAAGACAGTAAATAAAAGAGGTGCTTATTACATTTGTGTTTATTCATTTTCCCTCTCTATCCATAAACTGCCATGCATGCATATTGTGGTGAAATGATCATTGGGCCTTCTATTGCTGTCCTAAATAGAGGTTAGGTTTTAAATGCAAAATATATTTGTTAAATTATTTCAACTAGATATGTCCCAGCATTTTCTATGCTTTCCAGTTGTTGTGGTCACCTGTCTCGAAAAGTCGAGCCAAAGGTGAAATTTTTTGAGAGTACAAAGCAAAATAAAACTATTCAGTTTAAAATAATAAAGTTTATTTGAACAAAATTTTGTACTTATAAAAATCATAGCTTATTCTAGTTTATTTAACTGTATAAAAAAGGTTTGTTTCTGTTTTATTGCAGTATATTTTAAATGATAACACAATTTACGATTAAGTATTTTCTGTAAGATTGCAAAGAAAAGCTGAAATGCATAGTATTTGCATCTAGATGTCTAGGTTTTACAATTAATGGTCAGCTTATTTTATTATGTTGTAGTTAAGGTCTCATTCAAAAATCAATAGGCTACTTTTCTTGGAGACTGAGATTTAGAACTCTCTTTGTTCAGCCCTACACACAATTATGTACTCCAGATCCAATAAAAGAACAATCATTAAATTGCACTTTAAGAAGTTCATTTTCACAACTCGGTCTTTGCTTTGCCCTTTTCTCCTTTTTCTTTTAATTCTTCAAACAGACAGGAGTCATCTGTGTTTTTCAATGCGTGCTTTGTACACAAGTGAATTTTCAAATCGATGCTACCTTGATGCTTCCAATACCAATCCTCAATGGCATCTTCATTCTCTTCTAAAAGACTTTCACATTGTGTTTTCATATGAGTGATTTCCGCCGATGGCTTATCCCACAACTCTAAAGGTATGCCTAAGTCTACTTTGACGCCTTTGTCTACCAAACCATGAAGAGTTTTAAACGTTTGGCTCATACCTTTAGCGAACCTTGTACTGTCTTCGCGTTCCTTATGGATATTGTATTCCAGAATCTTCTCGCACACACCGTCTAAGGATTCGATTAATCTTAATTCAGATTTTTGATATTTTGTTTTCTTCTTCGGTTTCACATCGTCTAAAGAGTAGCCGATTTCGATAACGTCGTGCACTTTGCCGGTTTCTTCAAGCCTGCCTTGCAATTCTGTAGCTAATATTTTACAGACTTCGCATCTGTTAGCATATTTAACGCCTAAATCCTCTTCCGATTTTACTTCCACATCGTGGCTAGTGAGCACTCTTGTTATAAGCAAAAAATATAAAGTTGTTCTACAAAACATCGCGGAAAAACTTGTTTTATCATCAAATTACAACACGTCAAGATCAAGTTAAAACACTGCATATAAAATAGATATTATAAAATATACCCTGTGGACAACAGTTGTCAGAGCGTCCAATACAATATTCAATAATTACGACTCTTCAACTCATTATCACTATATTATTTTTTTCACTAACGGTAGTAGATAAGATAATTTCATATAAATATACAATATAATAATTATGACTCATTAGATTTGTTTAAGACTGGACAGATAATATAAAACATTACTATTGCTTTATAGCGAGCGCACAGATGCGGACTATAATTTATAAATACTTTTATACGTTTTTTGGAAGTTAGGAGGCATAACTAGTGGGACCAAGTTTATTTTCCTAGTCCTCCATTTTTCGTTATATTTTGTAGGCATAATACTACTTATTAACAGAGTCCATAACCATAAAAAATTATATAAATATATAGTTTAAGGCTTATATTTGCTTCAAAATAAAACACTGCTAAAGACACAAAAAATCGGTTTATTAATTTATACTGATGGCATAGTTTAGTGTTTTCAAGATAAATAGTTATTGAACCTAAGCTCAAAACACACGTAGGCTTTACATAATATAATCTTGTACAGTGTATGGATACTGGGCTTTTAAAGATATGACCCATTCTTCAGTGACATTTCTTGCTAAAGTAATTTCTTGAAAAACTAAACTTCTTGACTCTTCCTCAAATCCTAGTTTCTTAAACATTTTAAAAGATATCTCATTTGTAAGTGAAATTTTGGCCTCATATCTTTTTAAATTAATACTTTCTATTCCATATAAGAGCATAATGGTAACTGCTTCCTGTCCTAACTTTTTACCTCTCGCTGATTCTTCTGCAAGCATAATTTCAATTTCTCCTTGCCCAATATCTTTGTCAGTTATAAATATATTTGTGTCTCCAATCATACTATCTAAAAGAAAGTGATATTGTAGAAAATTAAATTAGATTTTATAATCACACTTGCAATTACAACATACCAATTTCGTCATTGTGTAGTTCATATTTTCTTCTATCCAGTATAATAAATGTGCATTCTGAAAATACGTAAGCTTTTTAAAATTCTTAAATTTACTCTGAACTCTGAAAGAGGTTGATTTTTTGAGTTACTGACTGTCTTCATCTTCTCTCCATGATTTTTGCATATCATATTCTTGACATAATGTAAGACGTTCGGATGCTGTTAACTTTTGCAATTCTTCAGACTGCATCCATTCATGGTACCTTTAACATACTTTACATAACTATTTCAATAATAACATCAACATCACACATTGTAAAACTTAACATTCAAAACTACTAGTACTAACTTTGGTACATGTTTTTCCATATAAGGAACTAAAATAAGATTTTTACTTATAATTTTCAATTTACTGTTACATTTCATTTTGAGTTACGGAACCTTCAGGTTACTAAATTTATTTAGTTTTTTAATATTATCGAATTAAAAATATCTGCCTTTAAAAAATTGTAAACAATGAAGATTGATTTTTTAATAATATTTTATGGCCTGGTAAAAGGATCTTTAACCAAATCAGTAATTATAGCAGCTTAATTAAATATGAACTATGAGTTTTTTTTGTAATATTTAATGGCCTGGTAACGAGACCTTTTAAGCCATGTCTTATTTTCACTTCACACTTTTCTTCTTATAAAGACCCTATAATTAGTGTTTTTAATGAATTTGTATAACGCACTACAACACTTTTTGTTTGAACCATGAGTGCTGTAGACCTAGAGACAAACTTACAACACTAAACACCTTACTAGTATTCTGTCAAGTGTCAATTATTGCAGTATGGCGAAACTTGAGTTGAGTGTTTATTAAGCAACTAATCAAACCTTATAAATATCACATATTTTTACTGTATTATCTATTTTAGGTCTGAAGTTTCGATTTTTTCTAATTAAAAAAAAGTTTGATATATATCGACGATTCTTTAACGTTTAAAATGAATCAATATTTGACCGAAAGAAGGCTGTGCTGGTGCTATGGACTGCTTGCAGTCCTACTTGCTGCTACTGTAATATGTTTGGGTATTCCGTACAATCATTGGAAAGCTACATTAGACGTATGTCCTGGGAGTTGGCTAGAAAATAATAACTGTGGATGTATTCTGTATGGTGTTAGCACTTATCAGTACTTTACTGGAGGACATAATTCTTATTGTTTGTATGCGGTATTTGCACCCATACCGATATTGGTGTATGCTCTAATTATGGCCATTTTCCATATGTACAGAGTTTGTATTAATAATATTGGTGAATACGAGGGAGAGAAATCTACTACCATGGATGAAATGTAAGTAATACTATACTATGAAGATACCTTTTGAATCATATGTGTGTGATACATATTTATTATAAAACCATATTCATTTACTGTTATATGATATGTAATCTATAATTACAGAGAAGGTGAAACCATTGTTGTTACAACTCGGTCAAGAGCAGCACAGAACATAGATGGAGTAATATTCTGTTGGATACCAACATCAAGTGTAGCAGCTGTGTTTGCAGTGTATAATTTGATCCACGCTTCTATTATTACTGATGGTTTTTTGAAGACTTGTCAACAATACAGGGGTTATCTTGTGCGGGTATAATATTTTTTATATATCATAGTATATTGTTAATAACTTTTTAAACACTTAAGAACTACACTAACCATATTTATGTGTAAAACAAATTCTTTCCAGGAGGTTCGTGCATCAGGTGACCAAGCGACCGCAATACATTTTAGATTATCTTGTCAAGCAATTTTTGACTTCATGGATTACATTCAAAAGGATGCACCAAACAGTCGGCGTGGAGACTTTATTAATACAGGTATTTCTATGGAGATTGCTATTATTACATCATGGCTTGCGGTAGTGTTATGGATTGCTGTTGCTGTTTATACAGCTATCAGAGCATATAAAGAGCGAGATGTTCTGACATGTTGTGGAAAATAATAACTATGGTCCAATAAGAAACACTAAAGTCTTGCGACTGAACATTCAGAACAAATTACAAAATATGGCATTGTTCTACCAAGAACAGCACAATTTTCCACTGAATAAACTAGTGACTCTATTGGAGTTTATATTTCCACCATGTTTGTAAATTGATTTCTATTTTTTGATGATTGCCTTATGTCTAGATTATTTACATAATAAAAGGATTTTAATCCTTGATTGAACCCCTTGTCCTTCCTTCGTGTCATATTTTTAAATTATTTGACTTATCACATTTTTCATAATTATACATAGAAGTAAATTTAGGCTATAAGTATTTTCTTAAATTGTGTTCAACTTGTCACAAGTTAGTAGACGTAAGTATAAATATACATATACATGAAAAGTGCACTTTACAGACAGATATAATAAGACTGAAAAAGTACAAGTGAATATGTTGTATACTTAGAATAGTTTTTATTCATACGTAACAATATTTTTACATTTCACTGCCTGTGTACCTGTACTTATGCTGCTACTAAACAGCAAGTGACTAGGTGGCTTCATAAAATATTTTTTTAATAGTTTTACATTATACAACTGATATGACCAAATTACATAAAACTGTAGACTAGTTTTTGTAGTATTTTGTGTATACACTAGATTATATAGATTTAGTTATTTTACATTCCCTAAGTCTATTATGATAATGTTAGTCCTAAAATAAGGAATTTTGTAATTTATTGTAATAATATGTTGAAATTTTGTGCCGTCCTACATATAGTTTAGTATTAAGTATGTTATACCACCTATTGCTTTAATTAAAAATTATTTTATACAAAATGAATTTGTTTCATTGAATTTAATATTAGTTTTAGTACTAAATAAAATGAATAGCTCATTAAATTTATACGTATATTGTTAACCTCCATGTCATTACACAAATAGCACATTTTATCTATTTCCGATGGCAGTTGATACCGAAAAAAGATGGTAAATAAATAATAATAAAGAACATTTTCACAAACTTTATTATATTGAACAACAACAACACATTACACATCCATTTATTTTATGTATTATATGTAAAGTAGAATGTAGATGATCGTGGCATATGCCTAGGGATGCAGGTTATAAGTGAAGGCTGAAATCTCTTGAAAGTCATAGGTCACATTTTGGTAAAAAAGCGATTATTATTTTGCTACATAAAATTATCAGCGCAAATCATCTATGATGGGATGATGAAAAATCAGCAAATTCTCGACGTCGAAGAGTTAAAGGTAATTGTGGGCAAGTCCAACCAAAAATGAATGAAATTGATTTAAAATATAAGTGATGTTCAGCTGTACTTTTTTTTCCTTCATTGGTGGTATTGTGGTCTCTGATTTGCGATAAAACGCCATCTACCACAAAAGTTTCGTCTTCTGGCTTAAATATTTTTTAACATTATTTTGTGTAATGAAATATTTCTAATTTTCCTTTTTTTTTAATAAATTACGAAAGCGGTTTGCAAGTGAGCCGTAACCCGTTTTCCACTACATACGAACAATTACAACCATCAAAACATTAAATATCATTTTCTCTACTTTTGGATATGGCTCCAACACATTGACTGTCTGTGGACACCATGGAAGCCATTTCTACTTTTCTCTTACAGAAGATCAGGGAAAAAGTCAAGTACTTTAAGTGGTTTAAGATATATCATATTATTAGACAATTCAGTCTGTTACAGAATAACCTTAGTATAGTTATAGTTCACATACCTTTGACTTAACTATAAAATATTATACATATTTAACTGTAATTTTAAATCTAACATCATCTGAATGTATTTCTAGCACTTAATGGTTCTTCGGTTAAAAAAGACCAAAAAAGGTGTTGACCGTACATGCAGTGTTTGAAGACTTTGAAAGTTTGACATTGAAAAACATGATGTACCATGAAAACCACCAAGTGCTACGATTTTTTGACAGTGCCTACCACAACTATAGTTCTTATAAATGTAAAATTGAAATTTTTGTATAACAATCGTTAAAAATGACAATAAACTCCAGTTTGGGTTGCAACAACATTAGTTTCCGTATCACCCTTAATGGTTTTTGTCTACTTTCTTTACTGTATGGAAATTTTATGGCACAAGATATAACTTTTAAAGAGATTCGAAAAATAATTCACAGCACGCTTCATTTGTATAATGGATTAACAATGGTAAAACAATATTTTCAATAAGTATAAAATATAACTTTGTTTAAACAATATCAATATTACATACGTATCAAATAATCTGTGTATTTATCAGTTGGTAATTGTAGTGTAAAAGAGATAAAAAAAATCATTTTCCACTAACCACATTGCTCCTGAACTGTTTGGGCTTTCAAATCAAGGATTTAGCAGCACAATAATCGAAAGTACTATAGCAATTTTCATATTTTCAACAACATAGCCGAAAAGCAGTTTTGGAGCTATCAAAAGCTTTGTACTTCTCTTCATCTATAACATTTGCTTTATAATCTCAATTCTGACACTCTCCTTCCCAATCAGTTGGTATCAATGTTCCAAGATGTTCAATAAATTTCTCATAAGTACAGGGTTCGGTACAAAACGGGATCCTTATTTCCATTGGTACTTCTACCTTAGTATTGTTACGATAGAACAACTGAAATATTCACCAAGTCTCAGTCAGCAGTATCAAAAACATATTTATTGTAAAATAATGCAGTTTTATTAAATATACTTGTTCCTGTAGGGCATGCACTGAACTTTAAAATTAATAAAGAAATACTGTTCATGTTTATGGGAGAGTTAAACTTATTAGAAAATTATTAAGTATGGTTCCACGTTAGGACCAAACCGCAAGTGTTTTATTTAAATTGCATCTCTATATTGTATTTCTATAACTTGTTAAAAAAAATATATTATAAATGTATTTTGTGGTGCTTACTTTAATGTAAAATGTGTCCTGTTCTACTTCTTCATGTAACTCAAGCAATATACTAGCACCATACTCCGGTTCCAACAAGTCAGTGTGACCCAAGGCTCGCATTAAGGACACCAAATTAACATCATGCCCTGAATAAATGTACAATGCTCTATCCATGTTTGTGTGCGTCACTGCTTCTTGGAGATGGGTCCTAATATTATTGAGTAATGGACCTTAAATAAAAATTAATTTATATTTAAAAAAAAATTATATAATACTAGCTGAGCCGGCAAACGTTGTTTTGCCACGTAAATAATTTTACTAAAATGGCTATTAAAAAATAAGGGTTGATCGTAGAAGGGTAGGATTGTATGTTTTTGTATGTTGTATTATAAAAAAATAAAAATGAAAAATTTGAAGGGTGGACTACCCCTAACATTTAGGGGGATGAAAAATAGATGTTGGTCGATTCTCATAGATACCGGATAAGCACAAAAAATTTCATCAAAATCGGTCAAGCCGTTTCGGAGGAGTATGGCAATGAAAGCTGGGAATTGAACACGAGAATTTTATATATTAGATAATACAAATTAAATACAATACAAATATTCGTTATTGTCACAAAACAAGAAATATAATTAAAATTGATGAAAGTTAAGGACAAATGGTGTCTTTATAGCTAAATAGCTTTCTCTTTCTAACATTCGTGGTAAGCTCGACAGCAGAAAAGGAACTTACATAGACTTATAATAATAATACAAAAATTACCTTTATCGTAAAAACATTAATTACTAACTTCACTAACTTAACTAAGTTACTTAATTAGTAAATAGGGGACTGACAAGATTATTGAATGAAGCTCGATTCTGGAGTCTTCATTAGAAGGCAAATTATTCCAAAGTATATCATAGTTATAAAATACACTAAATTAAATCTATTACCTGTATGTAACCTTTGCAAACTCTCATTGTATGACAACAAAGCCAAGCTAAGCATGAATGGTTGTTTCATTTTAGTAGGAAACACATTCCGTGTCCATTCCGGTAATTTTAAACCTGCTTCCTGTTGAGCCTGCAGTGTACTGAACAGGAAATCTACATCTAAAATACTTCGCATACTCTGATTGGTGTATTTGCTCAAAGAATCAAATAACTCTGCATACTTTGGATCAGCATTATTTTCAGCCAATAGAGCTTGGTACATGGTCTTCCAAGAGTTACATGACTTTGTTGCAGCTACAACCTGTAAACAATAATTCCTATTTATTTTCCTCTACATCCATGTCACTTATCCGATACAATTATCTTAGTATCTTATACTTGCATTGTCAAGCTCTCTAGGCAATGAATGTACTGGAATAGGCTGCCAGAGTAGTTCAGGGTGCCAAATTTGCCTTTCCGATGGTGGATATAAACCAGCTAAGAAAGTGTAAGCACTCATTAGACAACGTGAAGAGTCACTGCTCCGTATGTAAACATCCTTTTCTTGGTACTCCTCAGGAATGAAGTTAGCATAATACATGCGATACTTTCTGCCAAGCTCATATAACTGAACTTTGCCTGCCTGTTTTTTAAAATACAAAGATTTAAGTCAAGTATAGTTAACTCCTAGTGGTTATTTGCAATACAAAATCGCTAAGTTATCCAACTCACATTAGTCAAACTTCCAAGACCATCAGGCCATTGATAGTTTTTAAACGGATCGCTTTTGTAAGAAGACACAGGAGCCCTGGCCCCATGGCGAAACAACTAGAAAACATTAACAAGAATTAAAGGCTTGTTGCATATTTTATATTATAAGAGTCATTCAACTTACAATAATAACAAGACGTAGAGTTTTTGACTCATACGGCAATGTTTCACTCAAAACACAGTAGCCCATTAGACAGCTCAAAACAGCTAAGCCTAAGACGATAACGGCTGTAGTGGTTGACCTTCTTGGTAAGGGTTTACATTTCTTATCCTCGAATTTTGGAGACGACGATCTTCGCCACGTATCATTGGTATCATATTCCATTGTTACGGGGAAATTATGCTGCACCATAAACTTTAACACTTATCTATATATTACTTTATTCAAGATTTTGTTTCGCTGTCTAAAGATAGTTCATTTTATAAAGTAATCATCAACAGAATTTATAATTTACACCAAGTGCCTAAATAGTTACTAATTTAGTAATATTATAATCTTAAGATAATGCGAGTTACTTTATAAATTACTTTTTGGAATTGCATTAATCTTTGTTTATAATAAGTAAAATATTATGAAATTGAATTTACAACCACAGATATGATATTATAGTAGATTGACTTTGACTGTCAACATTTGAAAAAGCACAGACTACTCTTATTAAACAAGAGATCGTTGCCTCGTTTAAAATTGTTTCTCGTAGGATCGCAAACAATTATGAAGTTTAATTAATGTTTTTATTAATTAATCAAATTATTCGCATTTTCTTTTTAAATTATTAGATACATTGTAAATAATGTTAAATATAATTAACAATAATTATAATAACAATGTGTATTTTTATTTATAATAAATAAAACGTAATAATACTAACAGTGCTGTAAACAAAAATTTGTTATGATTTTACTTAATAAGAGGTAATATTATCTTTTATTTTTAATTCACACTAACAACGTCATTGGATATAACTAAATCCAATTAGTGTTTCTTACGCTTTTGTATTAAAAGGATTAAAGTCACCTAAATTAACTAATTCTACAGATTTTTCCCACAATTTCTTGGAAAACTCGTCGTTTAATGCTTTCGGGTCTGGCGATGTTACAGCACAATCACTGAAAACAATAAAAAAAATAGAAACATCATATCAGATTTTTGATAATTATTGTAATTAAATTTTATGAATCTTGTACCTGTAATATAATCCAGATTCTTGAGCACATTTTTCATCTACTGAGCAGTAGATAGTAGTTTGAGCACCTAACTCTGGTGTTTTCATGAATGGATTCAAGAAAAACCCAATAATTCTCCGTGCTCCCTTGAATAGAGTGTCATCTAAATGTCTTCCAAGTTCTGTTTTAATTACACCTGGATGCAAAGAGTATGTATTTACACCTTCTATGTTATACTCCTGTAAAAGAATTTGTTGTGTACAGTTGTATATATTTTTAAAGGTAGTACAGATAATTAATAAATATATTGTGATATATTATAATAAAAAATACAACTTATGGTATCTTAAATACAATCAACACAATTCTAAATGAATATATCCTTGTATTTAAATCATAAAATATGTATTTTGTACTCTCTTGACCAATATATTTACCTTTAACTTCGAAGAAAGTTCTCTTGAGAACAAAACATTAGCTAGTTTACTCTGTGAGTATGCTTCAGCCGCATTATATGATCTGTGTTTATAGTTGAGATCATCAAAATTTATATTATATCCTGGAAAATAGAAATAGTTGTATACATTTTAAGGCTAAAAGTACTATTACTATGACTGTTCATAATATTATACAGACTTGTATGAGCTTTAGAAGAAACTGTGACAATTCTGGCTGGTTTGCTGTTGATTATTTTCGGTAGCAATAGCATTGTTAGAAGAAAATGCGCTAGGTGATTTGTTCCAAACTGCATCTCGAAGCCATCCTCAGTTTCTGATTTTGGGCACATCATCACACCAGCATTGTTGACCAGTATATTAATCTGTTGCTCACAATTCATTATGTTCTGCGAAAATTCTCTAACAGAACTGAGCGATGAAAGGTCACATTTGTGAATAACTATCTTTCCAGTGTCTTGTAGATCTTTTAAGGATTCTTCGATCTCTTTTTTCGCTTCTTCAGCTTTTTCGATATTTCGACATGCCATTATTACCCTGGCTCCTGGAAAAAAAACATAATATATAACGAAAGGAAATCTTAAAAAAAAAACTTAAGATGATGGTAATATAAATTTTTATATTGCCTCTTTTATAAAAATCTCTAGCAGTTTCTTTTCCAATACCAGTATTACATCCCGTTATTATAGCGGTTTTTCCAATAAGTTTAACGGTACTATTACAACGACCACTAAAAAAAGGCATTTTTTTTATAAAATTTAGAAATTAAGCGCAATACAATGAAACTACGATTAGCGTAAATGTCTCGATTAAGAATAAACTAAAATATTTTAAATATCCGGGTCTAACTGCGAAAGTATTTAATAATTTCACGAATAACACGTATCTACTTTGTAACAAATCATAACAAACTGTACATTCCCAGTACAAACTTTCAAAGTTTTCGAGCGTCGATGTTTGTCTGTGAGAAGATGTAGTAGGACCACAGACGTGTTAAGATTTATGATTAGGACGTAGGATTCCATATAAAATGGTAATGGCTCATATAAAAACGTGCAATTTAAATCACTTATTATTTTCGCTAATATGACATACAAGCTTTAAAAAGGCAATCGACTTATCACGATGACCGGTACATGGTCTAAAGATATAAAAACTAAAAGACTCTACTACTTATAGTATGTAAAAATAATTTCTTAGTTTTTTTTTCCTTTTGCTGTAGTCGGCTTATTTCGCTTAAACAAAGGGAGAAGATATTATATGTATTATGTTTATTCAATGAAGCATTAAAATCCTCACAAATAAAGTTAGGTCAATATTGTTACTGATTATAATTATTCAACATTAACAATTGATCCTGCGTTATCAAATTCGACATGTAAAGAAAGAAGCTCTTTTTCTTGGAATAACTTTATTTCATTATTAGGTAGGTAGTTGATCTGAGAAATGAGCAAAGGTTTAATATTTGCGGACTTCCTTCTGTTTCCTTAGAATGACCTTACGTACAGTCGTCTTAATTCTAAAGGTTCCGTTAGCTGGCTTCTCACAGAAGAACATCGATGGCAGGTGACAGTTGTTCGTAGAGAGTAATCCACTCCTACGGAAGCCACCGCAACGCTCTTCCAACTTTGTAAAGTTCCCTGGACATTTGAAATCCCAGTCTACATGCCCTTCACGCAATGTGTCGCCTGAAAAATATATTTGGCTTTAAAGCAATTTTGAAGTTTCAGTTCCTCATAGTTCTTTAGTTCCACAGTTTAGATTCAATACACGGGAATGTTGATCTAATGGTAGCAGATAGGGTATAGCATCTAAGTTCAATTCTCTGGATGGAATGGAACAACTCTCATGAACATGGAGTTTTCACCTGAAAGTCTGGATATTAAATAGGCTTCGATTTATCGGAACTTCGTCTGCCACAAAACACCGCACAAAAACGGAAAAGCTGTAATTTGTATACGGGTTACGGCGTAAAAATGTCGTCGTTCAAATATACTAAGTCTAAATAAATGGACAGTGTATATTGTTAAGATATTATATTATAGGGGGGGGTGGGTTAATGCTGGTCATAATTCAAAGCCCTAAGTAAGTACCTAAAACAGTTCTGTAGTGATATCGCTGAAAGATATCACTGAAACCCAGAAACGCGAAGTCCCCAGGTGTTTTATGTTGATCGTATTGTTTGAAGGTATCCCTTATGTATTCAGCCTCCTCCTTAGAATCCAGGATAGTTAGATGTCCGCCAGCACCCAGGCACGTTGAATATGCCTCATACCACGTTTGGGGCTCTAAATGAGTTATATAGCACGTTTGGTTTGGTCCCAACTTCCAACCTGTAAGGTATGAAGTGTTTATTGTATTTCCATTCCTGTTAAATTCTACATAATTGTCTAATTAAATCTAAACATTTGATTTTTATAACTTGTAGTGGGAAAGTTAATACATTTTGTATGTATCTAAAATAAAGAAAATGAAATGAAAATGAGTGTGTCCTTGTAACACAAATAATAAGAAATGTGTAATAAGAAACTTCGTGGAAAGATTGTAACAAATAGTAACATCCACGAGGTTCCTTCAACTTAATTTGTAACCATTTCTTTGTATTTGTAAAGCAGTCTGTATCATTAAAAAATTAAATAAAAAGAAAAAATCTGTAAGACTTTTTGAGAAGAATTATATATTTTTTTAAAGATGAAATGAAAGGTATTCAATACATTAAATTATTGTTGTGGCGAGTTTATCTTTAATTTGAAGCCTTAATGAGAATCTTTTGAAACTCACGCGAATCGTACGTATCGCATTCTGGGTAATATGTAACATCGGACGCTTCAATTTTGCAAGCGAATGGGAGTCGACCAGAACAAGGGTGCACAAAGAGCCTCCCATTGCGTCGCATCGCAACACAGCGCCCGCCGCTGTGTACGGGTTGCTGCAATTCCCACAACAGGTCAAGTATTGTGTCATGAAGACCACTACCTATTTGAAAAGAAAGTGTAAGCATTCCTTGAAATACATATATTTTTTACAAAGTAACATAACGACGAATACAAAGGTTCAACCAGCACTCGACTCTACATAAGGTTGCTAGAGGCAGAGTGGCCTCATAACAAATATATGACTTTCAATATAGAAGAAAATAAAATAGCGCAATTAAGTTACTTAGGCGAAAGTAAATTTGTACTGTTATTTGTGTAAAAAAATGTTAACAATTTTCGGTCGCTGTGCTCTTATAGATTAACATTTTTAGACTATGAAAATAAATAACTCAAGTCCTGAAATTGCAGTTAGGCTACTCTGCCCCTAGCGGCTTCATATATATTACTATTTATATATCCATAATTTATTTACGAAGACTTGGCGTCTTACAAGCGTCAACAGTACCTTACATTTTATTTGAGACTTTTCCTTTAAAAAAATATATTTGTTGTCAACCCTGTATGGTCATCGTAGCTATCTCTTGGGTATAGGCGTTAATCTATCATGAAGGCCATTTGCGTAAGACCAATTGGAAGTGTTATTTCGACGAGGTATGACGCGGTGAAAGAAAACTTTGTACCTTATATATTTATTTAAGATAGACATAAATATTACGTTACGAAACAGAAAACCACGATCTCTCCATTAAATTTTAGCTGCCTAAAAGAAGATTTTTATGACATTCTCAATTTAAACCACTTAATCATAACCCCCCCCCCCCCACCACTATCTATTCACCAGTTGGCCGCCTTATCGCAAAATAATTTAAAGCAAAACGTGCACAGGCATATTTAAAATACCTTTGATGGTCACGAAGGATCTTTCAGAATACAAATCATGCATGCCTACATATACCCCTTCGTATCTCGTTAATATCGGAGCTATTAGAAGTGGAATGCTATCTGCTTCATCAAGGGAATCCGGTACGATCAGCTCTGATCCTTCAGCCTCACAGCGGATTCGGGCCTGGTACCAGTCAACTGCTTCAAGATGCAGTTTGTAGAAGGCGTTAAATGATTTTTCGTATCGGTAATCATCGCGATATTTTGGTCTTTGTGATTCTGAAAGAAACGTTTCGATCTTCACGTCCAAGATATGTGACAAAAACCTAACAGTTCCTGCAACTTCTAGATCGACGAAACTTTTAACGTTTTCAGTTCTATTCTATGTTATAGGTATAATACTAGCCGTGCCAGAGACTTCATTCGCGTATAGTAGTTATTTGGGCATTGATTTTATTTTTGGCAACCTTCTTATCTTCAACAATCAAAGCTGTTACCCACGACATCAGTCGCGTACCAACGTTCTTGCAAGTTAATCTTAAAAGATATACATACACTGTTGCGAACATTTTCTGTTGGTATAGCCTAAAGCCTTCTTGGATAAGTGTTCTATCCATCACAAACATATTTTTTTAATTCGAACCAGTAGTTCCTGAGATTTGCGCGTTTAAACACTCTTCAGCTTAATAATATTAGTATAGATAAAATAGAACATTAACTCTGTCTAAAAATAAGTTTTAAGAAGACGAAGACCTTTAAGTTGTAACTAAAATAATCTAGAATTACCAAATTTTAATTGGCTATTATATGGCGTATTATATTTATTTATGTAAATACACAATATTAAATTATAATTAACTATATCTTAAGGATTTTTTTATTTAAACTCACCACTTAAGAAAACTTTACTTAACATAAATAGAACATGCAACTCTAAACGCAAAGATCGAAATTTCATTGTAATACATTATTTCCCCGAACATATTAAAATCATATATGGTCTTGTCTTATCTTGTAATGAAATTTTCAGTCACCGTGAAATTGAATAAGGCAATCTTAAACACACGTTTTGTTTCAAATGAATTTTATTATGATCTATAAGTCTTACATTGCACTAAGGAAAATAAATTATACACAATTCATTTAATAAATATCTATTTAAATCTTTGTTTTTCAAGATATGGTATTTGTATGAGAAGCGAGCTAAAAAACTAGTAAGATGTTTATAGTAGTGACGCCTCACTGTCTTAAATGCTTTAAGATTTAAACTATGACACAACTTCGCTTAAAACATAATTTATACACAATTCTTATAACTTTTGTACACCAATCAAAGCCACCTCAAAAATAACAATAACAAATTATCAATAACAAATGACTAGGAATATAACATTTTCCTAAATACTTCATACGAGGCATTTATAACGCCCCAGCTGAGAAATGCACGGGTGATGTTCAGCACAACGCCATGATAGAAGTTTCCAAACTTTGATCCCCTCTTTCGCAAAATGTAGTTAAACTCATAAAGAATTGTCCTGTGGGGTCCGCCCAACTCACATTGCATACCTATTTTAATAACATTCAAAGGATAGAACAAGGTGCTGAGGAAAGCTCCTATTGAAGCACCAGCAATAAAATTCTGTATGCCATCATAAATCATATTCTCTTGAGTTGGCAATTTCACTTTTATTTCATCCCTTATTATAAAGAATAGTGCATTTGATGGACCGTTTCTCAATAATATTGGCACCAGTCCTCTATAGAACTCTTTAATACCGTAGACCTTAGATATGTGGCTGGCTGCATGGGCTGTGTTTCTAAATTTGTTGTGATATTTGGGATGAATAAGGAGAGTTTGTAACCTCTCAAAGGGCATTAGGGTTGCTTCAAAACAACCAGCCACGACACCAGCTATAGTTTTTGTTACATATGGATTTATTTTTCTATCTAACAGGGGTTCCAAGCATTCATCGTAGACACCAAACATAAGGGACATTGATAGTGACCTCTGCAATAGTGGGGGGAGCATGCCACGATACAGAAAGCCAAGTCCCTCCTTTTGTAATTGATTTAAAGCGAATGTTGCCTCTACACCGTGCATCATCTAAAAACAAATCCATATTTGATCAGTTTAAGAGAACTCTTCAATTTTAAGTCATATATTTTTGTAAGCACCATTTACAAATGTGATACAGTAACAGATACTAAACATAAACATACTATATTTAGAAGAAAACTAAATAAGTATGTATTTTATTTTATAATTACCTGCCTAAATATGAGCTTATTTAACGGGTAGCTGATAAGTATGTTACAAAATGCTGCCCCACCACCACACACAAACTCTTTCCAATGATGTGAAAGAGTTTGTTTCGGCATACTGACTGACATGCTACCATCATTGAGGCCGTTTTCTAAGAACTGTCTCTTAGACATCTTATATCCTTTCTAGTGATAGTGCCATTGCCACATAAATTTCTGTAAGCAAATACAATTTTAACAAATTTAGTAAAACTGATGAATTAATTTGTGAATAAGTTTTGTATACCTTTCCAGTGGAATGGCCCATTCAAATAATCCTTAATTATTCATCTGCATTGTAATTCATTAAGTTGACATAACAATGACAAAACTTTTTTAATACAGGAATATATTTCTAATTTAATTCACATTACGACTTTTCTTACTAAGATAAAATAGCCTAAATCCAAGCTTAATTAGAGAAGTCTGATTAATTATTTCGAATGGAAAGTCAAAAAGTTTTTGATTCACAACATTGAATAGAAATTACGTTGTATTATTATGTAATATATTAAAACTTTACTAACTTCATTATGTGGATTTTCTATCCAAACAAATTTAATTTTTTATCAAATGTTCCCGAACTACACTTAACTCCATAACGTCATAGGCACAGATGACAGAACACTTACAGTCAGATTGACAACTTTAAATACTATCCGTCAAAGTTCTTCACTTTGTGACATTTTAATACAATCATTTCAATTATTATTGTTTGTTACTTGGCGATTCCATATAAATATTTATTGCTATAAAAATGTATCTTGTCCCAATATTATTCTGATCACTGAATTAATATTTAAATTTGTAATAAATACATAATATATTATATAAACTTTGCTCATGGCAGCAGTATTAAAGAAACGAGTTTTATCCGAGTACAATAAATCATTTCAGGTGTGTTGTAATATTAGAATATATCTGTTCAATTTATTCCGCAAGAACGCGTATGATTTAAACAGTATTATGTGTATCATTTACATTATATTACTACAACGAATTATTATTCATAATCGTATGTATAAATGTAGTAACCTATTTGTTTCATCTAGGATGGCCCTCCTGGTAAAAAGCTACATTTGGCTAAAAAACCCTTAATTGGTAGTTCAGCTGCTGCTTTTGTTGGCCTCTTAGAGAAGTGCAAGTCAAGCGATGAGGCGTTACAGTTGTTGCTCCGGATTTCGGATTGCCTTCAATTCCAAGAGTCAGATGTCGAAGAGGCAATTAAGAAGCTCTCAGAACACTTTCAATCTGAAGAAGAGTCAGTTGTTCGGGTCAAAATTTTGTGGCTCTTTTGTGACATTGGCTTGGAATGTCCTGGAGCTAATCTTAACCATTTAATTGATGAAACTATTCGTTTGATTAAGAATGAAACTTCCCACAAGGTAAAACATTCTTATTGTTATTTTTAAATAGCTGCTATTAGTAGGTATTTCTTCCATAATAAGTAATATATGCAGTGTTTAGCAAAAGTGCAATTTTGCATGCCTTATCGGATAAAGACCTTTCTTTGTAAGACTGAAACAATGTATTGTTTCCCCTTAATTGCAACTCAGGGTATTTATACTTAACACAATGCCAGGCAACACCTTCAACCTTTGGCTACAGAAGCAGAGTGAAATAATGTCTAAAAGGATTAATTAAATAAAATTAAAATTCTACCTTTCTAGGTCATTGCTCAAGGTGTCGCTACTCTTCTCAAACTTGGTGTAAAGCTATCTGATGATAAAATATTAATGCAAAGGCTTGTGGGTGTTGCCAGAGATAATCTCAAAGATACAAGTCATCAAGTAAAATGCCGGTGCTTGCAATTGATAAGTGAACTGTATCCCATCTGTCCGGAATCAGATAGGACCACTGAAATTGTAGCTGAGGCTGATATCATTGTGAAATTGCTTGGTGACTATAGTAATGCTGAGGTATGTTATTCCATTGGTAGGAATATCGAAATTTCATCCAGTCTATCATCCATGCATCACTAATCACCATTCCCAGATGGAAAGGCATTTTGTTACAAATTAAAAATCGATTATAAATTGAAAATAGTTTCGCATTCCGTGCTCTTGGTCTAACCGATTAAACTACCATGTCCTACATTTTATGAAAATTATTTATTGATTGGTCATATGATCGACATATACCCATAGTCAATATAATACTCTTGTGTTATCACTAGCAGTATTACAGGCAGCAATTTAAATGTTGGATTTTTAATTTAATATATTACAGCTAATAATATGTACCTATCAGAATTTAAAAAATACTACTTTTCTGGTGTTTCTTCACGTCTAACAAATAATAAAAAGTACAATTTAAAATCGCTCAAATTGCCCATTATATGATAATATCTACATTAATTTTTCTCTTTTCTCTGTTCCAGGATGCTAGAGTGAGATGTGAAGCTTTCCAATCGTTACTAACGTTACATGGACGTGGGTTAACTTTAAATGCTGATATCTATGAACATGTATGTGCATCTCTCTCCGATGACTATGAAATAGTTAGGGATGTTGCTTTGAGGCTTATTTGGTTGCTAGGCAACAAGTATCCAGAAAAGTGAGTATGTTTTTAATAATAATCTAGTGATAATCATTGTCTTTTAGGTTCAATAAATGAATGTTGTAATCTAGTATACTCAAGGTCGTGGGTTTTAGCCAGTAAGGGCACAGAAGTCTGGTGAATTACTTATTGTATTAGGTATTTTACACCTATATTAAACATATATGAAGTACAGAAAAAACACATCAAGACGTTTTTTTATTAAATTGAGAAGACTAAATTTAATTTATATCAATTGAGATGTCGCCTTTATTTGTAACCTCTATAAGTTAAAAATATAATATTTTACTTTAAGTATTTGTACATTACAGCACAGTCACGCTACAAGATGGCGAGACCACATTGCGGCTCGTGGACGACGCCTTCATCAGGATTTGCTCAGCCGTCAACGACCTCTGCATGCAGGTGCGAGCTCTGGCTTGTTCGCTGCTGGGAACCACGCGCGGTGTCTCCGACCGCTTCCTCTTGCAGACCTTGGACAAGCAACTCATGAGCAACATGAAGGTATCATTAATTAATGGTCCGTAACTTACGCGAGTAGTAAACATTTAAATAAAAGACTAACGGTAGTAAACGTGAAACATATTACTTCAATTTATTTAAAAATTATTAAAATATGGTTTCTGATCCTTTACAGCATCGTGGTCACGGGATGACTGTCCGTTATCATAATAAGTTTAACTAGTATATTTCACGTTTAAAACCGTTAGATTTTTTCAACTTCTTAAGGATTTAAATTCGAAATATATTAATTAATGTATTTTTTTAATTCTTTCTCTACTGCAAAATTTTTACGGAAAAATATAAATTGAGTTTTGTTGAGCCATACGTTGCTACTTTTTAAAACCCTATTTATGTACTGAAAGAGATCGCTTTTTAATTTCAATTTAGTTTTTTTTAATAGTCAGATTGTAGTTCTTCATTTAAAATCTTTTTATGAAATTACAGAAAAAGAAAACTGCGCACGAACGGGGGGCGGAGCTTGTAAGGTCGGGCGCATGGGCTAGTGGCAGAAGGTGGGCGGACGACGCTCCTGGGCAGTTGTTGGAGCAATCCACTGTGCAGTTGCTGCCTGGTGGTGCAGCAGGAGCATTCGTACATGGCTTGGAGGATGAGTTTATGGGTATTGGTTGTTTTAAAACCAAAAAATGTTAAACCTAATAATTTTCAGATTTCTTACTTAAATTAGAAATTAATTTGTAAAGGGATGCGGTATGCAACAAACCTGTGGCTCCTGTCAACGGCAATTTGTTGTTACCACTAGATTAACTGGCCATTATATCAGAAGAGAGAAACAGACCCAGAAGGACGGAAAATTGTCTTTAATAAAATTAAATCCCAGGGATAAGTTGTAATAGTGAAGCTGATAATTACTCAAATATATAATTATGCCAAAACTACTAATTGAAAAAGCCGTGAAGCTTAATCACGTTTCGGTTTCAGTCTGTGGATGTCCAAATATACAAAGTAAAAAAAGATCGACAGCGCATCATGTATAGATGTATAGGCTGGGTATTTCACCTCTGTCCTCTTTTATCTTAAAATAAGTTATCACTTATGCTTCATATATCTTTCTTCAGAGGTCCGAACAGCTGCAGTGGAGGCGGTCTGCGAGTTGTCTATGGAGAATCCGACATTTGCGACTACATCACTAGACTTCCTCGTCGACATGTTCAACGACGAGATCGAAGACGTGCGTCTGCGAGCCATCGACAGTTTGACCAAAATATCCCACCACATAGTGCTGAGGGAGGACCAGCTAGAAACCATACTTGGAGCCTTGGAGGTAAAGCAAATACCACCAGGTTCGTAAATGGAGAAATCGACGTTAAACGCATAGAGCGAACGAGAAGAACTGGCAAGCAACTCGCCGCCACTCCTGTTATCGTTAAGTTTTTGTTACAAACCTTACGCACTTAAAGTGTCTTTACATCTTTTTCAATCAATCATCAAACCCCAAACATTGTTAACATACGATAGTACAAACAACACAAGTTGCGATTGAAATAACAGCTCATCCTATATAAGCCTATAACAAATTAAAATAGTTGTAAGCAAAGTGTATTCGTTATAGGATTACTCAATGGATGTCAGAGAGGGTCTGCACCGAATGTTGGGATCGTGTACAGTCGCGTCGAAAACTTGCCTAGAAATGTGCATAGACAAAATACTTGAGAATCTCAAAAGGTATCCGCAGGTGAGTTGTTTTAATTTTTTATGACTTAAAGAACTAGTACTTGGGGAAAAGTACCCCGACCGTATGAAAAACTTGCGACGCACCTTACATCTAATTAAGATGCGTTATCGCCCTATTTTTTGTTTATATTATAGGTAGAATAAATGATTTTATTTTTTTTTCTGTTTTTATATAATTAGAATGTTTTGCCAGTTTCTTTTATATGCGAATTTCACAGTTGAATGAAGGAAACAATCACTTACCAAGAGTTGCAAGTTCAGGTTCCCCCCCCCCTTTGATAAGTTTTTAAATATCATTATTTTAGTCTTCTTTCAGTTGTATATGTATTTTTATATTTAAATATGCTCTATAGGACAAACGCTCAACGTTCCGCTGTGTACAACGCATGGGAAGCAAACATGCGACCCTCGTGTTACCACTAACCACCAGGTTGCTCGGAGTCCATCCGTTCTTCGACATGCCAGAACCGGATGTCGAAGATCCAAGTTGTATCCTTTTGAACAGTACATTATTAATATGAAAATCATGCGGAAATTAGAATTGTTTGAGTCTAAATACTGGAGGAGAACGAACAAGCATGGGGTCCACTTGTTTGATGGTGAAATACCACCAAGCGAGAGAAGACTGATGTCTTCTCTGCTCGCTGATGCGAGATGTACTATCTACTATATCTATTTTGACTTTAGAGATTCGGAAATACATAGATTAAAACCGAAACGCGATTAAAATTCGCGGATCTTCCATCTGTGGACGGTGGTTCGTGACCCGGATGAAATTTCTATATTCCTACCACCATATTTAATATCCAAATTATCGGACGAAATATTTAAAATTGCATAGAAACTTGACACGTCGTTTATTAGCCCACCGACGAGCTTGTCGATTATATAATTTCTCTTTAACATAAGTGATACGGAAACTAATTTTCCTTGCAGTTATCTTATTTTTTTTTAATATTTTAATGGCTCCTTGACCACTGCTAAGATATGTGCGTTCTGATCCTGGTGCTGAACGCGGCGCAGCACTGTACGACGATGTTGCCTCTTTTCGAAGAACACACTGTGAAACATTACACGTACTTGCGCGACACTATGCCGCACCTCGTACCGCCTCTTCCAATAGGTCAGTTGTCAAGTTTGCTTCAATCGATAGGCCGACCGCCGCGATCACGGTTGCTGCAAAGCATCCGAGACGTCGGGCCGCGATTGAAACCGTTAAAAGTGTTTTTGTTTACACTTAAACCTGTAAAACACAGACTATACACGATGATCTAGTAAAGTCAACAAATAAGAGTACCGATGGTCACCAAAATAGTCATGACTGGACTTAAGACTGGAAAATAACACCACCTTTGTAGTTTCTTCTTGATCTGCAGGTGAAAATCAATTTTCACGTAACGAGAAAAGCGAGGCAGCGATGGATGACAGTGCGGTGAGGCGCTTCTTCGAGTCTGTCCTGCAGCACATTGACAACGTGACGCTGTCCACAAACGTGCGGATAAAGATGCTGCAATCGGCAGAGGAGCAGCTGAATAAGTAAATAACTAAATAACGATGAAAATAGATCGCGTATTCGGCGATGAGTCGAAACGTAGTAAAAAAGTGTTTCACCGATAAACGGCCGAGTGATCACTCCACACCCTTTGTTGACCATTTCACCCAAAAAAGGGTCTTTGTCTAGTAATTTTTTTTGCATTAGGATTATAAGATGTATAATATTAATTAATATAGCATTGAGTGTTTTTTTTTACGACAGAGAAAGACAAGAATGTGTGTAACAAGTGAATGTTGGTCTAAGTTCTTCAAAATCGATCTACTTTAGCTTTGTAAATTCAGCTTCATGATTTAATTTAATAATTAATACATTATTTCTTTTTCCACTAAGATTGTCAGAGATGGAGCCACTAGTGTCGGGCGCTGCGAATTTCACAGCTCTCTTCGCTCGTTGTGTGCTTGCGCTACACACAGCACTGAACAATCCGGCCGGTCCACCTGCGCATGCGCTTCAGAACCTCGCGATGGACTGTCTTAGGTAACATCATACATCTAGTATAGTGTTGGGAAAATATTTAAGAGAACGACGACTTAGTGTGCCGTTGGTCGTGACCCGTGGGCACCATGGTTGAAAAACTGGAAGGTTTTATTACTATTATTATTATACAAAATAGTAGAAAATTTAAAGATACGGTCTTGTCGAAATTACTGTTAACTCCATTTAAATTAAACACTTTCAGCGGCTGTAGTATGATATATATTAGTTTAATTATTTTTAATATAAATAGTGGTCCACCGTGACCATGGTTGATCCGGAACGTAGGTAAATTAAAAGTAAGTTAACTTTATGTAACATAGTTTGAATTTAGAATCGGTAAAAATGTTTTATTTTAATATGTACAAATCGCGTAAACTACAGACATTCGCTTGCAATGTACTTTCCCCACGACTGTCACTTCGAGTTAAGTTTAAACGGTGGATTGCAAATTAGCTTAACCATTTATATCAAATTGTTTTGATTCAAGATTGCAACATCAATTCAGTGGTGTGACTGAACAAGAGAGCGCCTGTGTTTGGCAACTAGCGTTGCGAGTGTGTGCGGCCCGCCTTATAGCCGCTGTCGAGAACGCAGCGGTCGGGGCGGGGGCTGGAGCGGGAGCCGTATTGGGTGCAGCACCTGGTGCCGCTGCTTTGTCCGCTGCAGCTGCTCTCACGCATCATGCAGAACTTTTGGATCGGCTACTTGCTTCAGCTAGTGAGTAGTGCATATAGAACGATTATTTTGCGATTTTCCCATAGCTATGCCATATAAGGTAGATAAACAAGGATTATATAAATTACGAATGGATTTAAGATAATAAAAAAATTAAACCAATTGATACATGCACCTCTCGCGCAATGTAATTTCAACCATAATACCTATAAGTATATCCACGTTACATATATACGTATTATAATGATAAATGAACATTTTTTTTCATCATACATATGTTCTTCTCCTAATACAGGCATGGAGCCAGATCCGTTCACCATCGCTGTGTTCCAGCAGTTGTCGGCGAGTGGCGAACACAAACCTGGCATCCTGGCTCGCTCTTTGCATCCTCTCTTACTGGCTGCGCCGATACCATCTGTGCCTAGGCCTAATCTCAAGGTACGAGTAGCTTCCACAGTTCCATTGTATTCAAATCACAGTCTTACGTCTGTAAGCAGTAAAGACGCAGAGAATATTTATATATGCGAATACTCATACTAAGTGTCTTTTGAAAATAGGTCCTTTCACTGGAACCGAAAAATGTTTCTTACTGTAAGTTAAATAAAAGTTAAGGTAACAGAAATTTAGGTTAGAAAATTAATATTAAGCCAAAACTTACAAAAAAATCATATTAGTCAATGGCTAAGTTTTTGATCTTTAACGATGTAATACAATGTCTTGTTTTTCTATTTTTTATTTTTGACCTGGTATTTACTAAAGAATATTGTCCACAGATAAGAATGTGTTCGGCAACAATAATAGAGCCAGCCAACGACAACGACACCGTTCTACGTTTTTGCGCGGGCCTGATCACTGGTGTGTCGTTCGAAGCGGAAGTACTGCGGGTGCGTGAACCGAGCGCGCTGCGCATACGCGTCGCTTATCCGGATCGACGTGTGCACGCTCTGCTACCACCGCGCGACCATTTGCGTCCATTAGACCATCATAATACTAGTGAGTTTTCATTCTTTGTTCACCATTATGTATCGTGATGCGTCAGCACTAAAAAAACATTGTCATTTAAGTTTAAAATAGGGCTAATAAACAACGTGTCAGAGGTCAAAAACATGATGGACTTCATCTGGTAAATCGATATTAAGTGGGTGGTAGGAACATGGAACTTCCGATTGAGTTACGAACCACCGTCTACAGATGTAAAGCCCTGAAATTTAATCGCGCTTCGATTTTAGTCTGTGGACTTTTAAATATCCTACGCCAAAATAGGTCGACAGTGCGTCTTTTTGAGATGTAGCACAGGCTGGGAGTATTTCATCTTCCAATAAGATACTCCTGCTTGTCCGTCCATCATAAAGAATTAATAATGTCTACATCCAAATTATTTTTTACGAATTTAAGGCAGCATTTCAACTAAATACTATTTTATCCTTTGGTTATGCTTTTTCAGCAGCCGTGGTCACGGGAAAACCATGACTGCTACAAAGCAACCGAAACGTCGGGCCGTAGTTCGAATTATTTGTATATAAGTTAAACTACTATGTTTCGCGTTTTAAACTGTTTCAGTCTTTTATTAAAATGTGTACTACTCGCGTAAGCTATAGACAGTTGAATTATAGGCATGGGCTAATTCGAGGTGTTGACATCATTTTATTTTGTCATTTCCACAGATGACGATGGCACAGAGAACGTGCGTTTGTTGACAAAGGTGTTAATCTCTCACGGAGTGTGGACAGAACCGTGCGGTGTGGACATATCAGTGTGTCTTGCTGTTGAAGATGGTGGTGGACGTGAAGCTGCTTCCTTGGTGGAGTTGTGCCGCCCTGTTCGAGTTACCGTCGCACCTAAACCCATTAAACGAGGCATTTAGACACTCTGACTCTTGAGTTCAAAAGGTTCCTGTGATTGACAACAGGTATAATAATAGGGGACCTTATTTTCCCTCTGTGGGGCATAGTGTGACCTAAACAATTTTATTTGTAAGCCAGTAGTTGCTTACAAATAAAATTGTTTAGATCACACTATGATGTGTGAATGTTGAACATCTGTGTCCAAAACTTCCCCCAACTATTGCTAGGCACACTCAAACTGGCCACTACAAAAAACTGTCAAGGTTTAAAAAATACAAATGGATAAAAATGTACTTTAGTTAAGTAAAATTATGATATATGAATAAGAATATGGATTGTAAATATTTCTAGTAGGGTTCAGATTAATTGAGAATTGTTGATGAACAATCCATTTATTTTAATATCAATAAAATATACTAAGAAACCATTTTGTTTTAATGTATAACAACTTTTCAGTGTTATAAGAAAAAAAAAACATGGATTATAAACAAAGATATTTGTTTTTTCATATATTTAATGTATTTACAAAAGCTGAACAATGCGTAACTTTAAATGATTTTCAAAAATTGAATTTCGCGTTTTATACAGTTAATTGTTTAATTTTGATGTGTTCTAGTAGCATAAACTACATAAAATATACAATAGTCATTTGAAATATCAAACTTTTTTTTCATTTACCATACTAAAATATATACAATTACACATACAATTGCAGATATTAAGTTTATAAAATTTATGCTTAAATTAATAATGGTCATTCTTTATCTATTGCCAGTAGTTCAGTGCGAGCTTTACAGTGGTATATGAGTTGCTTGATGCCCGGCATCCAAGTCCCAACTGTGCTCACATGATCCACCATCAGTGCTTTATGGAGCTCATCGGCCTTTGAAGGATTGTCTTCTTTTAAAGCTGAAAGTAAAATAAAAAGCCATATTTCAGATTAAACGGTAACAAGAGACAACTTAGATACAAAAGTAAAGCTAAACAGCAACAGACATGTCGTTGGTTGTGGGCTGGAGTCCTGCCTGTCACAGAAGTTTGTTTCTTTTATTTGTTTAAAACTAGGCAGCAAATAATAGTCTTAATTTTTTTCTTTATCGATCGATCGATTCAGTCATTTAGTGTCCACTGCTGGACATAGGCCTCTATATTTTCTTTATAATCTATCAAAAATATTATATTTAAATAACCTTTTCCTAGTTCCTGCATTTTCATTTGCACTTGTTTATTTATTTTTCCATTAGACCACATTTCTTCCATTGTTGAGATTTTCTTTTTTATACTGTCTCCCTTGGCACCCAATTCAGTACTATCATTCAAAATATCTAATAAAACTTCTCTTACTTCATATAACATTTGTTCACTGTCTATTTGAATATCTTCTTCCGAGTCAGTTTTTTGAGTGGAAATAGCTGTTGTTCTTGTTGGTAATAATACCGGCATAGGAGGCATATTAACAGGAACTGGTGGTGCAGTACTGACATTGTTTGATAAGGGAAAAGCAACTCGTTTATTAAGTCGTGGTTTGTTTGGTGTTGTTGTCTGTTGTGCATTGTAAGAGAAAGTTGGAGGATCATTCCAACCAGGGTCGAAAGTAACTGAAATAATTTAAATGAAATGTTTTAGATAAAGCAAAAATGTGATAAAAAATATATTTCTTACCTTTGCTGTTTGTGTCCTGAATATTTTGTACGTTATCCATGACTAATTACTGTATGTATATACCTTTTCTACTCTTAAATATGTCTATAGTGAGTATTTGATTCTCTTGCTATATTTAACGAGATGCAGGATTAAAGAAACCTTAAATAAGCTTAGTGCTTCATGAGAAAGTAATATATTAAACATCAATTTTATGTCTACTCTATAAGAAGTAAAGAAATTAAATTGAAAAAGTAATAAGAAAATTTGCGTACACAGTACAATAACTATTAACTAATAAGAAGTATTATGTCGTTGTCGACCAGACCGTCAATTGTCAATGTAAAATCAAGTGGTCAGGGAAACGTCGCTGCAACGTGTTTTTGAAGTATAGACAATAGATGACAGCTGACAGCGAAATCAGTTTATGTAATTGTCAATTGTGAGCTTAAAACTACAAATGTGAGAAAACATATCCCAATAAGAGTGTACTAGTGTAGCATCAGTGAAAATTGTAAATTCGAATTTTCCGAAAAATGGGTAGCAATAAGTTATTTCATTTGATAATGAACTTTATACCAATGCTATTTCTTATATTACTATGTTTTCTTTCAAAATCGAATGGTAAGTATTGCAATATTATCAATGTTTACAAGAATGGGAGGCAACAAGCACGGTAACAATTACGTGGTCCAATATTAGGGGCAGAAATCTACTACAATAAATGTGATGATGATCTTTGAAAATATTAAATAACTCTTTTTTAACTATTCACACCTTTATTTTTAGCATCAAGAGCGGAATTTGTGACTTGCGGAACTGTTTTAAAAATAATGAACACCGACTTGCGGCTTCGCCTTCACTCGCATGATGTCAAGTACGGCTCAGGCTCTGGACAGCAGTCAGTCACAGCTGTTGATGTGAGTGATGACCACAACAGTCACTGGCTTGTTAGGCCTGCTATGGGCGAAACTTGTAAACGAGGGTAAAATTTATTTGATACTAATGATTACCAGCTCCAACTTTATGTCTTAAACCAAAATGTTTAACAATTATTTACGCAACAAATAAATTTCACTTAGAAACACAGTTATACTATACATTCAATATTATATGTGAGTAGATACAAATTGACAATTATATTTAATTATTTGCAAATACTTCTCTCCTTTTTACGCTGTAAAACTGCTTTTCTTTAGCAAGTAAATAATTAAATACTACTTAATTACAAGATGGTGCAACATTCAGGCGTTATTTTTGCACCATTATATGGAATGCTATTTTTACTATAATAATATACAGTGAGTAAGTAGTATGTGTAGTTATTTAGTAATTTTTCTGAAGTTGTTGTTTTTTTGGGAAATTCTATCTGTGTTGAACACAAGTAGGTAGATGATGGTAGAGGTACAAGAGGTACTATAAATATTATAGTGTTTCTGATTATAAATAGTAAAAAACTTTTTTTTTATTATTTATTGGTTTTGTTATAAATTAAAGTTTTTATTAATGTAAACCATTCCTGTTTTGTTTGTCTGTGGTGTTTGTAATTATTAAAGTCATAAATAAAATCAATTATTTTTTGTTCCAGAGAACCAATAAAATGTAATACAAATATTAGATTACAACATGTTTCAACAAAGAGAAATTTACATTCACATTACTTCTCTTCACCCCTGTCTGGAAACCAGGAGGTCTCTTGCTATGGAGACGACAGTGGTGAGGGTGACAGCGGTGATAACTGGACCGTTGTATGCAATAATGATTACTGGAGAAGAGATACACCTATCAAGTTGAGGCATATAGACACAGCAGCGTAAGTACTTTGGTTTATTTTTATGAATTGTTTGACTCTTACCATAAAGGTATTTTTACACTCTTTACCAAACAAACTAGAAGATTTTAAATCCCTCTGTTTATTAGAAGTATTCCTATCACATAAGAGACCCTATGGACTGTATGAAATATCAATTTTAATTATTTTTCCAATATTCACAGGTTTCCTTTTATAATCTATAACATTCATGCATATGTTCTTCAGATTCTTGGCGGGATCTGGGCGAACATTTGGAAGACCTATAAGTGGACAAGGAGAAATTGTCGGTGTTACATCTCAATATGGCGCATACACAGACTGGCAAGCAAAGGAAGGGCTCTTTGTTCATCCTAGTGATGCTCTACCTCATCAAGGAGCTATACATACAGAATTATAAAAATTGATAGTAACATTTATTTATTAGAATATTTTGTATCATTTATGAGTGTAACATTGTACTTAAAGGGTCTAAATCGCTATTGCAAGATTTGATATGTTAATTCAATGGAACTGCCAAAGATTTAGTTTACAAAATTTACCCTTTTGAGTCTTGGAGAATTGTTTAACTGTTTATTAATTAGATAACTTTAAATTTTCCTACAAACAAATAACAGTTGCACTGTTTAAAGGCACAATTAGAATTAATAAAAATACTGGTAAGGAGTAAATGTGATACACAAATAAAAGACCTCTTTGTACTAAAAGCTTTATTGTCTAAATGTTATTATATAACTATGAGTAACACCTGAGAAATCCAGCTAATGCAGTGCTTTTGTAGCATCCAAAAATAATACCTGTCATCGACTTGTGTATCCATCCTTACTTTCTACCTTCCAAATTGATTTTGACCTTTAATTTTCCAACGTACTTCGATGTAAGTGAGGCGTACAAAAAATACGAAACAAAATAAATCATTACAAATGATATTGATAATCGTAAGTTGGTATAAGAGGCATATCAATTCTAACTTCATATCAACCTCGTATTCAAAATCAAAAGAAGATGCCTTTTGACTACATAAATTTCATACAAGATAAAGATTAAAAATACCACTGCGCTGTCTGAACACAAGCTAGGAAGTTAGTTAATACCGTGTACATACTATGCATTTCTAACATTTATCCTAATAACAACACAAGTTAAAAGGCACAGCGGTTTTGTTTTGATATAAACGAGAAAAGAATTTCTCTCCTAGTATGTTGGAAACGGAGAGTTTAAGAAGAGGTTCAGTAAAGGTGGGACCAGTAGGACAATTCATAACTAAGCTATATTTTTAGTTAAAAATTTATGCCGTCGAGGCGGTAACAGCGGAATCAAAGACGATCTACTCGCCGTGTTGTCTTACATCCTTACTCCCAGTAGTAACTTATTCAGAGGCCCCTATAACAGTATAGAACATGTCGTCTAAAGAGAATATAGTTAAGAGATTGTTATAGATATTTGCGCGTTACAGCATCCATTAGATGTGTATGTTTATCTAAGCTAACACAATTTGTTTGCTAAAATACTGTTGATCTTTTCTAACGCATATTTGAGATTTGTGTAAAGCTTCTTGTCGCAGCCGTGTTCCTCTACCGTTGTAAATCGGAATGTTCTGAAGTTCTTGTCTACATCTATGTACGTAACGGCGTGCATCAATGGACACAATATTATCTTTGTATGGTCTTGGAAGTTTATCTGTAAATATTTAAAATATTGTTATTTAGTGACACACCTGAAAACCCAGCCATATAACACCAAAACAAAAGGCGCCACCGACTTATTCTAAACTTTACTTTTTTCATTTGTTTACGATGGGGGGTTTGTGGACTTGATGGAATTTTGATATTTCTCCAGATTTTAGACGAAGTCCAAGTGTTACAGAAAAATCTATAAATTGATTAGAAATATGTTGGACCTGGTGGAAATCAAACCCCTTAACAATGAGCCTCTCGAATTCATAAAAAAGTAACTTGTTCTCCAAGTAAATATAATTGAAAATTAAAATTACCTGTAACGTTCCATTAGTCAGGTACATAATAACAGCCATGGTAGTTCTAAACCACTGGTGAAGATGTGGCAATCTCGAGAGCCCGTCAGTTTCTCGAACTGGCACTGAAGCTCCTAAAAATCACATCAAACTCAGTACATCCTATACCATAACATCACCAATTCATGGAAGTTATAAAAAAAATTCTTTACCTGCTTTCATCAGATGCTCAGTCATGTATCGTCTGAAGTAGCTGAGCAATTTCATCTTCTTCTCCAATTCTGATGGATATTTCTGCATCGTCATATACAGTTCCTTTCCTTGTCGATCGATGTAATGCACGTTACTGTTATAAATTTAAAAAAAAATGTATAATTACCAGTGAGACAATTATTAACAAAAAAATATTATCCACTTTTCTCTCAGAATTCAGATAAATTGTTTTTAAACTTTTTGAGGCTTTTGTGCATTTAAAGGTAGCAAATGGGAACCGAACAATCCCAATGTCGACAAACAAAACCCAAGTAGCATTGCAAATTGTCTGCAAAAGCATGAATACTTGTTGCTTGTGTGACTTTTAAATGGGGATATATGAGTACTTGGAAGACCAAATTGGGGTTTGTTTCATTGTTAACATTTCTATTCAGTACTAATTACTTACACTCCATTAGCAAGCATAATCAACTTGGTAGTATCGTTGAACATAACACCGACACTCTCGTCGCACAGCTGGTACCCGAAGCCGTACTTGTCACTGTAGTCTACCCATTTTCCTACCCACACGAGCGGTTGGGCAACCGGGTCACTCAATTCATCAGTCAGACATTCTGGACGGCATTTGAGCTGTAATACAGGAAAAACAAATTCAAACTTTACAATTTTTTATTTAGGATATTAAATATTTCCTTTTTTATATCATTGTTTTCGGACTGTTTGGGCGACTTGAGCAAGAAGAGGCTCTGACTATCACCACTGACTATCATTAATTTAATAAGAATTATGATTATAATTCTTCGAGCAATCGAGGAGTTGACCACCTTATGATGCCGTCCGCTAGTGATGGCGAAACGTCGAGAACCTTTTCTCGCTCACGTCGGCTGAACAGTGCCGCCGTGAAAGCCTTAAACAATTTATTTACTGTTTTACATGTTTTTACCTTGCTTGTAAGTATTCCGGCCAGTTGATCTCTCAGTTCCACGAGATGCTGTCTATGCGCAGTCGGTTCCACAGCGCGCGGCTCCGCCGACGCGGCTGGCTTAACAGGCGAGTCTACCGCCATCAGATGTTCTGCACAAACTATGTATATATTACTTTAAATTAGTAAATATGTTTTAAAACTATTTTTATTCTGAGCTCCTTGGGTTTCCAGCTATTTGGAGTTTTCCACGACTACAATGATAATTAAGACGGCCGAATAGCTTCGACGAACGAACGCCTTGACCTTATCATACTACTTAAAAAAGGGCACTATTTTAAGATCTCTGACTTACTCACTCAAAACTTTGCTCTAGTTTTCACAAAATTCCTAATGTATAAAAAATGTCCGAAAAAGTCATATTTCTGAATCCGTGTTACTGATCTTTGTCATTGACAAGCAAGTAGGTACTCAGCTTTCTAGATCTTATATATAAAACTAAATTATGTTTCCTGTAAATTTTAACCCAGGACTTCTTATACTTAAAGACACATAAGCATCACCTAATTTATCAGGAATTACTTACCGTTACCATTGACTTCGTTCAATGGCCGCCTGTGCGTTGGTTCCCCTTCCACCAGTTGATCCAGTCTAGGTGCTGTAGTAAGGCAGGACACTGGCAAAGCTGCAGGCATTATACCAGAAGAGAAGAATTCATGCTGCAATAGTTTGTCCACTGAAGGCCGTAATGATGGATTGCCTTGTAATTGCATCATGATCATGGACGCAGCTGGCTTGCGAAGAGCTGATGGGATCCTATTAAAAAAAAGACACTTTTTATAATTTATAATTACCTATTGGTGGATATGGAATATGGGTCAATGATTATTTTGAGACCCCTTTTAATTTAGTAATTAAAACTGGTTGGAAATGTTAAGGGGAATGACAAAATTTTATAAAATCTATCAAAAAGTAATTTTACAGTAGATCAACAAGTATTATTAAATCTTCGTAAAATTGAGCTCTTAAATGTATAGATATTATTTATATAATAGTATTGCGTAATTAATATGAAACAAATGTAGCTTGCATACAGGACAAAACCTCAAAGCAAACAATGAGATGATTACATTTTAGTCATGTCACAATAACTTAGAGACAAAGGTGACCAACACCAACATTTAAGTGGTGACAAGTGTATGCGCTTGTAACTTAACCTGTACTGTTGCTTAAGAATATTGTTGTTGGTAACTGCCTGTGCATATCGCGAACCCAAGGTTTTCCAAGAACCTGAGCAGTACACCCCAACAATCATATTTAGCCCCTCACTACAATTTTATATATATTTAGTCACCTTTATAGCTTGGATATCATCTTTATAAAAACTTATAGTACCTAGAATTTAATTTAATATTGTAATAGTAAGTGTAAAAACATTACATACTTATATTCACACTTCTTGATCCTCTTGTATGTATCTTGGAGTGAGGATGTCTCAAAAGGTGGCTTCCCAACAAGTAGAGTATACATAATACACCCTATACTCCAAATGTCTACTTCAAAGGAATGTCCTTTTTTTGTCAATATTTCAGGTGCAATATAATTAGGTGTGCCACACACAGTCTGCTTTCTCTCTCCTATGATAAATTAAAATTCTAGTAAGTGGGATCCTTCTCAAACAAACAGTTATTTTAAAACCATGTTACAATTTTAAGTTACTTTAATACAAATAGAAAACATAAATAACTTACCTTCATATTCTATTTTAGCAGCTAAGCCAAAATCTCCAATTTTCACATGCAAATCATCATCTAAGAAGAGGTTTCCGAGCTTGAGATCTCTATGAATAATACACCGGTGATGTAGGTATTGTACACCAAGTAGAATCTGATGCATGTAGAATCTTGTCTCTGGCTCAGTTAATGCTTTTCTACGCTTGTGCAATTCCATCATAGACTTAGGGAAAAATCAGAAGGATTAATGATACTATTTGACATTGTTAGGGACAGTTGAAACACAGTACTTACTCGTTTTTTACAAAGTTCCAACAAAATATAAATATTCTGGGAGTCCTCAAAGAAGCTGTGGAATCCTACTACATGTTTGTGTCGTAATGATCTATGAATGGAGATCTCCTGAAAAGTCTTCTCTTTCTGTGATTTCTTTATTAGAAGCTTTTTGGATACAACTTTCCCAGCCCATACTTGATTTGTGGCAATATCTTGCACTTCGTAGCATTTTGCAAAACCACCCTAAAATACATATTATTAAAGAGAATAATATTTGGACCTTGTTCAAAATATATGATCAATTGTGAAGTAAACATTTTAAAACTAATGTAAATAAACTTAAGGGAATATCATAATGGCTTTTCACTTTACTAGATTAGTTTTCAGTTAAGTAGTTAGTAGCAGTAAGGTAGTTTAAATTTATTTTCTTTCAACTTATTCCTAAGTAAGGTATATATAATATAGTAGTGTTGTTTGAAATGAAATGTTTTAGTGGGTTGGTTCTCAAATAAATACTTTCAAACTTGCATTTACAAGAAAAAAACTTGGCAAGTGCTAGGTTGTTGGCAATTAAAGAAATTACCAATAGCAGTATATAACGGTTGAAAACAAGTTTAATATGAGATTCATAGCGAAATGTGGACGTTAAAATTAACATACATTCAAGCATTAAACAACTTTTTCTTAAGTTTAATAATGTTCAACGACACTTTCGTATTTGAAAGAGACATATGGTTGAAACAACATTCAGCTTTGAAGATGCTAACCTATCATCAGCATTACATGGTTCTGTATAATATCATAGATGTGGATTGTCCTTTACATTTTAATGCTTCAAACATATGTGATAATAAATAAATACTAACCTTTCCAAAAAACCTCAACCTCTGATATGTGCTGCCTGACTGGGGATCACGAATTATTTCTGGTATTTCTTTCTTATCATCTTCTTTGTTTGATGCCATTTTAGTATATAAACTTAAATAGATATAAAATAAAAGTCAAATAAAACGTTTTAACAGCAAGTAATAAGTTATTGTTAACACTTTCACAAAGAATAATTTTCAAACGGCAAAACGTTTGAAGTCAGTTTTGCTGTTGCAATGAATTTTGAACGGTTTGCTTAAAATTTGAATTGTCTTGGAGAGCCAATCATATTCTTGTATTTTCACCGTTAGTTGCCATCACACAATAATAATTGAGTATAGCGGTATTGGTTCTGTCATATTAGCACAGATATAGTAGACAATTTACATAAATGCTAAGACACCACAGAATAAGGCGACAGGAACGAGTTTTGTAATGCTATTACGAATACTTGTTAAAAATCAAATAAAATCCACCTTTAATAGAGTTATGATAATCAATCGATATTAATAAAATGAAATTATATATTTTTTGATATTGTTAATAAACGATTACGTATAATAGGTACATGGATAGTAAACACAATTTTGGTTTATATGCTTGTTTGGTGATACCAGAAATACATAACTACAATTCCGGGATGTATGATATTTCTGTTTACCTTCTATTGCTCTATAAGACGAACAAAAATGTGGTTCCTACCAAATATTAGCATAGAATAAATATAGAAAAATAAATAAAAATTAATCGTTCGCGTAACAAATATCTGATAAGCAAATACTTAGCGAGTTTATGAATAAATTTATGTCTACATAATTAAAGTGAATAAACTGTTCATTGATAAAACGTATTTATCTCAATAAACTTGTAGGTACTTCCTGCACAACTGTAAATATTATTAATTCTTGTTTTTTAAATATTTTCATTGCGAGTTAATCGTCACTTGCTCCGTCGTTTTCCTACAGTAATGGTTACTGTAACGCAGCCTTTTAAAAATTAATTACCCTTTTATTTTTAGTGTTAATGATGTTTAGATTTTTTTTATTTGTGTTTCTTTGTTATAGTAGTGTTTTAATTGGAAATTCTCTAAATATATTGACAACTGATGAATGTAAGTAGTTTACTTTTATTTATAATTGAAAAAATATTATTACATGCCATTTATAATTTCTGATTCTAGATCTGATTCTAGATTACTTTCAAAATAAAATTCTGCTTGCCTTACCTGGCATAGGACATATTTGTTTTTATTTTTTGTATTATTTGGCATACTGTTCATCAGCCTGTGTTCTGCCAACAGAGGATTAGATTCGAATCCCGATAAAAAAATACAATATGCCGTCAGAGTCAGTATTCGAATTAGAATAGTATGCGAATATAAAATTTGTTTTCAAACTCGTAACGTTTGTGTGTGTGTAGCTACAAATAATACCTTCGTAACAATCCCATTTTTTACGCATTGTCAGCGTTTTTTTTTGTCGTGTATAACCAGTGAATTGCAAATTTAATAGAATAGAACTATCTGTAGCTACCTGCTTGTAAACTATTGCGTACTATTATTTAATATTTTAAAAAGCTGCCTCGTTTATGTGTACTTATGTCTTATTTTATATTGACAGAAAACAAATGAAGGCCTTAACTTAACCAACCAATGATATTGAGTAACTTAAACAAGTTAATAGGACAAGAACTCAAGCATCAAACTTATCACCTATCTTTTGTCAATCATTTCTCACATGCTCCGCTTGATTGTAAAGATAACGCACGTTACCAAGCTCAAAAACCAGTAGTTGTACAAAATCTTAAGTGTGCCCATATAGAGTTAGGTAATCTTTACCTTTTCAGCATTTTTAATTACCCATTTTTTTAATAATAAATACTCAATATATTTATAATTAAAATAAAATATGTAAAAATAAAATGACTAACGGACCGGAATGTTAGTATATATTAAAAGTAAAAGACTTTCTGGCTGCTTTCTGGATATAGGTTGTAAAATAAAAAGAAGAGATCCTAGGTTCAAATCTCGATAAGTTATACTAAATGTTTTCGGTCGGTAAAGGCAAAAAAGTTTCATGAATAACTTAGTTGTAAAAATTTAATATATGGGTCTCAAAATAATAAGGACATACTTGATATTACATAAAATCAATCGGTGTGACGGAACAGAAATGATTTCACTTTTATACATAAAATAGGCCACGCATTAATTAACTTTTGTGAACTATTTCTGTTACAATAGTAATTTAAATAAAATATTAGTTGAACTTATTTGGAAACTATCTACTTTAACTGCGGCCCGAAGTTCCGATGCTTGGTATCAGCCGTGGTCACAGAGAGAGTCACAATCATAGTTGGGGAATCATTTGTAAACAAGTTTAACTAATATTATCGCATTTTAAACGTTAAAGTGGTTTAGTTATACGTGTACCATTCGCGTAAACTACTGACAGTTTAAAATAGTAATTTTCTTACTAATTCATGTTACAGTGGAAAACCATATAAGTCCTGAAGATTTAGAGGAATTTCTGAAATTACGCAATAATGACACACCCACCAGCACTCCGTCGTCGGGGGATCTTGATTTTTACGCTGATATTGAGGTAAAAAGATTGAAATGATAATGCGTATGTTCCTTTGGCGTCAAAGAGAGAAAGAATTAAAACGCTTTTACATCGGTTTAAAATGTATATTCAATGTTCATTACGTTTTTAGAAAAAGTATTCCAAATTTAAAGTTTAAAAATTTAATAATTTTATGTATTAAATGTTATTATATGCCAACAACACAAACTAGTTAACTATACAGGGTATCCGGATAGCTAGATTTATCACAATTCGCTATTTGTAACATTTCACTGAAATCAGCCTAGTTGTTTAGACGAATGATTTATTTTTCGAATTGACATAAAACACCTCATCCACTAGCTTCAAAAACATAAAAATTATGATAAAATAAAACGACTATCGAGTTATCTATTTTGTTTAAAAACATTGCTTCTTTATATTGTAATGAAATTGGCTTTTGTTTTTGGATATAGTTTATTATATTGAGTAAGCACAATTAAACTTATTAATATATAAACATGGGGACATATTATATTAGACTGCTAGAGGCACACTGGCCTAATAACAAAAAACATACTTTTCAATAAGGAGGAAAATAAACATGCACGGTTCACTTAGGCGTAAATAAATTTGTACTATTATTTCTGTAAGTATTATGTTAACAATTTTCTGTCACAGTTAGGCCGCTAGCGGCCTCATATTTGGTGATAATAAGCATCTGAAACTAATTCATATTATTGGTATTAAGGACTCTACTGCAAAGCTGTCTGTGCCAAAAACCGTAGACTGCTTCGGTTTGGGTTCACTTCTAAAACAATTATGGTTTCTGAACATGCGACCGGCCTCATCCAATAGTATCAATACTCACTTCTACTTCTCATCCAGGAATCAACCGAAGAGAGTGCAGGTATGTTTTTTAATTAAAGTGCAATCCCGTTTCCCCCTCGTGGGGCATGGGACAAACACATTATTGTGTTCATTTCACCGATCCGTTCTTTAACAGGCAAGTAGTTGATCAGACTTCTGTGCCCTGCCTGACCGAAACAATTTTCTGTTTCCCTGGGATTCGAACCCACGATCCAGTGATTATTAGCCATACTTTACTACCGACTCGTTACTCTAATGACAATAAAAATAAAATAAATGTTTAAGAGGACGGATTCACATAGAAATCGTTTTTTATTATTATTTTAGTACAGATTTGACTTATTTAAAAAAAGGCTACACAATTAAATTTGTATACCTAGTTACGGAACCCAACATGACAGGGTCCCAGTTGTACTTAGACGTATTTTAGCTTTCGTGAATATGTCAAGTTGTAACACTAAAACAGCAACAGTATGTCAGCAATTAAAAATAAAACAATCGTCACAAAGCCTTCATATTAACCCAATTGAAGTATTAAATGCAACGTAAGGAAAATGTAACAACATTCGAAGAACGACTCAACCTTGCGTTACCTTGATCTTTTTATTGTTCAGAATAGATTCCCAGAAAAGATCGCGAGCCTTTTGTTAGTCATTTCTTAAAAATAAATCATGGCCGTTGATTTATACAATATTTAATTTAAGCAATAAAATATGTAGTTAGTAATTATGAGACAGTAGAAGACAGATTAGTATAGCCTAATAGCATCTAAAAAAACTGTTTCTAAATAAAACAATTTTAACGGTTAAACACAAAATATACTACTTAAATTATTTTAACGCAGATCCACCGTGGCCACGGCTGCTGCAAAGCATCCGTGCAAAGCAAATTAAGAATAAGTTAACTAACATATTCCGCGTAAACCTTTATAAGTGTTTTTTTTTTCAATGTGTACTACGTAATCTATAGACACGGCTTTTTGTCATCTGTGGCAGTTAACGCTACTCCCGCCAAAGCGCTCTAGAGTAGTCATAGTGGATAAATGCATTTAAAACTTTTTTAGGAGACTTTAATAGCTCGAATTGAAATTTCCAATTTTCCATTATGACTCAAGAGGATGTGTGTAATATTTATTGCATAAAACCATATCAATCAATAGTTAATTTATGAGAATAAAGAACAATCTATTATCAGTTACGCGGTATTCTACTATCAATGCCCTTGAATAATGACAATTATTTATAACTGGCAGCTGTGCCCGCGACTTCGTCCGTGTGGAATAGTTATTTTGGACATCAAAATGTATTTTTGAAAACAACTATCTCAACTTTATAAGTTACCTGTTACCTACGACGTCCGTGTCCCATCGTTCTTTCGATTTAATCTTAAAAAGATAGATATGTACTGTCGCGGACATTTTTTTAATATATAAAGAGGAATCATTATTTCATACATATAGTTGGATTCTTAAGATAAGCGTGTTCAAACAAAGTCTTGAATTAAGTCATTATTATAATAACCAACAATGTTAAAAAACTTTGCTAAGTAAATTTAATTTATATGAATAGAATTGTCGTCATAACGATCTTTTACGCACCTGAAGGAAAGTTGGGTTTCTAACTTGAATTGGAATTAGGTTAGGAGGAAAAACGATTTTATTTTCTTTAGTTTCGTTTTATTTACCTCATTTTCTATCTAAGGTATTTTACGTAATATTTACACCTCTTGTTATATTTTACCTCAATGGGCAAAAGTGACGCGATAAATGATTTTTTTTTAAATTTGGAAACGGTATCATAAAATGAATTGACATCTATATCTGGATTGTTGAAACAAATAATTTCTTTTCAAAAACCTTTTGTTCCCAGTTTGTTCCTAAAATTCAATTTTTTTTTTATGATAGATGGTCGGTGATTCCACCTATTATATTATATGGCTGGGGCATATAATATCTCAACAATATGCGTCTTCGATGTATTTTTGGCTTTGGATATTGGTAAATCCACAGATTAAAAGCGAAACGCAATTACACTTCATAGCCTGTCATCTGTGGACGATGGCCCATTTAATATATTTCCAGACGAAGTCCAACACGTTCGTGAACCCTTAAGGAAATATCCATTAGTACTAATACAATGGTTGCACGCTGTTAGATCAATAGTTCTATTCACAGGTGTATCCAGGTAATCAGTTTGGACTGGAATGGGTAGATTTCGAACCAGCTCGACGGACAGTCATGATAGTCCATGGATTCATGAGCCACAGTAATGCATCCTGGGTCCACGATATGACAAGAGCACTGTTGAACTGGGTAAGGTTATAGATTGCTAGATGTGTCAGCGACTTCGTCCGCGTAGAATTGTTATGTTTGGCATCTAAATTTGTCCGCAAAGAACTTTATTCTGGAATCTGTAAATGTTCCATGTTTAGAGAAAGGTCACAGGCGGAATTCGAACTCACGATCAACAGAGTACTGTGCCCGATGCATCTAACATTTTATGACCACAAACCGTAACATGATACGATGAACCGGACATGCAACGGGCACAGTACTGTGCTGATCGTGAGTTCGAATTCCGCCTGTGACCTTTCTCTAAACTTTCTTGTTAAAATTAAGCGATAAGTTTTTTAATTCATTTGTATAAATGTGAGTTTTATTTTCCTTTTGAATCTTGACATTAGTAATGGGTTCTAAACTATAAATGAAATCTACAGGCAGACGTCAATGTAATAGCAGTAGATTGGAGTAAAGGTGGCAACACTTGGAAGTACTGGCGTGCTGTGGCTAATACGAGACGTGTTGGCTCTGACGTTACTGGGTAAGTTGGTTTTTACAAAAAGTCTAGTAGTCGTAGCCTAACTGCAATATTATGACTTGAGTTATTTATAATTTTAAAGTCTAAAAATGTTAATGTACAAGAGCACATTGACCGAAAATTGTAAACATAATTCTTACACAAACAATATTAGTATTTGGTTGAGTTTAAATATCTTTGTTGTTATAACAGGTTTATGCGTCAGCTCATAGCGAAAACGGGAGCCAGCGTAAAGGATTTTCATTTTATTGGACATAGTCTCGGTGCACACATAGCGTCCTATGTTTCGTACCATTTGGGCAGGGTTTCCAGAATCACTGGTAAGTGTGGTATTAATGGTACTTATGAAGTACCGTATGTATAACGTCGTATATTTCGCGTTTTAAACCGTTAAAAGTGTTTTATTTAGGTGTGTACTACTCGCCTAAGCTACAGACAGTACGTGATTGTAGCTTGGTGGTGTTTTCATCGATATTATTGAAGAGGGATTTTGTTATAAATATTTATATTTATAATTTAAATAAAACACTAACGGTTTATATCGAGACATATTATACTAATAGTTAAACTTATTTAAAAAATATTTCCACTGTGGCCCGACGTTTCGGATGCCGATTTTGCCCGTTTAGCCAAATACGAGTATCAACTACGACGGAACAGATGGCGCTAGCGTAGCAGTTTTAACTTTGAGAGATACACCTTCCATCTTAGGTCTCCCCGGGACGTGTTGGACCGCAACTAAAGTAATTTTTAAATATATTCAACTACTCATATATATTTCGCGTTTTAAACCGTTCTAAGCTAATGCTGCGCTTGATTTTGTCACTCTCCATCCCGTTTACAACAGAATTATCTTTTTTTTATAAAAAAAAGAAGCTATAGCTTCTTTTCTTACCTCATCTTTCTCTATTGCTCGTTTAATTTAATAATAATAAATAAATATGTTTTACTTGATAGGGTTGGATCCAGCTCAGCCATGTTTTGGTGATTCCAGTCGTGAGGAACGGTTGGATGATGGAGACGCCGACTTCGTTGATGTGATACATACTAATGGTAGACTGTTGCAGAGGATCGGGTTCGGTCTACCAGATCCTATTGGTAAGAAGTTTGTTGTATTGCAGTTGTTTAAACTATAGAAATTTCTGGTGGTGGGTTTGAGTGTCCGTTGTGTTAAAAAAATATTTAGTTTTTTTTCGATTTATATAATGGCGATGGCGACTGTGGTCAAAATTACCGTGAACACCAAGCACAACAATTAAGATTTCTTCATTCCAATCAGTTTATAACAGATTATAATATCAGATTACAATTCTATTTTTTATTTTTTTGTAGTTAAAAAATAAACAATATATTTGCTTTTTTTAATTGTGTTTCATTTAATGAACACATTGATCTAGATTTATATCATTAAAGTATGTAAATGTAGTTAAAATAAAGAAATATAATTCGCTTTTAAAAGTATTTTTCAGAGTTTCTTTCAATGTCTACCACTCGCACAACTTGGATCTTCACACTTTTAAAATTTTGTATTTTAGGTCATGCTGACTTCTACCCGAACGGCGGCATGCAACAACCCGGATGTGTTAACAAGACGAATTCACTTTGGTCAAAAATTCCAATTTCAGCTTCCCGTAAGTAGGTACCTATATCGAATAGGAATTGTCGATTATTATTGTTTATAATTTATATTTTTATTTTATTTTAATCATTACCCAATTACATTGGTTTTATCACAGTTGTACATTCAAACAATATTGTATGTTTATATATTTTTTTTGATAATTGGTAGGATATATTTCTTCCAGGTCTCCAGCAAGCGATATGCAGTCACGGAAGAGCTTACTTGCTATTTACCGAGTCCCTGCTTAGCGACAATTGCACTTTTAATGCATACCGTTGGAACTTGACATATGAGGGGTATGTTTACACCATGTCCGTAATTTTCATATACATGGTCTTTAAAGCTATGAATATATATATTCCCAGAAACGATGTTTGCATATTATGGCGTTATAAAATCAATAATCCCTTACAACGCGACTTAAACAGCACCTACGGCAACCCGTGCTGATCAATTGAGCTACCGTGTCTTATTATTATAGTTATAAATGTCTTATACAAAGCAGACAAATATTAGTTACGAAGGCCCAAACGACAATCGGTACCCATGTTAATATAAAAACACCCTTTCTTCCACTTAATTGTAACCTTAGAAAAGGGATGCTAGGAAGGCGCGATTAAAAATTCGGTTCTAATGCCCAGTAAAAACGCGAATTCTCACAAAAAGGTGGAGGAGGCAAGCTAGCGCAAAGTTAATAATTATAGCTTTATTATGTTTTAGGGTAAACGCGAGCTTAGTTGCCGCGTGCGATCGTCACGCGTCGTGTGCTGAGATGGGAATAAATGCCGTTGGAAGTGATCGAAGACAAAAAGCGAGAGGAGCTTATTTCGTCCTCACCACAGAGAAAGAACCATACTGCCGTAAGTAGATATGAAATGATTGTTTAACGTTTTTTGCGTTCCAACAACGGGACCCTATTAATTTGACGTCACTGCCAGTGAATGACTAGGCTGTAGACGTTGTTGGTCTAATGATAGCAAAGTATGGCTAGTAATCAACTGGTCGTGGGAGTACAATACGTCTCTAAAAATCATTTTTTCCTACACATGCTCTTTCTGTGAAAAATCTGGAAATTAAAAAAGTTGCATATGGAAATTCGGTCCGGGTCGCGAACCACCGTCCACACATAAATAACCCAATCCATTCGAGAGCGCATCTTGTTGAGATGTTATATTTCATCTTCCATGCCATGCCAAGCGAATCTTAGGCTTGTCTGTCCTCCTTTATCATAAGGTACATAATTCTAGAAGTAAATACCTAATTCTGTTTTCCAGCTTCCGAATGGCAAAGGCATCACCCTCGCCCTGATCTCCTACGCGATTTGCGTCTTGGGTTCCGCATAGACAGATCAATCAAGCCCAACACCACGCAACCATATGGGGACCCATTTGACGTTACCACGACCACACAGAAGAGCTGGTTTCGAAGATTGATACCATTCGGATAGTTATATTTATTACCCTAATGTAAAAAGTATATATAGTATAATTATAAATACATTTACAAAATGACCAATTATTTTGTAAATTAAAACAGTCGCTGTGTTTTTGTTTTAATTCAAGTCCGTTTAAGTCCCATATTTATAGTAATATTATAAAGCTGCTATTCTCAAGAACTACTAAATCAAATAAAAAATATTTTTGTATTTTTTTGATTTTTTTAAAAAGCAGTGAGCTATAAAAATCAGTCTGTGCCTGGATAGGAGCGAAAAAATAGAGAGAAATGTGGAAACGGTTCAAGATATCAAAAAAGTATGTATAAAAGAATTGTTGTTTTTTGAATAATCAAAAAAAATGCGACAATGTATGTATATCTTTTAAAATTAACCCAAAAGAACCGTTTTATGGTCAGAATCAAATTACGCGGATATTGTATTGCAAAGACAAAATACGTCAATAGCGCATCTTGTTTAGATCTTATATCTGTCCTTTATCATAGAAAAGGCATGATTTTTCTATTGACATTACTAACAGATATAGTTAAACGTTGAATTGAAACACAAACCTCATTTTGCAGGCGCGCCAAAATTGCTCACCGATGCTCATATCCTCCGGCGAAGTCGACTTTTCCATTGCCGACAAGTTCAATTCACAAATATGGTATTTTAATTTATTTTGACATTTCTCCTCATTAACCTTTGACATTTCGTGTCAAATTCGACACCTGGTTTCGGACTATACGAAACTTTCTCTTCGCAAAGTGTGTTAGCCAGATTTCGGCTGAATACTGGTAAATTTTATCTCTATCGTGGTGTGCACAGATAATCTTATCTATCTTGATAACAGGCTTAGTGCGTAACCTAATTTTAATTTAAGACGACTAATCATATAAAACTAGTACTAAGTCACTTACATTCATAGATACAAGTTATCACACTAATATAATTAATGAAAGTCACAGACCCTGAGAGTAGTTCAAAATTAATCAAAAATACATTACGAGTTTAAATCTGTTCAAAATGTTTCAATATATATACACCCGCATAAACTATGAAACGATGCTTAAATTACACACATAGAATATAAACTCACTCGCGTTAACTAGAGTCCATGCTTAAATAATATGCAAATATGATTTTTTGAAACAACACACAACATCTCCCCACGTGACCACGGCTGCTGCATCCGAAACGTCGGGCCGAAGTTAAAAATAATTTCAAATAAGTTTAACTAATATATCGTGTTTTAAACCGTTAAAATGTTTTATTTAAATGTACTCGTGTAAACTATAGACAGTATTTATATGAAGGTTTTAGTATTAAAATAAAACAATTTTAACGGTTTTAAACGCGAACTTAGTTGTTTACAATTTATTTCAACGGCCTGACGTTTCAAATGCTTTGCAGCAGCCGTGGTCATTCGTTATCATGCGTTAACAGTTAAAAGTGTTTTATTTAAATGCGTAAACTACAGGCAGTACTTTTTAATATTACGCAACGTGCTAACAACTAAGTAGAATATCATAATATGTATTTTCTTGGGGCAACCGTTGTTAAATCGATAGAGTATGGCGGCTCTTTCCTTACCTGATTACAGTTAAAGGTAAATAATGGGAAACACCGAAAGTAACGTCACTAGTGGGGTGAAGAAGCAAGCTGGGACATCAACTCAAAAGTTGTATAAACTCATCGACTTGAAGGGTTAGTACCTGTGTAGAAAACACGACTTTTGGTGTTACGTAATAACAGAAGGAAAACACCGCTGTTGTGGCTAAACAGGTAAACGTGTTGTCTAGCATTTGGGCGAGGGAGGTCCTGCTTTCCCGGGAAAACAGTAGATTGTTTCGGGCAGGGCAAAGTTATGGACTACTAGCCTGTAAATAAAAGCGATCATTGAAATCTACACAATGTGTTCGCCCCATTTATTGGATTTCATTTTAACATTCCCTTAATCGACTATCTACCAATATTCTTTAAATTCGTTTCTTGTTCTTTTAGTTTGTATTCCCGTTATTTATTTCTGTCGTTAAATTGTATGTTTTCTTCTCTAGAAATAAAAAACTTTCCTTCTATCGTTCTATTCCATTATTTACCTATTCCGTACTCGTAAACTTCTCTCTCAGGACCGCCTCAGTAGCCAAATGGTTAAACGTATTGCCCAGCATTGTGTTAAGTGCGAGAGGTCCTGGGTTCGAATCCCAGAGAAACAAAAAATTGTTTCGGTCAGGCAGGGCACAGAAGTCTAACTACCTGCCTGTTAAAGAACGGATCGCTGAAACGGACATAGAAATGTGTTCGCCCCATCCCTCCTCCTATCCAACTCCTATATATTTCATAATACTGTGATGGTTAATTTTGTTAAAATACAACTAACTGTCGGTATGGTAACAGTATGTTTAATAATTTTATTATAGTAAATACTTACACTTAAATAAAACATTGTGCAATTTTTTTTCGGTATTACATCATATGCTTAATTGCTAAAGACTTACACCGTCTCCGCACCACAATAGTAAGTGCAAAGGTCCAGGATTTGAATTGCCAGGAAAGAAAATAAATACTGTCAGGTAGACCACAGAAGTGCCCCCTTCATCTAGGATAATCAATTTTGAATATTTCTTTTAATTAGGTGGCGGTCTCCTGGTCGACATGATGAAACGCGCCGTTCAAAACAAGCAGTATGCAGAGATAGACCACGCCATAAAAACAAAGGTGGAACCGTTCCTTTACAATAGAGGCAAAGGCCGATACATACCGATATCGCATCTAGTGCTTCTTCGGAATAAAGAACGACCGAGGCATAAATTGGTGAGTGTCGAAGTTCTGTTTGAAAATTTGAATATATAAACCATTTTAACGGCTTAAAACGCGATATATTAGTTAAACTTATTTGAAAATTATTCTTAACTTCGGCCCGACGTTTCGGATGCTTTGCAGCAGCCGTGGTCACGGGGTGGTCTCCCCGTTTAACTAATATATCGCGTTTTAAACCGTTAAAGTGTTTTATTTAGATGTGTACTACTCGCGTAAACTATAGACAGTATTTAATTTGAATAATACAAACAATAGACAGTTGATCGATCTCATGTTTAATGATTCTAATCAAAAATATAGTGACACAAGCTGGACTCCAACTCACATCAACATGGTAGCTCAATAAGTAGAACAAAGGAAGGCTGTTATAAGTCTTGGATTCGATTTTTCAATCTGAAATGTTGTTTAATTTATGCTATACTGACAAGCGTCTACTTGATGGTAGGTATAATACCCCAAACATATTACGTTTAAAGAAGGTTCGCTATCAACCTATTTTGCCTTGAATATTTGGAATCCACAGACTGAAGCCGAAACCCGTAAAACCTTCAAGGATTTTACATCTGTGGACAGTGGTTACCCGATTTTCCTATTTCTATAATGAAAGTTAATGTAAGTGAACTTAGGATTTATTTGATTAAAAGCTGCCCCCTTTGAGAGGTATGGAAAATCCTGACGAAGAATTCGATATAGAGAAGGATTGGCCCGCTGTAACCCAAGAAGAGTACGATAACAATCCCTCTGGCTTTAGAGAACTCTGTTGGGACTTAAAGGTTTGTTAATCATGAATTTATCAAAATAAATAATCTATATTAATATTATAAGGAGTTCGTTTGTTTGAACGCGCTGATCTCAAAAACTACTGCATCGAAATGAAAAGTTATTTCGTTTATTTTATGTATGATCACGCTCTGATCAATAGGAAATGTGGAAAAATGGAGAGAATGATTTGTAAAGGTTTGCAGAAACTGATACTATGAACTAGTACTCATCTGGGCTCACTTCTTCTTTTCATGTGTTATCAATAAACAATACTTTTGTTTATTTTGAAGGAGCGTGGGGCAGTGGGAGAGACCATCCTGCATCTCTGCTTATTAAATGCCACTTCTTTACTGGCGGATTTGGCGAAGAGGCTTTTGCGCTTCTATCCGAAGATGATCAACGATATTTACATGGGTGACGAATATTATGGTAAAAAATCTACGCTCATTCATTTATAGCAAAACTTTTTTAAAAACGCATTTATATTCTTTGATTTATGCCGCACTTGAAACCATAAAATTTTCTTAAACCAAAATTATTTATCCAATACTTGCACTAAGGATATACGACAAACACATGGCACTTAAAAAATGTAGTGCAGAAGACGAATTTTACGCTATTAGTCAATTCTTTCAGGTAATTTAATAGTAGTTTAAACATAGATCGGGTAAATACTCTCAGTAGCTTACGCGAGTAGTACAAATTTAAATAAAACACTTTAACGGTTAAAAACGCGATGTATATTAGTCGGGCCGTAGTTGAAATAATTTCCAAATAATTTTTACTATACGTGGCGTTTTTAACCATTAGATTATATAAACATACTACCTATAGAACGTTTAAAATAACTTATTTGATACTTGTAATAAAAATAATTTTTAATTCAATATCCTCAAGTACGAACTCATAATCAATTATATATACCTTCTTATGTTAGTAAATATTATTACATATGTAATTGTATGTTTCCAAAACAAATGAATTGATCTCCAGGAGAAAGCGTTCTTCACATGACAATAGTTAACGAAGATCCAACAATGGTGAAATTCTTACTGGACGCTGGTGCTGACTATCATGAGCGCTGCTTTGGCAACTTCATGTGTCCTGAAGACCAAAAGGCTTCCAGATCTGATTCTTCGGACCATGAATGGGTCAATGTTCAACCGGATACTAATTACGAAGGGTATACGTTATATTGTTTATGATCATCCTAATTCTGAAGTTAGTAAACAAGTATATTATATATATATCGTATCTGTATAAGAGCATTGTCAATAGTTTACGGGACTAGTACAAATTTAAATGACACACTGACGGTTAAGAACGCGAAATATATTAGTTAATTTATTTACAATTTGTTTTATCAACGGCGCGACGTTTCGTATACTTTGCAATAGCCATAGTCACGAAAGAATGATGGTGTTCTTATGTCAATGTCAATGTCAACTTGACTTTGTCATTAAAGATACCCTCCAACCTAAAAAAAAATTTTTTTTTTAACAGATATACCAAGTTTTTTAGCAAATAATAACAGATATAAACATACTTTAAGCCATTTTTAATTTTAGTTACGTCTACTGGGGAGAGTACCCATTAAGTTTTGCCGCATGTTTGGCTCAAGAAGAGAGCTACAGATTAATTTTGGCGCGAGGAGCTGATCCAGACAAACAGGATACGAATGGAAATACCGTACTCCACATGCTTGTTATTTACGACAAAGTGGTAAATATAAGATCTCTTTTGTATACTCACAGTGTTAGTTTTAGTTGTTGAAATTTTACAGTAGCGTTAAACACTATCCAACATTTGCAGAACACTTTTGATATGGCCTACGAAGTCGGTGCTTCTCTTAACATCAGAAATGTAAGAAATTTGACACCGTTGACTTTAGCTGCCAAATTAGCGAGGACAGAGCTCTTCTTCCATATCCTCAACATAGAGAGGGAAATCTACTGGCAGATAGGAGCCACCACTTGCGCTGCCTATCCCCTGGGCCAGGTCGATACCATTGATACGCAGACAGGACTTATAAGCAAAGATTCTGCTCTTAATTTAGTTGTATTTGGAGTAAGTAAAACTTATTTAATTCTATGGAATACTTAACATACAGACAAACAAATTGAACATAAAAAAGGAGTTCAATTACTTGCCTAAACAGTGTTTTTATTTTTTTTATTGTTATTTCTTTTCATGACAGAGGACGCCTTATAAGAAGGCACTTTATAATGATAGATGAGAACAAAAAGCATGGATACTTGATGGAAGGTGACCCCAGCTATACAACATCTCAACCAAATGCGCTGTCGACTTTTTTTTTTTTGCTTTGCATATTCGAAATACCATACATTGAAACTGAAACGCGAAAACTTCTCGTCTTTTTCACTGTGGACCGTGACACGGCATATTGCTATTTCTACCGCCCATTAAAAAGTCAGATTTCCAAAGAAAGTTCAACATGTTTCAGAAAAATAATAAAATCTACAGGTTAAACGTAATACTACATCTGCCTGGTATCAGCTCACCAGGTACCACCTGGTCCTGAATTTTATGTGCCTTCACTGACTGACTTTTAGTTCTTATTAATTATTCAGGTACACTGTATACATAATTTATAAGTTTTTTTAGGAAAAAGATGAACATTTAGAATTACTAGAAGGCATGCTGATAGATTTATTGAAGACGAAATGGAATACGTTCGTGAAGTTTCGATTCTACCGTCAATTCATTCTATTCGCGTGCTACTTCGTAGTATCCTTAGTTTGCTTCACACTAAGACCTGGACCATCTGATCATACTACTAATTCTACTCTGACAAATATGACTTCTACTGGATTGGTCAATGTTATTAACGATACTGAAATCAACGACGGCGATAAGTCAGGTGGGTAGTTTTACATTTATTAAAAAAAAAACTTTTTTATTTTACAAAAACCGATGACAAGGGCAGGACTTTTAGACGTATCTACGACCATCCATGCCGCTGCTCTACCCAATTGCCCCTTCGAATTTCTTCAACCTGTGCATTTCTCGCGTAATGTAGTTTCAACCTTAACGTATACGTGTTGAAGTCAATATCCTATGCAGCTTATAAAAACCTTTGTAAATGACATTACAGACAGTTTTGAAAACTTACGAGCAGTTTTATGGGCGGGATTTGAATCAGCATTCACCACTACATCCGTGCAGCTCCTCTACCAAAGTATAAAAAGTGTGAAATCCTGCTTCCCCTCGTGGAACATGGGGAAAACACATTTCTGTGTCCATTTCACATAGCTGATCAGGCTTTAGAAGAAGAATTGTTTCCCCGGATGCGAACTCAGGACCTCTCGCGTTTAACGCAATGTTAGGCATTATGGTTAACCATTTAGTTACAGGCGTCCTGTCGTTTATAATTTTAGTCATTATTAATTTGTAGGTATATCAATTTTCACATGTCACAACTTATGAAAATAATAAAGTTTTAATATATTTGTTCTATATAATCTCAAGTTAGATTATAATGGCAATAAAATATGGATTTCAGCAAACTGTATACTAGCTTATAACATAACGGAAAAAATAGGAGTGGAAATCTTAAACGCAACGAAGGAAAATGCAAACCGTTGCGGCCAATTTAAAAGCCACCCGAAAGAGAAAGACAAACGTATGTATGTACATATATATTCTGGACACTATACGATGTTTGTTCATCCTTACGAAATACATAACTGCTTATTTTTCAAGTCATTAGGTATTTATTTTGTTATATATTATAATGTAGATGTTAGCTAAGATTTTTTAAATAAAACACTTTAACGGTTAAAAACGCGATATATTTTAGTTCAACTTGTTTGAAAATTATTTTTAACTACTGCCCGACGTTTCGGATGCTCTGTAGCAGCCGTGGTCACGGGAAGACACACACATTCTACCCGTCACCTTACGTTAAAAATAATTTTCAAACAAGTTTAACTAAAATATATCGCGTTTTAAACCGTTAAAGTGTTTTATTCAAATGTGTACTACTCGCGTAAACTACAAATAGTATTAAAGGAGATTTTTTTACAAGTATCGTCAAAATTTTACGCGAGTACATACTTAAATATGACATTTTTAACAGTTTAAAGCGGGAATTATATTTGCGGTAAATATGAGCCTACTTTTGATTTATTTTGAACCACGTCTCAAAGTATTCTAAACTTCAGGTCGTAGTTAGAATAAATCAAAACTATGCTTACCACGCGTTTTAAACCGTTCAAAGTGTCTTAATAAATATTTTTTGTAGTGTCGCCGAAAGAGACGAATATGGAGGGGTGGTGGGAGGATCTCACTGAGGAATGCAGGTTAATGAACTTTGACTCATCGCAAGCAAAGGTAAAATAATGCCAGTAGTTTACATTTAAATAAATCAATTTTAATGGTTTAAAATACGAAATATACTTTATTTTTCACTACGAACTTACGTTTCAGATGCTTTGCAGCAGCCATAGTTAAAATTAACTTACTTAATATATTTCGAGTTTTAAACGATTTTTAGTGTTTTTCTTTTAGGCAAAGTAATTAAAGATTTAATAAAAAATATAACAATTCAAAATCTATTTAGATTAAAGGGGGGGACGTAAACCGGCATGCACAGTTTTCCGTGCTCTAACGTGTTGAAAAAAAAATCGATAGATGTAATCGTATTTTTTTTTACCAATATTTTAAATTGATATAAGGCCACCGTGTGTAAAATGTTTTTTTTTTAATATTTTTCCCAGGTCCGCATATGCACCGAGTTGATGCTATGGGTTGGGGCACTGATTTACATCGGCGCCGCACTGAGGGAAGCCAGATTTTTGGGACTGAAAATGTTCTTCGAAAACCTGAGTACGGTGCCATCTCGGTATGTTTATAATAAATACTATATTATTATATATATTATTATAATAAATACTCTTTGGTGATAAAATTTAAGATGTTTTCCTTTTTCGTTTGTTTCCATAAATGGACTTGACCGGTTTAAAACGAAAAATATTTTTTCATGTTCATTTTAAATCAGATCATATTTAAAGTAATGAATTACGTATTTTAAGCCGTCAAAAACGTGCTTTATAATTTTAATTGTTCTTTAATCCGTTTAGGGTGATGTTCCTATTCTCGTGTCTTCTCATGGTGGTATTGCCATCTTTGCGCTTGTGGTGCGCGGATGAGGCAGAAGATCACCTTGCAGTTATCATCATGCTTACCACGGCACCATATTTCTTGTTTTTCTGCCGGTACGTAACGACAATATAACCTCTCAATGATTTAATACGTCTTCAGCTCGAATTCCGGAAAGACAAAAGTTTAGGACAAGTAAAGGCACAGACGTACGTAGGACCGGTGAATTAGACAGACAGACAAAAATTTGTCTGCTCCACAGGGGAAATAGTTTTATATAAACTACATACTTTCAAACAATACTTTAACAGTTTCCACTAAAGATTAATTAATTAATATTTTTAAAGATTGTTACCCTATCATTGCAAAAATTGTGTGAGATCCTAAGTTCGAATCGCGGGAAGATATTAATATTATTTGGATGGGCAGAGCACAAAGGTCTGATCATTGATCAGACCAGACCAGTAGTTGATCAGTGATCAACTACTTGTATATAAATTTGTTCATGATTTTATATGAAATAATTTTTGTAAAATAGCCACAACTCATTTTATTTGTTTACAATAAACATTGCAGGGGTTTCAAAACAGTGGGACCGTTCGTGGTGATGATATATAGAATGGTGATGGGGGATCTATTGCGATTCGTTTGTATTTACCTCGTGTTTGTCATGGGTTTCTCACAGGGTAAGTTTTTCAGAATAACTGTGTATTGCTCATATATTTTCTTTTAAATTGAATTTTACAAGACCTATTCAAAATTGTGACGTTACGATCTTTAATGCTTATGACTTCATTGTTATGCTATGTATATAGAGGAACATGCATTAAAACAATTTCGTATGACAATAGTAGTACAGATGCAAAAAAACTGCGTCAAATACCATATATTCTAGGTTCGATACTCTTCTGAGTGGAATATTTTTTTAAATAATTTTAGATTTTTGGGCTTAACTCGTGAATATTGAGACAAAATCAAAGAAAATGCAGACTTTCATCAGAAAGAAGTATTGATTGTATTTTATAAATTACTTTTAACAGTTTAGAATGCGAAATTTAATTAATATTCTAAAAATTATCCGTCGGGTCACCGTTATACAAAGAACGAACGAAATTATTTCTATGCAGTTTACGCACATATACACAAATACTTTAACGTGAAATACGTCCCTGTGATCACGACTGCAAAGTATCCGAAACGTCCAGCCGTAGTTAAAATAATTTTGAAATAACTTTAACTTATATATTTCGCGATTAAAACCGTTTATAAGTAAGTTCAGCTTATAAATTATGCGTTTTAAACCGTTCAAGTGTTTTATTTAAATGAATGAATTATGTCGCGTTTTAAACTGTTAAAAGATTTTTTTTGTACACATGTAACTAAATAACATTTCTTGGTTGTCGTTTGCAGCATATTACATTATTTTTCTGTCGTTCGACAATCCGAACACCCCAGACGGAGTTGACGATTCCGTGTCGAATCCAATGCCTTCGCCCATGGAGAGCATCATGGCCATGTTTCTAATGTCCCTTACTTCTTTCTCGGATTACTTCAGCGCCTTCGACAGGACCGCTCATGAGGTTGAGGCGAAGGTAAGATTATATTGTGCCTGTTTGTCTGTTGAAACCCTTTTGTCCCGAGTGGGGCATGGAGTAAACAACTTTTTGCGTCTGTATTGCACGTGATGTCATGATATAAATTAACAAATCGATTTTAGATTTTAACAAATTACGACATGGGCGGGACTTGAATCGGCGTCCTGCTGGAGCTGGCATGTAACGAATAGGATGAAGAAATTTCGACGATATTTTTATATCAAAAATCTACTATCAATCATAACGCTGTTTTTGATAACGTTAGTTATTATTTATTTTCTATAAATGCAAAACTGGGTGACAATGTTGGTGAATTTGGTGATTCATCAAAAGGAACAGCTATTATATTGATTGCATAAGACACAAAACCGAATAGCTGTGATAATAACTAAAATAATGCTAGTGAGGCACTTGAGTACTCTAAATTATATTTGGCAGGGTAATGCTAAATTCGGTTAATTTTCGGTTTTAACTGATCGACAAAAATTGAGTAAAATATAAACATACCATTAAAAAAAGGCATTTCAGAATGAAGATAATTGATGCAAATACAACATAAAATATATGTACATACCCGTTCAAAATATTGTCGTTATTTTTATTTTCATTCATAATTCGCTGACATTTTTATGGCTTAGTTTCATTCTAGAACGTTAATTCAACCTCTGCAAGGAGGAAATGGAGAAATGGGTGAAATGGTCAGCTGATGATGGGGACTAATCACCCGGCCTACTATGAGTATCCCCTCATTCTACCCCATCTATTCTAGAAGCCTTTACATTGTACTATTCAATATATTTGATCAATGGTGTAATGTCCATCGAACACCGATTCAGCACAATATTCTTTAATAATAATATTATAACATCGATGTTTTGGTTAATCCCAATTCAACATTTACTACAACACGATGCGTTAACAGTAGATCGATGTAAAACTATATTAATACCTATATATATAGTGAATCGCTCTTCAATACCTTATTACTCCTAGTAGTATCGATTCGTCTAGTAGTATCGTTTAATATAATTACCTCTTTATTTGGCATCAATTTCGTACACAACGGTAAATAATATTGTTTACTTACATTTAGGATATACGATCCAAATTCGGTTTCGGTTCGAGTCACATTCGGTCCATCTCTAGTAGGTATTGTACGTTGACAAATCGTTATGATTTTGAAAGACTCAAAAGCACAGATCTCACAACCAGCCTATTCATCGATTCCAGTACCAGCTATCATTAAAATGCCATTGAATGCGTGTTAAAAGTCAAAGGTTTTGGTGTTGCCTCAACAAATTGTACCACGACGTGTTAACAAGATCGTAACAAAAGAAAGGCCTTCGTGAAGCTATCTATAGTCTATACATTTTATGACATGTGAATTTTATAAACGTAATCATTATGATGTTTTGTATGACGTTGTTATACTACAAATATCTAATATTGAATGATACATTTGACAATTGACAACGTATGGGGTAGAAGCCAGTAGGCCAATCCCGCCATTTTTTTTATGAATACAGTTGACAATTGACAACATGCTTTTGTAGATTAAAAGAAGATTAAAGTATAAATATTTATTGGATAACATGTCAACCTACTAAATCTGAATTTTGAAAAAAATAACAATATAATTCTTAAATACTGTTTGTCGTTTACGCGAGTAGTACACATTTAAATAAAACACTTCAACAGTTTTAAACGATATATTATATTGTCTCCCCGTGACCACGGCTGCTGCAAAGCATCCGAAACGTCGGATTAAAATAATTTTCAAAAAAGTTTAACTAAAATATATCGCGTTTTAAACCGTTATAGTGTTTGATTTAAATATGATTCTTATGGCGATTAATGCTGTAAAAAATATGTATTTTGTGCATTTATTTCTGAGATATGAAATTATAATATCAAGGAATTTTCCACTAAACACTTAAATTAAATTACTAAGCAAATAAAGTAGCATACACGATTGTGCTGCATTGTACTCAATTTGTGCTATTATGAGCCGTTCGTAAAAAAATTGAATAATGATTAGGACAATTTTTTTTTAACAAAAATTATTTTTCCTACATCCTAGCACAGTTTTGTTTATCTGGTATAAACTTTGTCCTGCGTTATGTTAAGTTAGAAAAATCCTAGATATTCATGGAATGCACAAAAGTCTACACAATTGAATGTGTGAGTTTAAATATAACGATGAGTACAAGAGGGGGTCGAACCCACGACTAGCAGTGGACCGTGCTCTTCTACCCAATAGAGCAGCATGACAACACGGCAAGTCCAATCTGGATATCATTGAAGTTTTCAATTAAGTATACACTGACCATTTGCGAAATATGGCTTTACGCGTCACATGCCGTCACAATAATTTAATAACTGACATTAAGACCGAATTTCACTTTTCAGCTTCTCTTCGTAATATATATGATCCTAGTAGCGGTACTACTCGTAAACATGTTGATCGCTATGATGGGAAATACGTATCAGAAGATAGCCGAGACGAGAAACGAGTGGCAGAGACAGTGGGCGAGGATAGTGCTGGTGGTGGAGAGAGGGGTTCCACCTGCGCAACGCTTAAAGCAACTGATGACGTATAGCCAGCCAATGGCTAGTGGGAAACGAGCGCTTGTGTTGAGGATAAATCAGAAAGTAAGTCAGAGATAGGTAATCTTCAATAATATAATTAAAAAGTTGTGTCATATTTATATCATTTATAAAAAACGTCTTCAACGGCGTAGTGTTCCTTTTTAATCAATAATTAACTCGAATCACAACACAACTCACAATACTTGGCAAGCTTTATTTGTTCTTTTGTTTTTAATATATATATAAATATATATTTTTTGTACACATAAAAATTAGTGATTGTATACTAGTTGTGACTCTTTTTTCTTATCCGTTACTCACATCACATATACAGCAATATTAACTAATTTTAACTAAATAAAAATTAACAATATAAAAAAAATACCCAGGACGAAGATAAAGAGGAGATGAAGGAAATATTGGAGATGAAACGTACGCACCAACGCATCGTCGCAAAGAGGAAGCAACGCGAGCTGGACACGAAGAACGGTAGACCTGCTGCCCCGGTCGTCAGAAACTATCCTCTCAGGAAGTGAACCTTTCAATTTAAATCTTCTTATTCATTGAAACCTGTTGACAATGTGATATATTAAAATATATTAACTGTGCCAGCGACTTCGACGTCCGCGTAGATTACTTATTTTGGGCGTGAAAAATTATTTCTGCAAACCTCCTTCTCATATTTATAAATTGTAACTGTTATCCACGATCCCGTCCGAGACCCGTTAATCTTGCAAGATAGACATATACTGTTCCAGACTATTATACAATATACAGTATTTTTACTCTTCCTTCGCTCCTATTCATTGCCGCGTGAAATTCTAGTCAACAAAACAGATCCAATCGAACCAGTAGTTCCTGAAATTATCGCGCTCAAACAAACACGAACTCTTTATACATTAACATATTAGTATAAATGACAATTGACATTAAGTGAAATTAAGGCATTTAAAGAAAATGCCTATACTAATTTCGCGCACACTTATATTTACTTAGACCATACAAAATGGAAGAGCAAATAATAATAAACTTAAAACATAGATAGACAATATTTAAAATCTTAACCCCATGTCGAGAAATGTCATCTTTCTATATGTTAATTGTACACGCTTTTAAGGTTATGTCACGAAATCCGAATAAGTAGGTCGATGATGATTTTCGTCCAACATTTGCATAATACAAATTTATCAAATCATTGTGTTTTACGTGCAATAAATTACATGCGAATTGACAAATGTTTGTTTTCACTGATCCGATGTTAAGTGCATCGTTTTTAACGGTTTAAAACGTGAAACAGTGAGGTCAAACATGTCGTTTTTTTTAAGGTTAATTTAATGTTGAATTTTGTTGTCGTATACCATACCACAGATACAACAAAGAGAATTTTTTTTAAAAGCACCTAATAAATATTAAAATAACGCGATGACACGGGCGAGTCACACCCACGACTGTCCACAGCGTTGCGTGCTGTTTGCTCATACATTCACCAAGGAGCTACCATGTCAAAATTTTAGCTTTAATTGTAGCATGATCCCTTTTGATCAAATGCTCGAAGGCGCTGACGCAAAATTTTCATCGCTTTTTTTACTCCTCTGTGCAACCTTACAATAATAATGTGTGGCTAATAATCAAAAGGTCGTAAGTAGTTTTCGATCCCCACCGGGTCCGACATGTTTTAAACAATTCATATTTTTTTGAAACACGTTCGACTTCGTTTGGAAATCTGGATATTATATGAATGGTAGGAATATCTAAATTGAAAAAGTAAGTTTAATCGTGTTTCGGTTTCAGACTGTAGACTTCCAAGTATCCAAAGCCTAAATAGATCGCCGGCGCATCTTGTTAAGATGTTATTTGGCCGGGTGTACTTCACCTTACATCAATAAAATCTCACGCAGTCTGTCTTGTCTACCTAAGGACACTTGGAGATTTTAAGTCGTGAAGAAGAAAGATCTGCATAAAAAATCTGCACCTGTATTGTCACAATAAATAAAGCGAAAGGTCGCTAGCGGTAAATTATTATCTAAGAATATTTGTGTTACGACACATATATACAACTCTGTCCGCTGTCAAAGGTGCAAATTGTGACCGCACAATGTCTATTCATTTTCACTGCTAGTCTGTTACCTAATTGTTTGTCCTAATCCAACTCGGTTACTCTTGAGCAAACGGATAAAATTAGTCCCATGAGGCCCAATTTTACTGACAAATTGTGAAGAAAGTTAACGAATGTTTACTTAGAAACAAAGTCATCCCAAACCTATGAGCAACACTCGTCTTTACTTATAACCTAAGTCTATGCTTTTTAAGTTAAATAAAATAGTTTGAAACGAGAAATTTATTAACTAAGTGATTCGTGATACCTACTACACGTAAAAAACACCACTACGAATTTTAAACTTTTTTGCAAGTTAAAACGTTTAGTTCTTTACTAACAAATCAGCAGTCTCCCCGTGACCACGGCTGCTGCTAAGCACCCGAAACGTCAGGCTGTGGTTAAAATTACTTTCAAATAAGTATATAATATATATCGCGTTTAAAACCGTTAAAGTGTTTTATTTAAATATGTACTACTCACGTAAACTACAAACAGTATTTGCTAATCATTAAACATATTATACAATACAATAGGAACGAAACATTTTATCTTTTCCTAAGATACGAACTAAAGACCTTTCGGGCTTACAGGAATGTTTTTAAGTTACGAAGGCGGCTTTAAACATAACTTCTTCGATGAACTCGATATAAAAGTCTGTTTTAACCAACGGTTAAACATTGATCAATCGTGTCTCGATGATATTGGACCTAAGAAGACACCTCTTTGAATGCTTTTCGCAACTATTCCTCTGTTCTACGATTGACAAAGTCATTGATCAAATAAACATATTCTTTCATGGCCAATGCAATTTAACGAAAGAGTTACAAATGCTATGAATAGCGTCAGTACTCGATATTGTCTCTAATGATAGGTCACGGTTAACGAAATACACCATAATACCTCTTACATACTAGCATAGTTTGAGATGTGGCTTAAGTTAATTATACTTGAGTTTTAAACATAATATAATTAAGACATTTTAATTTTCTGATTATATATTTTTTTCAGATCACAGCAATTATGATATCCCATAGTTACGGTACGCTGTTAGTTATGTATATATAGTATTTTTAAATCTAAAATAAAGTAAGTTTTGTTACTTGTAAGTTGTTTCCTTACGTTCGTAAGTAATTTAAATTTAAGTCGAGTTTATTTTTAAATTATTATGAGATAAATATTTTTCGTCTATAATTTTGGATCTGATCACAGTTCTAGAATAAAAAAAAAGCTTTAAAATAGTCTAAATTAAGGCTTTGAGTATCCTATATGAATTTTTGAGAAATACAAAAACGAAAAGTACATCTTTAAAGATTGAGCATACTTTAGACATTTATTATACATATTAATAGTTATATGTTTTAAAAATGTAACATTGTTAGGTGCAAGAAACATAATCTATACTTAAGTTGATGGAAAATTTACTAACGTACGATATTTAGTATAAAATGTAGCAGCCAATAGCAGACTTTAAAAAAAAGCTTAAACGGTTTAAAAAGCGACATATCCTGTACCTATAAACTACTGTTTATTCTATTAATGACTATTAAATATATTCGCGTTTTAAACCGTTGGTGTTTCATTTAAACGTGTATGCGTAAACTACAGACGGCAGACTTTAAATCAAACATTTTATAATACTAACGGTAAGTTTAAATAAAATAAACCAACAAAGCAACAACATCTAAATGGTAAGAATAACAAACGGCAGAATAATGTAACGTCCAAAAAATTCTGTGACGCGCCCAACAGTTTTTGCAACACGAGATTCGTCTCTCGTGTTCTCGTGGTGGTGGCTATATAACTGGCCAGTTAATATAGTCTCTGCACACTGACCTAGCACCGTCCACCATGAGAGTGGTAAGTTAAGTGAAATTCTGTACTTTGTGTCAATATTTATCGTTTAGACAACTCTCGTTCGAGAATAGATAATGATCATAGTTAGGCTTTGTGTCGTGTTGTCACTGTTTCATAGTGAAAGATATTGTTGTATCGTTAAATTATTATATCTCATTAATTATTGTTTGTATATGATATAGGTAAACGGGAAAATTTATAAATATTGAATGGTTAAAAGTTTTTGTAAAAAACGTCTTACTTAGTAACTAACTACGCAATTACATTTGTTATATTTTTCAGGTAATAATTCTGTCAGTGGTCGCGGCCATTGCCGCTGAAGCACCTTACCACCTCCCACAACCAGGTCCCCAAGCACCATCATTTAATTTGCCCGGCCCTCAACCTTTCCCGCAATTTAACCAACAACAGCAATCAAGTAGTGGCTACCATTATCAACAACCGCAACCAAGACCCCAGTACGTGCCACAACCACAACCTTTCCCACAACCGGTGCCCCAGCCCCAGCCCCAGCCTCAGCCTCAACCGCAACCACAGCCATCATATGGAGTTCCTCAACCACAACCCCAACCTTTTTACCCTCAACCCCAACCCCAACCCCAACCCCAACCATTTTATCCACAACCGCAACCGCAGCCAATAGCTCCTCTGCCTCAACCCATAGCTCCTTTGCCTCAACCCCTTGTCCCTGTGCCCCAACCTCAGTCATCATACGGTGTTCCCCAACCACAACCACAACCGATTTTCCCCCAACCTCAACCCCAACCATCATATCCCATCGCTCCTCAGCCTCAGCCTCAGCCCCAGCCCCAGCCACAGCCTCAGCCATCTTACAACTACCCACAACCACAGCCACAACCGCAACCATCATACAATTACCCACAACCACAACCGATTGCTCCCCAACCGATCCAGCCCCTTCCACAACCTCTACCCAACTTCAACCAGCAACCAAATTCCGGATACTCATACCAGCAGCCAGCTGCTCCACTGCCACCATCCTTCATACTACAATCTCAGCAGTCCGGCCAGAGCGCTCTATCAAGCTATCAAGCTGACTCCAACCAATACAATAACGCGCAATCCCCAGGATCTAGTTACCAAGCTGATTTGAGTCAGTACAACTCACCACAGCAACAGCAAACGCATAGAGAAGCCCTGGACGACCAAGTAGTGAGCCGTGTGCAAAGTATCATCAGGGACAACGAACATTCGAGTGCAAGAGACAAGGGTTACTTGTCGTTGGTATCCGGAGTCAGTCTGGAGAATGCTCAGCCCAGTATAGAAATCTCATCCTTCGTCCAGAACTCTCCAATACAATCAGCGTCCGTCCAGAGCTCTAGTAGCTCTTCCCAAATATCCTCAAGCCAGTCCATCGATTCAGGCTTTGGCTTTGTGCCCCAAAATAAACCAGCTTTATCCTACGGTGTCCCAAATTAATCGAATAACAAAATAATTTTGTAAATAAATAGACTTTAAGTTGTTAATAAAGTATTATTACAATAAAACAGTCAATTTTATTACATACATGATTGAATCGAATCTAACAAAATTGTGGCGTAAGTTTGTTCAGCTTTCATTAATTTTCTCCGGGCATATAATTCTCATGAACAGTGGATATTGTGTCGTAGGCTAAAATCATAGTATCACATTTAAAAATAATCAATTCAAATAAAACACTTTTAACGGTTTAAAACGCGTAGGAAAATTACAATTTATTTACAACTACTGCCCGCAGTTTCTGGGTTTCAAATCTACTACCCTAACGCCATCTTTTTTATTTTGTTACTAACGGCACCTGCCATCTTTAGTCCCACCGTGATGTCAGCCCTTAGTTAAGGTAAATTGTAAGTAAATTGAGATTGATTTATTTCGCGTTTAAACCGTTAAAACAGTTTTATTTATATATGAACTACTCGCGTTACCTACAGACAATTCTAAGATTAATAAATTTTCTGGCAGTTAGGGTATTAAATTGTATACGTACTAGATGTATGGTACAGTCAGATGTCTGTGTTCCATTAATCTCTTTTACAATGGTCTTTTCTTTCGATTCTTTCGTCTCTTCCTTTTGCACCGTCATACAGTTAGGTCGACACTCCGCGGATTTTTTCAATTCGCTTGTATTTTCATTCTCGTTAACACTCTGTTGCTGATAAATTCAAAAATAGCATATTAGTAGTCGTAAGAAATGTGTTAGGTAACCTGTTACAATTTATTGTACCCACAGCTCGGCGGCTGCGATGTTTTGCAGCAGCCGTGATTACGGGCAAAATGAATAACAGTTAAAATAAATTTGAAAATACATTTCGCGTTTCAAACCGTAAAAAAACTATCTGTACTACTCGGGTAAACTATAGACAAAACTACCATTTGTTGTTAGTCTAGTTATTATAATCATTCAATGTCAACGCGAGACTAATCGACACGAGACGGACTTGAACCGGCATCGATAGGATCCGTGCTGCTGCTCTAACTATTTTAGCGAAAGCTCAACTGGTTAACATTTTTTTAAACAAATATTAAAAACAACTTTTAGAAAGCGAATTATATTAGCTACTGTATTTTATCATTGTGTTATTTTTTCATGGTTAGTATAATTCGCGTTTTAAACTGTTAAAAGTATTTTAATAATAAAAATTTAAATCTCAAAATTCACCACTGGAATTGGAGGGGCTCGCAAAGGAATTGCGTTATTATTTTTAATAGAAATAGAAGTGTTGTTCGGCTGAATTTTAATCTGTGGATTGTTTATTTTGCACTGGCAACACTCATCGGCTTTTGAAATGTTTTCCTTGGAGCATTGACAGGACATATCGTTGATTTGAGGCGCTGGATCCTTGTTTGCCTAATCGAAAAGGATATTGTTAGACTATGTACATACAAATTGTGTGTTTCATTCAATTAAAATCATACGCAGATTTTAATGGCAAAATTATTATATATTCACACATAAGGAGAATTTAACTAGATGGAAATCTAATCGAAAAACTAACGTTGACCTTATTAAAATATATATTATATCAAGTAAAAATCGATTCGAAAAATATTTTAACGACAGCAGCAGGAATTGAACCCGCATCCACAGCGTATTAGCACGTGTCCTTATTTCAATTGTTAAGCAGTTTGTTTAGCCACAGATCTTGGGTTCGAATTTTCAGAGCAACAATTCAATGTTTCGGTCGGGCAGTGCAAATCTGCAGCGACATAGCAGTGAAACGGTCGAAAAATGTGTTCGTCCCATGCCCCACAATAAGAATGAAATGTCTCATTAATGCTTAAGTTTATTAAACTGTTTGTTATTATTGTAAAAACGTAAGTATGACACAAGTTAACGCGAGAGTATTGTTATCTGAGCAACAAAAACTTTGTACCAAAGTGATATTTCAATGTTTAACTCAAAGTAACTTACACCTTCAACAAGGGTTGCAATTATTTTGTTAGTTTCACCATATCGCTTTTCTTCCTTGACTTCTTTTTTAGCTTCATTGTTTTTTGTATCATATGGGATTACACACACTTCCTTCTCAACCAGAATACTTGTAAGGCTTTGCGATTTTCTTTTAATGTTCTTATTTTCCAGAGAATTCGTCGTACAATTTGTACAACACGAGGTTTCTCTAAAACCACCATAGTACATAAACCTTTAAGAATTTAGCGTTAGGAAATAGTTGTTGAAAATATATTTACTAATATATAAAGCTGAAGAGTTCCTTCGTTTGAACGGGCTAATCTCAGGAACTACTGGTTCGAATTTTTCGAAAAAATATTTTTTCTTGGTTAGAGCATATATACGGCTTTACGCTATAATCCAATGCGACCAATAGATGCAAAGAAATAGTGCGAATTAGATACCCAAAAATATGTATGAACGAATTAGTCTTCGGTAAATTGTTTTACAAAAGTATCTGCGACAGTATATCTTTTTAGTTTAACTAGTGAGAACGCGTGGGCTAAGGAGAAGGTTTGCAAAAACAAATTTTGACGCCCAGAATAACAATTATATAAATATTTTTTACCTCTGGCAACATTCGGAAGTCGTACGAGAAACATGTTTCGGATGAAGAAGCACTTCAAAGCTCTTATTTGATCTGAAAATACATTTAGTGACGTCATCATTATCAGACGATAATATAAAAATAACAGATCCGATACGAATTAACAGACAGGTTCTTTGGAGCAGTGGTAGAACGCCTAGCCTTGATATTAACAACAGATTGTCGTTCGATTCCTATAGAGTCTAGCATGGTTATAAAAAACTGGACTTGGCATCGGACATCTTATTTCATGTTTTATATTTTTGGAAATTACTATGGTTTACGATTTTTTCTCTTGTCATGCAAAATTAAATGACATACGATTTTCTAAGTATACTTACCTCAAAGAAGCATCTTTGCTATTTGTAAGCTTCTGGTGCCGTTTTCGTGGACTAAAATTTAAAAATAAATACTTTAAACTCATATTAAGTTTGTAAACTTTATTATTTTTTATATGTTGTTGCACATGAAAGCACTATATAATTTAAAAATCGAAAATAAATGGAATAAATTTTTGACTTGAACCGGCATCGTCAGCGTTCCGTGCTGTTGCTCTATCATTTGAGCTACCGAGTTCTACACCTCTTCGTCTAATTTTTTCAACTTATTGATACATGCACCTATCGCGCAATGTAATTTCAACCTTAACACTTGCATATTACTAAATTATTATTTTCGATTTTAAATTATGTATATTAAATTATTTTAGTAACTAACCTCTTTTGTCTCTTAAACTTCCTTCCACCGTAAGATTCACACGGAAAACTGAAAATACAACAAAGATAAGAATATAATTCTAACTATTCCAATAAATCGGGAGCGTCAAATATTTAACAAAAATAACGGTTCAATACAATTCGTTTTAACGGTTTAAATGCTAAGTATATTAGATATTTAACTACGGTTCGTCGTAAAATATACATATTTATAAAATAAATTAACGAACAAATTTCGCATGTTTAACAGTTTAAATTGTTTTATTACAATGTGTACTACTCACATAAACTACAGATAATACTTAATTTATTTTTACGCGAATTTGACAGAAGTATGACGAACTAATATGCTTTGCGTTTTAAACCGTTAAAAGTGTTTTATTTAAGGCGCACATAATATGTCTAATATAAAATCCGTATATTTATTTGTTAGTTATAGAATGTTTTAACATACTTATCAGAAATGGTTTCAAACTGCATTGTCGATGTTTGTTTCATAGTGTACCTCGTTCTCTGTTGTCTATTGTCACGAAGATATTCTCTATACTTTTCGTCTAACCACAGCGCAAACCCTCTTACATCTGGAGCATCCGTGCTCATTGATTCTGTTCTCTTGTTCGGGTGACGTTCCTGAAATAATTAAACTTTTATATTATTTTAAACCATCTCCGTAACTGAATGGTTGACGTGCATATGAAGAAAACACACGAGGTTCAGAGTTCGAATCCCCGAGGAACAATAAACTATTACGATCGGCATAATTCTTATCATCTAGTATTTTATGCGAGTATTAATAATTTAAAAACAATTTTAATGGTTCAAAAATGAAATATTTATAATTGATTTAAACTACGGCCCGACGTTTTGGTTTTGTTTCAAACCGGCAAAAGTGTTTTAATAATCTTAATAGATACATTAATTAGTAAAACGGACACAGCCACATGTGCCTACCCCATGCCCCGCATAGGGAAATGAAAACAGGAGAAGGTGAAGTGATAAATTTACCTGTGTGTACCAACGGAAAGCTTTTACAAAGCAATTAGGATTACGTTTTCTGTTTTCTCTACTTTGTTGTCCATGGTTTGGCTAAGTGTGAAATATTTTATGTAATATAAGTTATTTTCTATGAATAGATATTGAACAAGTCGCCCACTATGGATAATATAGGAGAAATAACGGCTCTATGCTCAAGAACCAGTAAAACAGCTACTTATTAGTGAAAAACATTTTTTTTTGTTATATTTTTTACCGGCTCACTAAGACATAGCTTTAGAATAAGTTACGATTGGAAGTGCGATAGTCTAAGGTTCGAATTTTAAGAAATCGATAGCGGTGACCGTGGAACTACCTATTTTGGCTATAAATATAACAGATAAGTGAAATTATATAGTGGAACTATATACGCCGCTATAGTGGAACTATAGCGTCCCATTCTAAGTGCAGGATTGGACATCTGGATCTGGATGAAAAATTAGAACTTTGTCACGGCCTGGACTTGAACCAGCTTCCACAGCGGTCTGTGCTGCTCTAACCAATTGAGATACCGAGTCCGTAAATGAAAGATGTACCATGTACATATATTATTACTAACCACATGTGTATAATAAACTAGTGGTTTCATAGCCCACGGTGTACCATAATTAAATTCGTAAAAACAATCTTCTATATTTTCATCGCTAGACGAGGAAAAAGGTACATCTGCCATTATTTATGAAAAGCACACGCTGTAATTTACACTTAAATAAAATAATTTCTAATACACTGAAAAATAGGAATTCTGTGTGGAAAGATTGACGTTAGAATTGACTGTTGCGGCCATGTTGGTATGGCTGTAATAGTTTTTATCTGTTGGTATTTCTACAGATTAAAACTGTTTGATAAAAAAACTACAGAGTAAAAATTTACTTTTTCATTTATACCATTGGAGCGGTTAATTATTAGATCTATAAATGTAAGTTTTCAATAGTAAATATTTGAATAAACACACACTTTTAACAGTTTAAATCGCGATGTGTATATGTTCTACGTACTGATACCGACTATAGCACAATGGTTAACATTGCGTTAAACACGAGAGGTACGGGGCTCGAACTACGAGAAACCAAACAATTTCGGTCGGGCAGGGCACAGAAGTTTGATCAACTACTTGTGTGTGATGAAATAGATTGGTAAAAAGCGGTATATCACTTTTTAAGAGATTTTCTTCCTACTTAAAAAGTCAGGCAAAAATAAATGATTATTGAATGTAAGGTGTCTTATAAATTATTTATAATGAGTAGAAACTAATTGGCCAGCTTTACAGGGCATTTGATGGCATCATAATTAATTAAAGTAATGATGCATTATAATTATGAAATCGAACGCCGCGGTGCCATCAAACATTGAACCTGGAATCGGCTATATCTGCGTATTTTATTTCCTATACTTTGTCTAATATAGAATGATAAATTCCATAATGTGCAAAAGGAATAGAGTAGATAAATTGAATTTTAATAATCTATACTAATATTATAAATGCGAAACTAACTCTGTCTATCCGTCAGTCTGTCTGTTCGGCTTTAACTCCGAAACTACTGAATTGATTTAAATGAAATTTGGTACACAGATATTTGAGAGCCTGAGAAAGGACATAGGCTAGACTAGACTTTTTAATGCCAATAAAATGTTACGTTACGTAAGGGGAGACAATCCGAGTTGGAAAACCTAATTCCGTAAGGGGGGGAATGGGGTAATGGGTAATATGTGTCAGGGACATTATCCCAATGTAGCTGAGTCATTTCTGTTTCAGCTATATTGGTGTATTTAAGTAAAATATACATTTAGTTTGTATCTAATTCTCCCTATATTGTGTTTGTTAAAATAGGTTTATTTGTAAATGTTGTGTTTCTGAATAAACCTATTTAAAATAAAACACGTTAACGTCTTAAAACGAGATATATATCAACTACGGCCCGTCGTTTCGGATGCTTTGCAGCAGCCGTGATTAGCCGTAGATAAAATAATAAAAAAAAATAACTACAATATATCGCGTTTTAAACCGTTAAACTGTTTCAATCAGATGTGTCTTACTCGCGTAAACTACAGACAAACTTATTTCTATTCTATGCAAATGCTTAGCAACAAATGTGGACTCCTAGGCCTTCGAGCAGTGTCCCCAAAATTATAATAATGTTACGGTATTTCAAACATGTCAACCTATATTGGGGAAAGTACACCTAGTTAATCAAATGAGATGATCAATAATTCTTACGAAATTAGGCCTTTACAATGTGTCTTGATACCATGGCCACAGAGATTACAGGTTTTTTATGTAAACTAACGCGTTAATGGGTTTCGTCAATTTGTTAATATTTTCGTGTGTTTTAGGCTATGCAACGGCCTATACGAACCACCATTACACAATATCGAAACTCGGCAACGACGAAGAGAGGCGTGAGTTTGACGTATACATAACGATCGAGTTTAAATAAAATGCTTTAACGGTTTAAAACGCGGAACTGTATTAGTTTAACTCATTTGAAAGTTATTTAAATTACGGCCCGACGTTTCTGACGCTTTACAGCAGTCGTAGTCTCGGGGAGTAAACCGGTAAAGTGGTTTTATTTAAATGTGTACTACTCGTGTAAACTATAGACAGTATTTAATTATTCAATTTGGTAGATGTTATTTGTTTATCTGATAGAAGGGTACAGACAAGCATAGGGATCACTTCATGGGGTAAATAACCCTGATAAACAACATCTATGCAAGATGTGTTGCCGATCTATCTTCACTTTCGAAATTCGACTGAAACCGGAACTGTTTAGATTGAAAATTTTAATGACACGGGTGGTATTCGAGCTCAGAACTTCAGTGCCTTGTTGCTCCTACCCCCTGAGCGAGGTAGGGCCAGTACAAAGTAGTTCAATTGCTAAGAGCAAGAGTCATCGTCAATACAGTCCACATTATTACATTTTAATGGCCACGTCGGTGTAATGGTAATAATCAGCGGGTCGTGGATTCGATTCCCACCGTTTTCATCATATTTGGAATTTTTCTGAAACATTTTTGGACATTTATTGGACTTCGTCTGGAAACCTGAATATTAAATGGTAGAAATATCAAAATTCGGTCCGGTCCTGGTCCACAGATCCCATCGCTGTCCACAGATGATAAAGCCGTCGAACTTAATCGCATTTCGGTTTCAGTCTGTGCATCCGAATATCCAAAGCTAAAGGTCGACAGGGCATCTTGTTTAGATGTTATATGCACTAGGCATATAACATCTAAACACACCTACCATGAAATGAATCCTATGCTTGCCTGTACTCTTATATCATCTTTTTTTAATCTAACTGCATTTCAATTACAATTTTAGAATCAGAGTGAAGCGTTGCCATATAAAGACCGAATGTTTTCAGATTTCACCTGTAAAGAATATGAAGGATCTATAAATAAGCTTGCTCTTATCAAATTTCCATTTAAATTAAAGCAAAAGCTACAACACTTACAGCCAACTCGAACAACCATTTCGCAGGAAACTACAACTGAACTTGGTATGTGACATAATAGTGGTATTTTATATTAGTAATAGTTGTGTCAGCGACTACGTCCTCGTAGATAAGTTATTTAGCCTTATATATTAGTATAGATAATGGTTGCCTAGCATTGTGTCAATAGCGAGAAGTCCTATGTTAGAATCCGGGGGTAAAATAATACATTGTCTCGGTTGGGTAAGGGGCAGAATTCTGATCAACTAACTTAAAACAGTCTCCCCGTGACCACGGCTGCTGCAAAGCATCCGAAACGTGGGGCCGAAGTTAAAAATCATTTTCAAATAAGTTTCACTAATATATCGCGTTTTGAACCGTTAAAGTGTTATATTTAAATGAGTACTACTCGCGTAAACTATAGACATTATTTAACTTAAAACCGACAAATAAATACGAAAAATGTAGTTGTCATTTTTCATAAAATACCTACTGATATATCGAACTGTAACTTAGGAATACTTATTGGTTGAGTAAAAGCGAAAAGTCCACCATGTCTTCCAACGTTTTACATAATAAGAAGGCCAGGGTCTCTGACGAAACCGTAAAGTTTGAATAAGTATTTAATACTTTGCTTAACTCTGGCGAAATCTAAAAGAGATTAGGACGGAGTCTATTCAAAGGAGCATAGCTCAGACCTATTGTAGCTAAGTACAGAGAGAAACGTCAGTTGTGACACAATGTTGAATACACAATAACGGAAGGATAGATTATATGTTGGGTGTCTTCGTCAGCGGGTCTCAATAGGCAGTCTTTTAAAAAAATGTTTATCTATCTAATATAAAAAGTTGAAGAGTTTGTTTGTTTGTCTGAACGAGCTAAACTCAGTTAATATTGGTTTTGGACAGAAAAAAATACTGCTTATAGTTTACGCGAGTAGTACACATTAAAATAAAATACTTTAACGGTTTAAGACGCGATATATTAGTTAAACTTATTTGGAAATGATTTTTAACTTCGGCCCGACGACAGTCTTCCCGTGACCACGGCTGCTGCAAAGCATCCGAAACGTCGGGCCGAAGTTAAAAATCATTTCCAAATAAGTTCAACTGATATATCGCGTTTTAAACCGTTAAAGTGTTTTATTTAAACAGAAAAAAAATTAAAACATTACGCTGCGACCAATACGAGTAAAGAAAGGTAAATGTAAAAAGGCGAAAATTTATTTTACTTCGAGGGGTACCGTTTCGTGCGCTGTAAAAACGGTTCCAGATACCAAAACAATATGTTACATACATATTTTTTAGGTATCTGGAACCGAAGAACTAGAATGATTCCTCTTTAAATTATCTAAAAAATCATTTAAGATTAACTCACAAGATCCGTTTTTGTGGTAATCAAATTTTGGTCGAAACATTTTATATGGCTAATTCAGCTAGTCAAAACCTTTGAATTCACAAAACAGTTGAACTAAAATCTTGTTTTATACCTTTTATGTATGAAAACATTTTATTGCACATGAAGGCACTATATAATTAACCGGCATCGTCAGCTTTCCGTGCTGTTGCTCTAGACGGAAAGCTGACGATGCCGGTTCAAGTCCTGCCCGAGTCGAAAATTTTTTCAATTTATTTTCGATTTTTAAATTACCTTTTATGTAATTGAAAAAAAAAACAAAAATAAACACTAATTAATAAGTAATGTATTTTTTACTTTTCAGATCCTTATCATGTGTTCCAGGAAGATATAAATAATGTTCTATATGGAAATATTTCTTCAAACGCTAAATATAAATACATAGGTAATAATACTATGCTTATAAACATCTACTTTGTTGTCTTTGGACGGAAATCAACAGACTGACATTGAAGTCTAAATTTGATTCGAGTCTTCATTCGATTCGAGTTTATAATTTCCAAATAGATTTAACCAGTATTCATCGCATTTTAAACCGTTCTACCGTAAATTACAGTATTTAACTATTATTTTATCGTAGTATGTATATATGTATATATTATAAATGAATTATAATACTTTCTATTAAACACAGTACGCCAAGAGGAAAAGAAGCGATTAGATCTTCATGAAATTGAGGAACAAAACAAATTCTTACATTATCCCAGTGGAAAAATATTTAGGTACGTAGTTCCTTTTATCCACAGACCGCAGAACTATTTGAATATTATATATGTGCCAAACCATGCAAAGCTTTTAACGCCAATAAGCTATGCATGCCCCATAATCAACGCGTCGCGGCTTCGATTCTCACAAGGAGCAGTATTTAAAATTAACTTTCAGATTGTTCTAAACGAAAACTAATATTTAGTCATTGAATGGCTGCTATTAATAGCTCAATAGCTATTACATATTCTGGCTAGTTTTCGATTTACTAGCTAAATGTAAAAAAGCCGTGAACTGTTATCTAGCTTTGACTGAAACGACTAAAGGTTTCCGATTGTCTATGCCAAAATAGGTCGATAGCGCAACATTTTAGATTTTGTATGCTGCGACGTTTTCACCTATGGTAAACGGCCGGATAGGCGTCGCGAATATAAAAAGCCAGTTAAAGACAGTTTAAATCTAACTGCTTATCCGGGATAGCTATCTTTAACTGACAGTAAGTTATTGAGTTTGGCCGTAAGTGAGTCCCAAGCTTGTCTATCCAAAAGTAGGTACATCGGTAGTTTGTGTCTGTAAATGTTGTTTAAACAAAAGTCGTAATTATCAAAGGGCCGAACTAGTTCAAAACAAAAGCGGAGTCCATTTACCGATGCTGGAATTTCTGCACCGCGGATATTGTAAGCTGCAGGAAACCAAAGACAATATGCAGACCGCAATTAATGCATTTTCCATTTTATTACACGGTGATCTAAAGGATGTCGCTAGATTCTCACCGGATTATATTCTCAGATCGGTAAGGCTGTCTGTTCAATGTCTTATACTTTGCAGCTTAAGAAAATCATTGAAGGTGACATTACAAAGTGTAACGTTTTAATACTTGGCACTATATTAATTAAAAATCGATTGTATTTTTTTATCAATTTGGAGTTTAAATACTGTCTATAGTTTACGCGAGTAGTACACATTTAAATAAAACATTTAAGCCATGACCACGGCTGCTGCAAAACATCCGAAACGTCGGGCTGAAGTTGAAAATCATTGTCAAATAAGTTTAACTAATATATCGCGTTTTAAACCGTTAAAGTGTTTATGTATTAATTAAATACGATTTATGTGTTTTTGGCTAGCCGATACATCAATTGATCAATTTTGTTTTCACCTCCAATTGATTTTTTTTTTAACTAAACTTACTTTTAAATAAAACACTTTTAACGGTTTAAAACGCGTAATATATTAGTTAAATTTATTTACATTATTTAAACTGAATATATTTTAAGTATGGATATGCTCCCCGTTCAGATACTTTGCAGCAGCCGTGGTCACCGTAGGAGATACCTCACGGCTGAAAATGTATTTAAATTAAGAACTAATACACTTCGCGTTTTAAATTGTCAATAGAGTATTATTGACCTTTTTCGAGTAGTTTGCTATGATCATTGGCTTTACTCGCAACTTTGTTTACAATTTATTGAATTTTTAACACTTAGAATTAATTGTTGTTATAATTTCTGCAACTTGCAACTTGCTTCCGTGCAACTTGCTTCCGTGCAACTTGCTTCAACGATAGTGACAAGGAATAATTTAGTCATAAAATGACTGTAAACGAGATTTAAAAGCATATAATGAACTAACGTTTAATCGATTCACTTACTCCTATTGAATTACTATTAGCAACTAAAATATGGTCTTACTGTTTGCTTACAAAAGTATAAAAGTTGATATAAGTGAAAATTTCACCGGCATTTGATTCAGTGTCGAACAATATCCATGATGAAGATTCCTAGGGAGAAATTATCCGCGTTGTGGAATGTAGTCAAAGATAAGAGGAACCCCTTAAATATATCATACGAAACGTTGGCAAAATACAGGCCTTTATTCCGGTATCTTAGTGGAAAGGAAATAGCGAGGTTGAACCTGAGTGACTCTAAAATACTATCGTACATCGGGACGCATGCGGATCTCGACAGGCACCAAGTAAGTGGATTTGAAAATTTATTTCCATTAGTAACCTCCTAATAAGTTTCCTAATTACGCTTTTAGATTGCCAAGTTTGACAGTTAACGCTACTTTGTCATAGACTACAAATACGGTCACGCTTTATTTAAAAATAGAATTATGCAATCAAATAACTAAATACAATAGTTAATATTAAATACTGTCTATAGTTTACGCGAGTAGTACACATTTAAATAAAACACTTTAACGGTTTGAAACGCGATATATTAGTTAAACTTATTTGACAATGAATTAAATTGTTTTATTTAAATAGTAAATATTGTTAAATCGAACAAAATCGAACAAAATCTTACAAAATAGTCGAAAAACACACTGACTAAACTGAATAAGTTGGCTGATGAAGTCAACTAATAAAAGCCATTTATATTTTTATTTCATTACACTTTTGTAAAAATATCTTATTTACTAAATATCGATTTATGTAATTCATATTATATTTGCTAAGCATTTCATCCTATATCAGACAATGTATATATACATTCTTGAAGGTAGGCCTGGTAGCCAGCAAATACATCCGATTGAATGAGAAGTGGTCCGAACCCAGATATTTGAACCTGATGAATAATCTTCTGTGCGGTGTGCCGATGACTTTCATGAGAAAAATACCAGAGAACACATATTTACAGCTGTCGCATCAAGTGATTTCATTTAGTAAAATATTACTATGACATCCAAAAAACGGGTTTACTTAACGGAACGTGTGAATAAACCCAGCCTATAACAAGATGTGCTGTTAACGTATCTTGGCTTTGGATATTCGAAAGTCCACAGGCATGGTCGTCTGTGGACGGTGGTTTGTGACCCTGATAGTTTCTTGTACCCCATTGATCAGATTTTTCAAGCATTGTGTCAACCATTTATAAAATTAGAACAAAACTTGAAGAGTCTAATGTGCGCAGAGATAGCCAAACCTACGACTCGACTCAACCATTAAGCTGCTACCATAAGACCAACTAGTCCGTCAAATATTTAACGCCTCTTGAATATTAGGAGCAATTTTTCATCTACATTACAGGTGTTCTACCATATTCATGCTTGCGATCCACTCCAGCGTCGGTTTTACCTCGCCCTGATGATGCGAACACAGGTGTGACTAAGTTTTATATTAAATTAGAGGTTACGAATCCAAAGCGTCGGGTTTTAATAACTACATACAAACCCGTCATGCGCAAATCTGATTCGCACTTAGCCGTTTTACATTGCAGATCCTTAAATTCGAACCAAGGCTGTCTTCTCTTTAAAACGGTTTTAAAATTGAGAAAAAATTGTATCACTCCATTATAGCGAAGTTAACTCAAACAGGTGTTAGGAAAATCTTATAGTTGGAGTGCTAGTGATGTGGCGCGGCTGGGTCTTCTCCTCGCTGAGGTGTCAGGACCAGCTCTAAGTTCCATAAGTCCAAAGGCCATGGCGGGTATTACTGCTCAGGTAATGAAAGTTACAGTTGTAATTTAAAAAATCGAAAATAAATTGAAAAAAATTTTGACCGGCATCGTCAGCTTTCCGTGCTGTTGCTCTAGACACGTCGACAAACATTAGTTAAACTTATTTTAAATGATTATTAACTTCGGCCCGACGTTTCGGATCCTTGCAGCAGCCGTGGTCACGGGGAGTTAAAAATCATTATTAAATAAGCTTAACTAATATTCGTTTTAAACCGTTAAAGTGTTTTATTTAAAGGTCTCATTTAATTGCATGCTATCTATGGTTAGAATGAGCGTTATTTTTTTTGTACCGACGTCTAAACTACTTGACATAAGACAAGTAGGATTTTAAATATTTTTTCAGGTAATGCTGAAAATGTCTCCGCACAATTTACAATATCTCACTGAAGCACAATTACAGTATATCGGCCAGAAGCCACTTAATATTTTAGCAAGAAAGTTGAAAGGTTACCAAGATCAGCTACAAATATATGGAAACGGGGCAGCTTGTAAGACAACTTCAGTTAATTTATATTACTTGAGTTTTACTATTAGTACAATTATTCTATTAAATGAAAGTATTTGAATCTTTGCTACATCAGTATCAGTATTTTTTTATTAAATAAGTACATCAGTAGATACTGTATTTTTTCTATCGTGGCAAAAGACCACAACAAATATGTGCTAATTCAAACCATTTGTGTTTGCAACGATTTACAGCGATCGTGTATGAGTGGGACCTCTACCTTTTATTGTCGTTGACTTTGCTGACATCCCATCCCTATGTAAATTTCAAACAAAATTGTGTGTTTGCTTACAAAAAATCTAAAGGAAAAAAATATAGTTACTGTATGGGGAAATTGAAGCCAAAAAGCCGTTCTTACACAAAAAATAATTCTTACACAAATACATTTTCGCCTAAGTTAATTACGCAATTTTATTTTCCTCATTGAACGTCATATTTTTAATTATTAGGCCACTCTGCCTCTAGCAGTCACAATTAATAAAAACATGAAACTTTATAAAATTTTATTACCGTTATAATAAATGGAAGGCCTTTAATTTCCCCAATGAAGGTAATTGAACTGTATATTGCCCGTTTGGATCGCGTCTAGCTTCTTCTACCTGAGGAAAGGAAAGATTGATTTATCAAAAATAAAACTATTAAAAAATAAACAAACAAACTCGTCGAGTCGTACTTAGACATAAATCAATTTATATATAACACTGGCTTAGTATTATTTATAGGTAGTTTATACGCTACGTAACATTTAACGCTAAATATATTAGTTAACATATTCTCCATTCTCAGCAGCTGTGGTCCCCCCGCGACCACGACTGCTACAAAGCCGAAACGTCGGGCCTTGGCTTAAATGAAAATACTTTACGATTTAGATCTTTAAATGTGTTTTACTGAAATTATGAAACAGACGTTTTCATTTAAAAAAAGTGTTAAATCGAATGAATTGCGTATATCATCTTAGAGCAGAATTTACACTTACAATAACATCACACCAATCAGTTTGCGTATACTGACTAGAATTAGGTAATATAAGAATTTCTGTATTTTCAGTTGTTACAGCATTTTTGATATATTTCATAGCACATGATAGATTTTCTGTCGTCGATTTGAAAGATTCAATAACTGTTGGATTGTCTATCGATATAGATACTTTGTGTTCCTTGATATCCGTTTTACTACAATTCATACTATCTTCAGCTTGAATGGCGCTAGTTTCATTAATTGGATTGTCTAATTGACATCCTTCTCGACCATCTCTCCATTTCTCTTCTTTTTCTTTTGGATGTGACTTCAAATCGCTAGTATTGTCGCTGATCTTAGAATTTCCATTAGACCTTTGATCATTGCTGCAAATAAACATCTTATTAAATAAAATATGGTATGTATTTATTAGCAAACTGTTCTATGTTCTATAGACCATATATATTTGTTATCTGAAAAGACAATTGTAATATTAAATATATTGTATTATTAAAAAAAAACACTTTAACGGTTGTAACGCGATATGTATTAGTTAAACTTATTTGAAAATTATTTTTAACTTCGGCTCGACGTTTCGCATGCTTTGCAGCAGTTAAAGTGTTTTATTCAAAGGTGAACTACTCGCGTAAACTACAGACATTATTAAGAGTACTTAAAAAAGACGCAATCAAACAAAACAACAGTCTAAACAAGTAACAGAAAAAGGAATTAAAAACGTTACCTTTCTGAGTAAATTATGTCTTTAGCCGGCACCAAAATGAAGTAATCTTGAGGTCTTCCCGGACACGTTAGAAAAGTCTTCCCGAAATCAAATTGATGGGAGCTACAAGAACAGCGCACGACTACAATATTTCTACTGCAATTATGGCAACAAGTATTTCCATTAACAGATTTAGAAGTGTCAAGTGTTTTAACTGACATTTCTTCATTTCTAAAGCCTTCTTTATCAACGTTTGCCTGAATTTTAACTAAAGAACCTTCCGTCGATTTTAAGCTTAGGCTTTTACTGGATATCTCATTCTCAGTTATAGCGTTGAGTTTGAAATTTTTAACTTCTATACTGAGATTCAAATTGAAACTGCAATCGTTTGTTTGAGTTTGCTGTGGTTTTTCGTTTAAAGAGACATAACTTTTTTGCGTGCTCGCATCCCTAATCGAGAGCTGGGATTCCTTCCTCTTCAATTTGCCATCAAGAGCACTACAATGTTCCCTTACAACGGTATTAGATAAGCTATCACTAACTTCAATGTACTTGATGGAATTGTTCTTTGTCGCCATTTCTTTGTCTACATCAACAAATATTGAGGCAGTTTCGCTCTCAGAGTTTTTGTATACGTTATTATTACTCTGAACTACCTTTTCATTCTTTTCCACTATAAAATCTGAGCTGTAGCTATTTCTTTTAGTATCAGCAATTATGTTTTCTTGAGTTTTAGTAGAGGGACCCACATTTTCATCAGGCGTTTGTTTTTTAGCCGATTCAGATGATTCTGTTTCAAGAATAGCGTCAATTATTGGTGTTTGTTTAGGTGTTAAAGACTGTTTTATAACGGACTTATTGATCACGCTTATATTTTTCAGAAGTGAACTGTCCCTTTTAGAGGACGTGTCTGATAGTTTCCCTGTATTATTCACTTTTCTGAGAATAGTTTTGGTGCTTAAAAGTTTCCTTTTTTCTACGGGATCCTTGGATTTAGTAGAAATTCCTGTTAATCTTGGTGATGATGTAAGTTTAGATTTCGCTGCAGAATTAGGCTTGCGAGTTATTCTGTCTCTTGTGACCTGAAATGTACATATTACTATGAGATAGGGAAAATTTTGGACGAATAAATTAATATTCTTATGATAATATAAAAAAGACAAGGTAGTGATAACTTACAGCGGCTCCAGAATTATCTTTCTGCATTGAATTGTTAGTTGCAGCTATTATTTCAAAATTTCCACTGACATGAATATTTTCTACGAGCAGAAATAAAATCTTATAAGATCAAAGAAACAGATCTTTGATTTACCTTTTGTTACTTACCTTGGGGAGTACTTTTCGCCGAATTTATCTTCTCCTGTCTTCTTTCCCATGATCTACAATAATCATAATTTTATTTATATAATATATATTCAAATTATATCTGAAGTTTGATCTATTTTAAACGAGTTAAAATGCAGTATACTCTATTACTAACTACTATGAACTTATGTTCCGGTTACGTTCTCCATGACCGAACGTGTTATTTTTTATAATAAAGAATAGGCTGTGTTTCAACTGGTTTAAAATAGTTTTTAAACATATCTGCCATATTTTTAAATTCGTAACCCTCTATGAAAGTAAACCATTTCGTTATGAATCGCGTTTCGGCAACTGACTTTCAATTTAAATTAGTACAAATTATTTCAGCTTAAGTTATTATATGTGTTAAAAGTCGGTCATCCCAGAATTTCAGGGTTCCGTACCCAAATTTGATATGTAGTTCTGTCGCCTCTAAGAAAACAAAGACTAAAATAAATATAATAATTGATACTTAAGGTGTAGGTAGTAGGAAATCTGTAAACCTACTCAATGTTACGGAACCCGACTACGCGAATCCAACTCACAGTTGACCAGTATTTTTAAATGTCTAGATTTACCTTGTAGCCTTTACGAGGTACTTGTTGTATCCAGATTGTAAAAAGGGATCTGGTGGTGTGACAGCAACATAGGTCCCATCATTGTGAAGCTCCAATGGTCCACCAACTCTTTGACCTTCTATTGTGAAGAGCTCTATCTTTGAATGTCTAAACGATATTAAAATTTTGAGAGGCTTGCCCAATGGTAACAATGGTAAGGCTATTAATCAATAGTGGGTTCGATTTCTTTCTGATCCAACATCTTTCTAATTAATTTACTATATTTCTAAAACACATTGGATACTGTCTATAGTTTACGCGAGTAGTACACATTTAAATCAAAACACTTTAACGGTTTAAAACGCGATATATTAGTTGCTGCTGCTGCAAAGCATCCGAAACGTCGGGCCGAAGTTAAAAATAATTTTCAAATAAGTTTAACTAATATATCGCGTTTTAAACCGTTAAAGTGTTTTATTTAAAAGCATATTGGACTTCGACTAGACAACCTACATATTGGATGGAGGAAGAAAAATTCTGTCCGGGTCACGAACTACCGTACTCATATAAAAAACCCGTGAAGCTTAATGGCGTTTCGGCTCCAGTCTGTGGATTGAAAATAGGTGGATATCGCATCTTGTTAAAATGTTATATGGCTGTCTGTATTATAAACAAATATAACTTTGTCGGTGTCTGTCTTGTGTGTCAACTAACTAACAGCTATTATAAAACATACATAGAAATTTCCTACTGGATTCCATAAACCAATATAGTACTTACGTGGAGCCATATTGGGAATGAGCGAGGAAGTTGATCGTGGATTCCCAGAACTTCAAATCATCTGAGCAAAGATGATACTTCCTGGGTGGAGAATGCTGTTGGCCGTTGGAAAAGATAAATATATCCAAAGCATTCCAATCCCGTAGGCCGTCTGGTATTCTTGCTTCAACCATTCCGAAGTCGCGAGTAACCATCAAGTAATTTTAAAATACCACAAGCCACAATTTTGTGAACATAGCACAATTTTTATCACAGAAATTTTAATAAATCTAGAATAATATTATTTTCAGCGTCAGACATTCTTAGAGACACTACACACTAGCGTCGTTCGAGCGTCGTGTCAGTACAGTCGCGTACACAACAATCCTTCAATGAGTCTTATATTTTTCAATATTATATGTAAAAACGTTTTCAAAGCTTTATATTCGTTAAAAAATATATTTTTATTTCTTTGCCTACAATATAATACTTAGTGATAGCTTTCTCTTTTTTACTATCCATTAAAAATTTATCAAACTCTTGCTTTCAAGACATTTTTATATCAAAATATTTATTAAAAGTTTGTTGAATTCGATTGTACTTTCACAAGAAAACGTGACGCTTAAACGACGTCAACGCTCAAAAAACGCCAGTGTCTGGAGTCTCTTAAGCAACGGCAAGCTCCTTCAAAATTAATGTCTTGAAGACGTCACTCAAAGTTACAGACGAAGTTTTCAACACAGTTATATATTGTATTTTTTATGTTCTTTGATCCATAACAGAGAACATTTTTTTTATTTATTGTCTGTAGTTTACGCGAGCAACATTTTAATAAGACACTATTAACGGTTCAAAATGTGAAATACATGCCATGTGTTTAACAAAACGTCGTGCCGAAGTAAATTAGTTGAGTAATATATTTCGCATTTTAAACCGTTAGAAGTTTTTATTCTCACATATTATTGGATCTGTTCGCGATATAAACGGTAAGAAATTTTTATAAACCACGCTAATGTTAGGTGTCTCTTGGAATGAAAATAATTTGTTTAGAAAAATTTGCGTCTTAGCTATGTGTCTTAGTACGTTATGTAAATTAATGTTTCTTACGGGGGTGGAATTATAACTGGTATAGTAGTCAAGCTTACAACTTAATAAAAATCTTCAAATACTTACAATACACACACGCAAATAACTTAAGGGTGGAGCCACCCTCGAAGTTATTTCGTGCAACATGACAGGTCATGGCGACCACACCCTTTTGGGGTAATAATGATCAGCTCTTTGTCATTTAAAAGCTAGCTTGAAAGTATGTTTATACCGGACGAAAGAAGGGCTAATTTGTCTGTATGTGTGTCCCAAGCTAGAACGAAAATGACTAAGCCGATTTTGATCATCGAATGTGTTATCACTAACATACACACCTATATGGGTATATATTTTGTAAATCGGTAAACGGTATCGATGGTTAACGGGTCGTGGGTTCGATTTCTACCTGGTTCTAAATGTAACTAAAGAATTTATATAAGTTTTCTGATACATTTTAAGTTTCGTCTGAACATCTGAATTTGACTTAAATTGCTGGTAGTAATATAGTTTAATCGCGCTTTCAGACCGTGGATTTTCGTACATCCGAAGCCAAAATAGGTAGTCTGCGTCAGTCTTGTAGAGATGTTATATGGCTGGGGTATTCCATCGTTATTCGACACGTTATTCCATCTGAATACCCCATAATTGTCTGTCCTTTTATATCATAAAAAAACCCTTTCATTCCACATAAATATGTTTTTCAAGGTTAGATTTTCAAGGAATAAAATTCCGCCAATAATTAGTTAATTTTATAAATATAAAAATGAAATGTACGCCATCTTGCGGCATATTACAAACGTATCTACATCAGTTTATAGCTGGAGCGCTAACAGTACCCTTCCTTTCATAGTCGGTTAAAAAACATAAAACGACGTAGAGTCGTCTCGTAACACACGACAATATTCTATTCGTAGCGCACGCGCATAATTTCGGTGCAAGCAGATGCGTCGTTTCCTTTCGCCATCTATCGTCTAAGAATTTACGAAATAAGTATGTACGTACTAGTGAATTGTGTGATGGTGGGTCAAGCATTCAAATTAATAATTATGTTTAGGGTTTAAGCGATAAAATCGCTGTCTCTATAGCCAAACGGTTCACCGTGTTAAGCGCGAGATGTTCGGGTTCGAATCCCAGGGACACAAAAATAAATTATTTCAGTCTGGCAAGGCATAGGATACTGATCAAATAACTGCCTGTAAAAAAATCAGTGAAACGGACCTAGGAATCTGTTCGTCTATTTCCCCACGGGGAAACGGGATTACCTACTCTTTTAAGCAATAAAATCGACACACTATTAAAGTTTCTCTGTTCGTTAGTCTATTATCACTTCAAGTTTAAAACCCACACAAAAATAGCCAGACAGTTACCGAGATAAATAAAAAAAAAGTTAGGCTAAAGGGTAATATACTTCATTTGTATTTTACCGAAATAAATAAAAAAAAAGTTAGGCTAGAGGGTAGATATCCTTAAATCGTAATATCTACGCATTTCAAACAATCAAACCGATTTGAGTTTGAAATTGCTTTACTATACCTACACGGTTTTACTCTTAATTGTAGACAGAAATTTCAATACAAAGGATATTTAATTAATTAATAATAAGTAATTCGTAAAATTATTCAGATTAGAATTTTTGCACCTCCCTGCACATTCCCGCAATTTAATTTGTTTTACCTTAATTCCCTAAGAAGAGTTGCCTGGAAGGGATCGCTCGATAGCGATAAGGTTCCATAGTCTATAGATATTATTTTTCGGTTCATTTATTTATTTCAGGTCCATGTAATTGTGTGTGTGCTGTATAGTAAAGTGTAAATAGATAACTTCTCGGAGATTTGGTCTTAAGTTATGAGTAGGCGCGGTCGGTAGGATTAACTGCTCGGAAAGTAAATACTGTCTATAGTTTACGCGAGTAGTACACATTTAAATAAAACACTTTAACGGTTTAAAACGCGATATATTAGTTAAACTTATTTGAAAATGATCTCCCCGAGACCACGGCTGCTGCAAAGCATCCGAAACGTCGGGCCGAAGTTAAAAATCATTTTCAAATAAGTTTAACTAATATATCGCGTTTTAAACCGTTAAAGTGTTTTATTTAAATGCTCGGAAAGTGTCAATACGTCTAGACTAGTGGAGTAATTGTAATTTTATCAGGTGCTAAGCGAGTGAGCAAGGAGGACATGGTGCCGGGAGCGGCCGCGGCGCGACCACAGTATATTACGAACAGTATCACCGCGCAAACTTCTAGCTTTATGTTCTTGCTCTATTATAAGAGTATTATCAAGAACTGTTTTTCACATTGGTGAGAAACACTAATCGTTTTAATAACATTTATTAGATCCGAGGACCATTAATTGTTAAGTTAAATACATTTAAATAAAACACTTTAACGGTTTAAAACGCGATATATAAGTTAAACTTATTTGAAAATGATCTCCCCGTGACCACGGCTGCTGCAAAGCATCCGAAACGTCGGGCCGAAGTTAAAAATCATTTTCAAATAAGTTTAACTAATATATCGCGTTTTAAACCGTTAAAGTGTTATATTTAAATGTGTACTACTCGCGTAAACTATAGACAGTATTTAAGTTAAATACACTTAACGATCTAAACGCGAAGTACGCAAATAGTTTACTTAATTCGAATACGAACGACATTTCAGTTGCTTTTCAGCAGCCGCGAGTACTATCTTCATTTTTAAACCGTTAAAACAGCTTTATTGAAATATATACTACTTGCGTAAACTTCAGATATCAATGTCACACAGTTAACTGGACACTTATAATGTGCCCAGGAAAATCTCGAGATTGTATTATTCATTGCCGGCACATGAGATACTTAATTCAGAAACGTAAGCATTTTTGTTTACTTTTATTTTTTGTATTGGAAGTTTATAATATTTTTGCTTATTGGATTGATTATTTTTGCAGTTTTAAATCATAGCAATGTAAATGTTTAGCATAAAAAAAAACATTTAAACGGTTCAAAACGCGAAATATAAGTTAAACTTACTATAAATTATTTTACGGATATTCAGTTTTTAAATCGTTAGTGTTTTATTTAAATGTGTACTACTCTCGTAAACTACAGGCAGTATTGGGTTAGCACTTAGTTTACATCTTAAATTGTTATATCTCTCGATTGGATGGCATAGAAATGTCCCACTGGTTGGCTATCGACTGTGCCGCGAGGGAGCGGCGCGGGGCCGGCCGGCGCGCGTCCTCCGTCGTCCCGGCTCACGCCGCAGTCCGCGCTAGCTGCCGCCGGTGGCTCGTAGTCTCTCGCCGGTTTGACGACTCTCCATACCGCGATCGCCTTTGTTTACTCCCCCGCGCGCGCTAAACAGCTGTTCTTAGTGCCACTTTTATCTTAAGTGAAATCGTTGCGCGAAGCCCCAGTGTACAGTGAACGTGTAAGTGTGTTCATGGATAACCCAGGATATTATTAGACCGACTACGCGGATACGCGGGCGGCAGAGCCATGGCCGCCACCGCTCGCCGAGAGATCGACACGGGCGAGGAAGACATCGCCGCGATCGCTAAACAAATTTCGGATCATGCGGAAGCTATCTACCAGACGTGGAAAGCGCGCGGCCTCGCCCCAACAGAGATATTGTCTTGCAGGCCCACGCCCGGCCTCAAACTGGCGGAGAGCTTGCGAACGAAGCCCAAACCGGAACCGAAGCCCGAAATAAAGCAGCGGCCCGAATTCCGGCGGGAACGTCCAGAGGTGAGGAGAGAGCAAAGAGACCCTAGACGCGAGCAGCGCGAACCAGAGGCGGATGCGATGAATCTCCCTCCGGATTTAGTGCCGGAACGTAACGGTTCGGGAGGTGCTGGGAATTCGAGACGGAGCGACACAGCAGCAATGCGACTTGAAGTGGCCCGTGAGGAGGAACGCCTCCTCAGGGCGCTTAGAACGGGTGGAGTGGTCGCAGAACGACCAGCGGAAAGACCCGATGTCGTTCCTCCCATTTCACTAGTAGATTATGCAAAGAGCCGTTACCAGGACCGTTTGGATACTGGCGCAAGGAAACCAGCAGCTGGCGCAAGTGGTGAACGTAGAGCATCTCTTGGCTCGCACGTGACAGAAGCCAGGTCTAAATTTGAAGCTCGAGCGCGACGAGCTTCGAGCGCTAGTGCTGCAGAATCTGGTTCTGCGCCGGGGCAGTCCCCCGTGAGACCTTTCCTGACCAGAGGGTCTGTGGCAGAACGAGTGCTTATGTTCGAGCGTTGTCCCAGTGAAGCTACTTTGGAACTTGCAAAACGAAAGTCACCAGTTGCCACCACTTGGCGCGGACCCCACGATGTTATCAATAGAGCTCAGGTACGTTTATTTGTTTTAAATGGAAGTAATGGCGAAATCTGGTTATTACATTTGTGCAAAGCTAGAACGCCGCATTGTTTGTTCTGTCGTCACCGGCGTGCCTATGTGAGCACTTATATATGTATACATATACATATAAACCTATATGTTGCGCGTAAGATTACATGCAGTCTTTATTCTCCTGTAATGAGATTCATCAACATCACGATGACATCAGTTCTTTATATGTATTTATCTTGATAAGGTTAAGACCTACATACACTATTTTTTCTTTTAGGTAAATATTGAATCTAATTTTTCGTTGCTGTTGATAATAACGTAGACAATAAATAATAATAATAATAACGTTATTTATTGTTCGTAAAAAGCAATTGTCTATGGCTCATATGTTTTGCAACTGTATCAATAAATATGCTATTAAAACGATATTTTCAAACGATTTTCGCGTTCTCTAAACTCTGAAGGTAATAAAAATCCACAACTTAAGTAGTCTAACTCGATTTCATAGTAAAAACATGTAATCGAATTGCATATTAATCGAAAGCTTATAACGATTAAACAAACAACATGATGTAATTTCGTAATTTCTCTCTAAATAGGCATATCTGTCTTGTCATTATTTATTTTCTGTACATCCACGATCTGTACCTATCATATTATAAATGGTGTGCGCAGTTCGTCAAATTTTTGATATTGTGCCAGTTACATGGAGTACAATAATACAATTACGCACTATCCGTCAAAAGGACCACTTTCACTCAACGTTTATTATTGCTTCTCTACAATTATGTTTAACGATCAAATGGATCGTAAAAAATGTGTTATAATTGTAATTAACCATATCCAATGATTCACTTTATTTACAAGAAATGTCGACATTGTCCTTGTTTGGTTGCGGTTTTTCTTTGATTTTGTTCTAATATAAGTCATAAATCGTAGCCAAAAATACTGCACATGTGATAGAAACAGTAAGGGATTATCTAGATTGTTTATTATTACTGTTATTTTATCAGTCTTTGCAAATATTTGCGATATATGAATGCAATGCAGATCCAATTAACAAAATTAAAATTCGCAATTAAAATTTGACTTTTAAAAATGCCTATAAGTATGCAATGCCTGTGCAATTTTCGTTCGACATAAGCATAATCTGTGTAATTCGTGTGGCAGAGACTTTTTGTCAAAAAAAATGTAAATTGTCAAATGTTTCTTTGCGCGTTTTTCTAGCAGAATAAATTACGAAATATAGTCTTGAAACATCTCTCCTTGATCTTTTATTTTTAAAGTATGTATATGAAAACTTTAGGACGAAAAATAAGCTTAAGCGTCTAGTAAATACCCTTTCTTACGAAATGTTGGTTGAATAATTAATGTAGCTATATTAATGGAGTTACCATCAAAACCCATATGCCTTACAAAATTTATCAAGCCATTGAAATAAAACACGAGTAACTGTTTTAGTCGCAAAATATATTAATTAACTTATACCTATAATCTGGGGGGAACTGAACCCGGTAACCACGGCTGCTACAAACCCGACACGTCGGGCCTTAGGTAAAATATATTACTACTCTACCAACTCTTTTGGTGATTTTGTTATGCTTATTTCTTAAATAATTAATTAAAAAGAAACTAATAAATTTTAAGTTTTGTAAAACTAGCGGCGTACCGTTAAATGTGTTTTATTAAAAAGTTAACTGTATAAACCGTTAAAAATATTTTATTGAAATGTTTACTTGCGTAAACAACAGACTATACTATCTCCAGCCAATTTCGTCGTTATGATCAAAGATTTGGCCATGTTATCACGATCAAAGGCCACTGCCCCACATCCACGGTTTACGCGTAAAATGTAACAGTAGAGACGCGCATAGAATCACAAACCAAACAGGATGCGATCAAAATCATTCCGTCCACGAACGCGCAACGCATTATTAATATGTACTTATAAAACATGAACTTTCGAATCAACGAAGGAATTTATTTCCGTATTGTCTTTCTTATTTTAAATTAATATTATTGATTTGCGTTGTTTAATTGTAGAATATAAATAAGTACACGTGCGGAATGTATATGTTTTCTTTCGTAACTGCTTTCTAATGATAACCTCTGTCTTTATGGGTTAATGCTAAAACATGTTGCCAAGCATTTTAGTATGAGACGTTGTAACGAGTATCCTGGGAAAAGTCAATATAATCCGTCCGCCAGGTTTATTTAATTTTATTAATTATGAACACCACAGGATCTGTTTACAATAATAAAAATAACTAGCCTAGAAATAATAGAGGGTCTTATCGCATAACTGCGATCTAATCCAGTCAACCAAATGAGAAGGGAAAACGAAAAGAGGACTATGGGTCGGTGGTGCAAGGGAGATTATGAGGCAATTAAGGACTATAAACGTAACATCTGTAAGGTTTAAAATGAAGGTAGATTGAGTTTTTCTTATATCACTGCAAGAGTACAGAAGTTTGATCTCAAATTTGTTTATAAGTATAAAAGATCATGATAGAAATATTTTCCAATGTCTTTTTAGCATCTGATAATTTAAAGCCGCTAGAGGCAGAGTCGCCTAACTGCAATTTTATAACTTGACTCATATAAAAAAAAAAATCTACAAGAACACAGTGTACGAAAATTGTTAACATAATTCTAACACAATAATAGTAAAAAAAATTTCGTACCTAAGTTTATTGCGCATTTGTATTTTCCTCCTTATTGAAAATCATGTGTTTTGTATTAGGCCACTCTGCCTCTAGTCTCATTTGGTGATCCTAATTTGGGCTGGATCCGCCCCGCTATGGTTCAAAGCAGGGTGGAAAGATTGTTCACCTCTATAGTACTGAAAAATAGTGTTCCAAATATAACGTCGCGTTTGGCTGACGCCCAGCGTGGAACGGCTTGAGATCACTGCATGAGAACGAAATTATGCCGCGTTCATCAAATCCGAGAATTTGAACTAGGTCGCGTATTACTGGTACTCAGGGTCACACAAAAGTGACACTATCATGTCTCATTAGTAATTTGTAAGTTAATTGATGGATATAAGCTCTTAAAGGACTTATATTAAAGTAAGGCATAATTTTGCCAACTACTGGTTCGAATTGAAAAAATATTTTTGTGTTGGTTAGAACATTTATCGAGGAAGGCTATAAAACATCACCCTAGCGCATCATGAGTAATAGAAGCGAAGATACAGCGTAAAATGTGAACAAAACGGGTGAAAATTTTCACCCGTTTCACGTGTCTCCCCGTGTTTTAATTTAAATGTGTAACCTACCCGCGTAAGCGTGAGACAGTATTTATTTGACCCTTCTATTACAGTTCTTTTTGAAAGTTAAATTAAAATGAATTGCATGTTTTCTCCCATATTAACTTTTACTCTTTAATTGTTAATTTTGTTTCCCTTTTCTCTATACGAAGGTTGCCTGGAAGAAATCTCCACAGGCAATAAGGCCGCCTTTGCATTACTCTTTATCGTAAATTATTAATTTAGTATTACTTTACTTGTTTGTGCAATAATCTTGCTGATAACAAACAGTTCCTATAATGCGTATTATCTTCTACTTCTAGCACACCATTTTACTTATGCGTTCAATCAATTGGAAGAGGAAGAAGCACATTCGTTGGTCAGTTGGAATATTAGGTAATAGGCGGAAGTTCTTCGGAACAATTAAACACAATTACGAACATTCGTCACTGGGAGGTTTGCGCAATAAAACTGTTTCATGTGAATCTAAGTGCTATAGTCACGCATGTGAACCAGAATCCGTATAAGTTGCGAAAACTATGAACAAGAGTCTGCATGCACGAGAAACCATGTAAGTTTCATGTTTAAAGCCCGATATATTAAACTCCGAAAAGTATAAGACACAATTTTCATATACATTGTAATATGGGGGTAGCAGTGGTTTGAAAACTTTAATATTTTTACATGTCATTGCACACGATGGCATAATATAAATCGATCTTAATCTCTGCTTGAGCAACAGCACGTAACGCTGTGGATGTAAGTTCGAATCCTGCCCGTGTCGTTTTTTAATCTAAGATCGATTTTTAACAGAATTGTGTATTTAAATATTGTGTTTTTAAGCGTTATTAACTCGTACATGGAAGTACAAGTCAACATATTAATACTGTCTGTATTTAAATAAAACGCTTTAACGGTTTAAAACGCGATATATTTCAGTTAAATTTGTTCGAAAAAAGCGGGTCTCCGCGTGACCACGGCTGCTGCAAAGCATCCTAAACGTCGGGCCGTAGTTGAAAATAATTTTCAAACTAGTTTAACTAAAATATATCGCGCTTAGACCGCTAAAGTGTATTATTTAAATATGTACTACTCGCGTAAACTACAGACAGTATTATATACTAAATAAAACACTTTAATGGTTTAAAACACAATATTTAAAAGTTATTTTAACTACGGCCCGACGTTTCCGATCTTGCAGTAGCCTTAACCGTTGGTGTCACTAAAAGTCTTATTTCGAAAGTGCGTTTGTTTAAATTTCCTTTCTTTTCGGCTTTAGCTTTTAGCAATAGATAAAATGTCGTACACAGCCTACCAGCTCGGACTTCCACTTCGGCCTTCTCTGACGCATAAGTTACAATATATTGTTCGTTGGCGTAGGTGTGACATAATGTATGCGAGTTTACCTTGTACGAAGATAAGGCGAAACTTGTACTTGGTAGGCAAAACTCGATTCTAACTGAGCCAAGTCCCAAGGTCAGACGGGCACGCGATCGCAGGAAACTATTAATATGTCGTTTACAGTTTGAAAACCTGTTTTTAAGAAGGCTCGAAGATTTTTTTATGATAGAGGAGACCAGATCAGCTAAGGGTTCGCCCGATGGAAGGGAACCCCAGCCACAGTTTCGACAGCGCATCTAAACTAGATGCGCTCTTAAAACGAACACATTTAATTATAACAATTAACGGTTTAAAACGCGATATATTAGTTAAACTTATCTGATGCTTTGCAGCAGCCGTGGTCACGGGGAGACAAATAAGTTTACCTAATATATCGCGTTTTAAACCGTTAAAGTGTTTTATTTGAATGTGTAGTACTCGCGTAAACTATAGACAGTATTTCATTTTCAAATAAGTTTAACTAATATATCGCGTTTTAAACCGTTAAAGGGTTATTTTTAAATTGACGGGTTGTCTCACCTGTTGTTCAATAAATTTCATTTTGGACCCGGTAGATTTGGATCCAACCTACGACCCCTTAGCCCAACATAGCTACTATAGCTTTCTCGAGCTTTATCCGTTACCATAAATGATTTACTTTCTAAAATTCGTTTTGTATCGACTTATGATAATAATCTGCTATTAATATTACGGAGTATAAAACACTGACAAATTTTGTTAAGTTAGAAAAGCAAAAAATTAATAGCGAGGGTAGTTTTGGAGAAATAGAAGATATGAATGGCTGGGGTTTCACCTTTCATCAAGTGAAAGTTCCTTCTTGTCTGTCCTTTTTTTAACTGATGGTGTGAATGCCTAATGCACGCCCACGTCGGGCAATAGTGACATGGGGAGTGTGGTAAATCGTATAGCCGAGCAGAACTTAGTGGTTCACACACACCACCAGCCCCCTACGGTGCTTTGAGGGAGCCCTGGGAACACGTTCGCACGACTAATATGCTTGTCTGTCCTACTGTTCCTTAAATAATTAGGAATCTTTTAAGACAAATAACAAGTATTTTTTTATTTTATTTCTATAACAATAACGCGGAATTGCACACCAAGTGTAAAAAAATGTATGTGAAGTCAACAGAAATTTACCACCTGTAAAAATTCAACTAACGGACGGACAAGGGTCCATAATCTCAGTAATATTTAGTACTATTTAATTTGTATTTGAGGGTTTGCTTTTTTGTTCTTTTGAGGGAACTATCTAAGTACCCTCAAAAGAACAAAAAAGAAATATCTAACGTTTCTCTTGCAGCGGTAGTTGGTAAAGTTAGATAGTAAACTAAGATAGCTATCTATGTAAACCTAATGTGTGTAGAAACGTACAATGTAAGCTAGCAAACGTTTTAAGAAAATTGACGTGTCACAGCGCTAGTGAAAGTTGATCTTACGGCGTGGACTAACAATCTTGCCGAATTTTAATGAACAATGTCGTTACTCCGGCTGTTGCGAAGCTTAGATTCTTATCAATACAATCACGCGAATTATTGTACCGTCTGTAGTTACGGGTAGTAGATTAAAATGTTTTTAACGGTTCAGAACGCGAAATATAATAAAACATATTCTAATTTAATTGACTTACGACACGATGTGCCATGACCTCGGTTTGACGCGGCCGTGACACGCGTATTAAACCGTTAAAGTGTTTTATTTTAATTATTAATACTTTAATAATTTGTATTGACGTCTTAAATTAAAAATTAATTAAAATTTAAAGCTTAATTTATTTATGTCGGAATGTAAAGATGCTATCTTGTTACTCAACACGCCAAAAGCGCCATTAACTTAAACAGCAATTTATTTGAGCTAGCTAAATTAAAAATTACCAAGATCTGAGTTCACCTTCACTTTTAATTAGGTTTGTTGATTTTAAAAGTAAGTACACTTAAGCTATTTATATTAATGAAGATGTTATTTTACTTATACTTGTATGCCAGCGTAGTGCAATGGTTACCGTTATTTAAATAAAACACCTGTAACTGTTTTAAACGCGAAATATATTAGTTTAATTTAACTATGGCCTGACGTTTCGTATGCTTTACAGAGGTCGTGGTCATGGGGGCACAAATGTTGGGGAGTGTCCCTAATGTCAAACTCAAAACTGCTACGCTAGCGCCATCTGTTTCTTCGTAGTTGGTATTGCGAGAAATAGTTAAAAATAAATGTGGCCGTAGTTAAAACAATTTGTAAATAAGCTAACTAATATACTTCGCGTTTTAAACCGTTAAAATTATTTTACTTATATATGTGTGCTATTGGCACTTTATATTACACTTGATGTTGTTAGGATTAGTTGAATACAGAAGCTATTAAACGAAATGGATTAGTAAAACGGACGTACAAATATATCAGGACATAAAATATATACATGATCCGAGCTTGATTATGTTGTTGTCCATATTTAATCCATGTTACATTTTTGAAAAAACGAATAACCTAGTCACAAAAACATTTTTCGTTCGGTCTTAAAAAGTATAATCTTTAAGGAATATAAAAAAATGTTAGTTAAATAGGATCATATTGTGGGCACAAGATTTGCGAAGACCAATAATAATAATTGTCCATAAGTCCCCCTTTAAAAGGAAAAAATAAATAACTTAACATCCATATTTTAAAACAGAAAGCAATTTGTAGTTATAATGCACAAAGAAAACGTCTTATTAAATAATATTATCGTCCTAAAAAGCAAATATAATAACATAATATGTTAGATATATAATATATAACCATATTAGTATGAACAACTCTCGAATAGAAACATAGGCAACAACTTTTCTAACACGCAATTCTATTAAACATGGATATAGTCGTTTTACTTTTAAATGCAGGATATATATTCTAGATGGTAGTGGTAGTGGATTCGATTCCTACCTCGTCCTTCGTCGTTCTTTTTTTATGTTGAAGGAGGACAGAGGGGAGGTGTAATACCCCAGCCATATACATCTACATAAGATACGCTGTCGACCTTTGTCAATGGATATTCGGGAGTCCAGGCTTGACGGCTTTTTAATCTCGGACGGTGGCTCGTGACGCGTACGGAGTTTCGATGTTCCTACCACCCATTTTATATCCAGATTTACAGACCAAGTGAGACATCTTCGGAAATATTATACATTAGAAAAATGTCGGGCCCGGTGGAGATCGTACCGACAAACCAATGATTATTAGCTATACATTACAAATCTTCTCGTATTGATGTCAATGAACTT